ATCAGCATCGAGCCAAAGCACCGGAAATGCGGCCCATTCGCGAGCGCACCATGATCGATGAAGCATTTGCGAGGCTGCAGGAGTTGGGAGAGGTCAGCAAGTGAGCAGAGCGGAGAGATACCAATGGCCATGGCTTCGAAACCACATGCATCATTCGCCTGATGTTCCCATCCGAGTGCCGTCGACGACACAAATCACCGGTATGGTCTTCCAGAGTCTGAGCGCTGCGAAGCATCAACGCCGAGGGTCGGAGGTGAGGGCGGCAGGATGTAGATCGGGGATGTGGTGGATGCCTAGGGCCACTTTTGAGACTTGCAACATCGGGAGTCAGGTCGTGAGGCTATAGAGCCGGATATCTCAAGTGTTGCCCAGGACAGCAGCACACACGCCCGACGGAGAACATCGTACAGCGATAGTGAACTTTCACAGTTGTCCGCAAGCCGCAGCCGGCGCTCTACGCAGACTATCAAGAACCTTTCATCCGCTTCTGTAGCGGACAACAGTACCTTACCATGGCCAAGCAGCGTTAGCTACGCGGACAATACGCAATTGCGCTGGAGATATCCCCGCCGGCAATGCCTCACTTCCCAGGCAAGAAAGCACGACTCGGGAAACAATCACGCGGCATGTCAAGGTCGAGACGGAGAAGCAGGGGAAGCGCAAGTCGCCAGCGGCCGCGCGGAATCCCGAACATGCATACTGGACCGCGGAGAGCTGAATTCGACGAAGACGAGAGCTACCACGAGATCCAAAATGAACAGGACGTAGACGAGGACGACTCTGTGTGTTCAGCTCGCATCTTTCAATCACGTCAAGAGTCAGACGATGTCTTCCGAGGTCGACCCGCCGCAAGTGTGTGAGTACCAGAATTCGCTTTGGACCAGCTGCAAGGTCGTCATCAAGGACAACCGCAGACTCTTCGAGCACAACAACCTCGCCAATTTCGACCACAAGATCGATCCTGCGACGAGGCTTTGGTGTCTATGGTACGCATCCGGACGGCGCAATCTTCATCCGTCAAACAAGCATCTCGTAGGCCGATCTTCGAAACGAGAGTGCCGAAATGAGAGTGCGTCTTGGAGATCCTGGCTGCTTTTGTCGGGTTCTGGCGATTGTGGTACGTTGCATTCTTTCTCGGCGCCTTCTTTGCGCGGAGATTACGGTCTTGTCAAAGATGTAGCATCCATTGACGGACTGTGTAGGGGCGACGGCTCAATCAGACAAGGACGATCAGAGCGCTGAATTGAGAGTCATGCATCTCTCCGTGGCAAGTCAACTGTTTCTTACTGACAGGTAGTATGTGCAAGGGCAAGATCTCAGCTCGGGGTTGTTCATTTTGTGAGTCTGCAAGCAGCCTTGCTTTGCAGACGTGTGGGTCCATGATCTCTCTCTTTCTTTTTCCCTCTTCACGAAGAATGACGTTATCTTTTGCCTTCTCCCATCGAAACGTGTTTCTACCATCAGCAGCGACCGAACGCAATCTTAATGCGGACAGTCTTCCTGCTACGATGTAAAGCGACAACACTTTCTGCTCTGCTTCCATATCGACCAGGCGGCGCTCCAGGGGCTTCGCTGCGGCCGTGTCATGGCAGCTCGGCGGAGATCTCGGAATGGAGCTTCCGTGCCTGTCCGGCTCCAGCGCAGGACCGCCACGAACTCTGAGATGAGGTCGGCTTGGAGAGGTAAGGGGTAAGAGTCCTTAACGAAAACCTTGTTTAGGCCACGGACATCGCCCTTGCGGATTGGCTTGTGGTCTTGGGTAGTGGTCTTCCAAACCACAAAGACAGGGAACCCGAATGGGGTGGGAGCCTTGGTCCAGCCCATCTTGCCCCGAGCGTGGAGCGTGTCGAAGATGTTGTCCACCACACGCCGTCTTCTTGGCGCATTGCTTTGTCGCTTTTGCGGCGGAATTCAACAGAGCAAGGGTGACCACCAAGAGACACCCCCAACTTACTGAACTTGCAGGCTTGATCGCTACTAACCACGAAGCACCACCCCCATACGACCCAGTCCGCCCCAAGGGCTACCACGATTCCTTAATCTCCGATCATACCCGCGACCGCGACACCGACTCAGTCCTTTACCTGGGCTTTCCTTAAGAGTGGGTTACCAACAAGTCGCTGGTTCCCAAAGCAGCGAACCAACTGGCGGGCTCGAGCTGGTCAGGTCGCTTAGTCCACTAGTCATCTTGCCGGTATGCTGTCTTTAGGCGCTCCTTGAAATCATCGGCCAACTCGACTAGCACGGCATGGGAGACCAGGGGTTCAGAGTGCACCACTGGACTAGTCGGGTCGGCGGCCTCCTTGTACGAGAACGGATCAAGGATCCTCTCTCGCTGGTCTGCTGTTCGGTCGAGGTTGTCGAGGAGTCTGCTCGAGGCATCCGGTACACCGTGGAGTCGGCCTTGTCTATGGGTGTTGCTCTTCTAGTCTTACTCGTACAGCCCGATCGAGTCCGCCGAAGTCTTCCGATCCATGGTCGATGCTCCAGGCCAACAGCCTGCCATAACATATAAGGTAGGTGGATGACAACTCCAGGGACTTTCTCATGGCACGCAAAGCTGGAAGCCGAAAGATCCATGCAAAGCGACAGTCACAACGAGAAGAGCCAGAAAGCAAACACGACGGCCACGAGTTTGGCGCCTTGTCTGTCTGCTTTCATCATATTCGCTGACTTCTCTCAGATACGCCGGATGGCAATGCTCAAATTGCCGGCGGGAAATGCTACGCACTACGGTGTACAATCTGGATCTTTCCAAGAGTCAATCAGTCAGCTTCCGAAATCTAACAGAGCCCTTGCTGCATCCCTCAGCTCCTCAAAAGTAGTGTGGGAGGTATTGATGCAGTCGTAGCGCCAGAGGGCAATCTAAAGGCGGTGCTCAAGTATGGCCATAAGCAATTCGCAAACAGTATCAGCCCACATCTTCAGCTACACATTTCCGCCATTGAAATGCCTAAAACGTCCGCTGACTTTCTACAATTTACTAAATGCAGCTTCGGCCGCGAGCGAACTGCTCGACTTGCTAGTGGGAGCTATGGTGCCGGGCTGCTCCGTGAACTTCTGAAATAATAGACGAGCTTCCTTTATAGCCAATATGCATTTCCTAACTAGTCTTCAACCGGCGGACGATTTCAGCACTATGCATAGAGCGACTTCAATCCTTTAAAGCATACACTACCAAGACTCGATAATAGCGATCGATCTATCCAAACGACGATGGGCCCTACATTTTGACAGAGAGCATAAAGGACATCCGGCCATGCCGGTCAGCAACGAAGATTGACTCTCAACGTCCTCTCGTAGTCTTGGTTAGGGTTGCTAGATAGCACAGAAGAGCATCGGACGCCTCAGTTATTAATGCAACCCAACGCTTTGCGGCGACTTGTTACGCCGCCGTGAAGTACTGGAGCCTAACAAGACCCGAGCCTTACGAGCCTATAGACACATAGGGCCCATACATGACCACGCTGTCGCAAATCTTCGGGGCTAGAAACACGATGTCCGGAGGTGTCGAATTGGTGCCGTGGATAACGCTCGTTCGTATATCGCTCTAGAATTCTTAGCTCCCGGAGAGAAGAGCATCTGCATGGTGTATTCGAGCTTATTAACCGGCAAGTGTTAGATGATTCCCTGAATTGGTACTTTGACTTCACCTTAATTTGGAATACAACGATTAGTCTCTGCAATTCGAAAGGTCCCACGTCTATGATCAACTCGCTCTACTAGGTACCTATAGCCTTTACAGTTCCAGCCTAGGTATTGTAGCGGCTCTGGCCCATTAATAACGCACTATCTGACCGCCGGCTAAAGGGTAGAAGAACCACATAACCTTACGTATAAGTAACAGAAGCACAACCATTCTCTTCTAAAGACTACGCCCGTGATGTGGCTCTAACTGTTACTTTCGAGCTACGTCCGCGCCGCGAGAATTGCTGTTAGTAGCGTTGTATTTACTCACTTCGGAGGGCTCTTCCTTCCCGATACTACTTAGGTCCTGGTCGAGATAATGCATTAACAGTTTGTCCGGCTATAGCTATCAGAGATATTGGCTTATTTAGCAGCAAAGTAATCATGCGTAGAGGAAAGCTCACACGACATACTAATAGAGCAAGCTTCGGAAGACGATGTACGAAGATAACAAGACTTTCTCCTGCTTTTGGCGGACACTTTAGAAAGATGTCTAGCAAACCCACGGACGGAACCTCCGATTCCGAATGTTGAAGATTTTTGCCTAATTCTTATCTCTCGAATTCCTTTGTTTATGTCACGATGTTAGACTATTCGGCCGGGGTCGATGCCGCTTAAAAACAGTCAAAAGGCAACAGGAATTGTTAGGAACGCGGATTAGAGGCGTTTGATGCAAAAGACCGGTAGATAGCAATGTGACGACTGCTTGGAAGAAGACTTAGACAGAGATCCGACGCTCAAATCATGAAATATACCTAGCTCATTTCCTTTCCCGTCGAAGCGACCAGTTGTTTAATCCTCCGTGGTAGGCTTGGTCGTCAGTGAAGGCTTAACGTAAGCGAACAACAATCGACATAGTAGCGGCGCCAACCGAGAGGACACTAGCGTAGGTAGTGGTAGGCAAGTTGGGAGAGGAGAGAACATAGCTTGGATAGAATAAAGGCATCCGGAAGTGCTAAATGTTTTGCGGAGAGACCAAAGCCACGACTTCGAGAGAGCTTGTAAGGACTGTCAATGATTGAATATAAAAGGCTAGAAGGTGAAAAGAAATAATGGGTCTCCTAAAAGATCACTAGTGCAAGGGCATCAGAATACTAGACACTCGCCTCATAGAGCAAAGAACAGGTATCGATGAGCCAACTTGCTCTCCACTCCTCCGGTACAAAACTTGAGCCACGCAGCAGGCGGCGGCGTACAGTCTAGCAGCGCCATCGAGGCCTGGGCTCTCCCTACAAGTAGCTGGGAGCCCAAATTATGCTCTGGTCAAAGATCTAGGAAAATGGTCAGCTACTAACGAAATCTCCAGACGCATTTTAAACCTTACCGTCTGGATCTATAGGGTTTTTTGACAGCCAAATAACATCGTCGAGACTCTGATCAGACGCATCTGTGAAGATCATGCGCCATCTCCGGCGTTCCGCTTCATCCTCTCCGGGTGTCGAGTCTTGCTTATCCTCGATGGGATCCAGCCAGTACTCGGAGATATCGTCATCATCGATACCTAAAGATGACTCCGATGTGGGAGACCCGGTGGCGACTGGTTGAGCAATGCTGGCGGTCGAGCCGTCAAAGACAGAAGGCGTGAAATGCTGCAACAGAGGCGACCGGGACGCTGGATCTTGGAAGGCGGAATGAAGTTGTATTTCCGTCTTGGCAGGCGACGATACGATGTCCTTGAGACTGTTCGAAGGGCTACCTGGCGTTGGGGGGAGATACCCGTCTACGAATTCGAAGTCCGGACGCAATGTAATGTCTTGTGGCGTGGAAATGGGCGAAGACGGCCAATCGAACCAGCTTCCCGTAGTTGCAAATGTGTGTCCGGCATCATCTTTGAGAAGGCTATCGGCCAGGGAAGCGGAGTCGCATCCAAAGCTTTCGGCATCTGTAGTACAGTACTCGGAGCTAGAATGCTTGCGTTTCGTTCCCGGAGATCTAGTGGCATATTGATGCTGATGCGATGTGAACACATCAGCGTCGGGCCAAACGGCTTCAGACAAGGAGTATGGGTAACCAAGAACAGTATTGGAGTGCGATTTCTCCTCCGGCGATGTGGCCACGAGGGTCATATCCGTATGGGGCCTTGTTGTAATGCGGTGAAAAAGACGAGCGTCATCGTCCGGATTGCTGGAGGTGACGCCTGGATGCGGATAGGGTGACCAGTATTGGATTGACTTCCGTCTGCGAGTCGATGGTATGAACAGCGAAGCTGTGTGTGAGTACTTGGGCATGGCGAGCGACCTTTGCGAAGCAGAGATCGGCTGGTAAAAAGAGCGAACAACCTACCTTTCAGATTTAACGCTGACTGCAAGTCAATCGGATATTTCTATGTTTCTCCCATGAACAGGAAGAGCCATGGGATGATTTTCCAACAGCCGCGCTGGACGCCTGCAGATGGCTGAACAATTCTGCGAACAGCCGCGAGGTCCATTGAACGAAAAGGTGCGTGAAAGGTCGCTTGCTTACTGGCAGGGCTCAGTCATCGATGATGGCTTGGCATCTGCATGGTAGATATTCGGATGAAAGCTGTGTGTCCCGTCATGCAGGCCATTGGGGTGACTCTCGGGCAATCATTGGAGAGGTCCTAATGGATATCCTTTGCATCGGCTTAGGCGGTCATGCAACCGACCTATTTGTCGCGATATGTTGTGTAGCTAGCGAGTTGCAGGACATTCCCATGGGAGTGTTAGCCGAGCGCAGAAGCATAGGGCTTTGACGGCTTTTAGCAGCATCGATTGATGGATGAAAGAGCCATAAAAGCTGACAAGCGTGTCAGTGTCGATCCTGCGCTGAAAGCAGGATTTGCATCGAGAGCATTCGTATCGTTGTTCCAATTCTGGTCCGTGAAAGGCCTTGGTATAAGCCATGCACTCGCATGGGTCCCTGTTGCATATGCATCCTGCACGTCAACGCATCAGCACAGGGAACTCTGCAAGGAACATCACAATTCGCTTAACTCTGTGCTGCACAGCCTTCTGCAGAGCTTTCAGGAAGCTCTCAATGATCCACTCAGCGTAGCATACAGAGTCGAACAGACTCTGGAGAATGAGGTGATTGCGCTGTCAATGATGTCTTGCGGCGGGAGAGATTCAACAGTAAGTTCAGACAAGATCTATAAAAAGTCAATGGTACCATGCATGTGCTTAAATTGGGCTCGACTTGTCCTTGTCCGGATCGATTGGATGCACAACAGCCGACGGTTCATCGTCGCTTGGTCGTGTCGTCGTCTGTCAGGGATCGGGACGCGCATCAAATGATCCGAGCCGTTGTGAACCAATAGAAGCCATGAGTATGTTATTCCTGCAAGTGGATCTCGAGACCCTGGAATGCATTCTTACACAGATCCCAGGACAAGGTGAGGTGGTATGTCGGAAAGAACGCAAAGTTATACGCAAGCAACAAGACTGGCCAAGAGAGTCTTTAAACTCATACGAGAGTTGCTCTCGATCGGGGAGACCCAAAACCCGGAACTCAAGTACCGAGCTCAGCGTACGCCCATTAGCGGCAGAAGGCTGAGAGCCAATGGCCGATCCCCTGCGTGGAACCCTGCTCTCGACATGCATTGATGTGTCTCATTAGCCGCCAAGCAATGCGTACCGGAAGACGAGGAGAAAGATGACGAAATTGTCATGCGAGACATTTCCTCGAATGCAGTCGAATGTACCTCCGGAGGTATCCCGAAACGTTTCAGAACATGACTTTGCGTGCTTTGTTCACCATTGCGACAGCGATGGGTGGTACAATTTGACGAGCGAGACCCATGGTGTAGACAGTCTTTTCGAATCTGGCGGAGATCAAGTGGGCAATCGAAGAAGTGAGCCTTTTCCGTCTACGCGTGAGCCTTGCACTACCTCGATTCTCCCCTTACCGCAAACGCAGCTCGGGCAAGTGAGATGAACAACAGCGCCCCACAACTCCGTGTCTTTGGTGTCCTGCCTGTAGAGCTTATCCTGTCAGCTGCGAGGCCAATACTTTATCTCGATCCTCCAAAGAGCGCCTTGATATCGGTGGTCGTCATGCAATTGCTGTGCCTTTATTGCATATGCCGATTCTGGCCTGCGAAGCATACAAACCGAAGAGTAGTACTTGCCAGAGAAGATCAAAGATGTTCGAGCCCGATTAATGTCCGCAGGGCAGACCAGGCGCATGTCCTCTGACTACCGTGTGTCTCTGTTTCATACTGCGAAACATGCAAATTCACAGTATCCAGAGTGCACATGCTTTTGTGTAGAGAAGGGTTTTGCCATGAAGGTACCCGACTGGAAAGAAGCTGTTCGGAGAGCTGAGAACATGCGTCCAGTGATGACAGCATCAAACATTTGGGCTACAAGATGTAAGCGCCCCTCCAGCCGTCATGGGCACCTTGGGCTCATATCCTTGAGGAGATGAACAGTGATTTGGATAAGAAGCCGATGGACACCGCCGAGAAACCAATGTAGACCAATGCTGCGCCACATTAAAAGCGCCAGCAGCAGCGACAAGCAGGAACGGTCCAGTGCGCCAGCGGAACTCCCCGCACAAGGATCGCTCTTCACTTCGCTCCAAAGAATGCATCCGGGTGTGAAGGTCGAAATGAGTTCCGAGTTGTCTCGATTGTAGCCGGGTCAGGTCCAGCGAACCTTTGCAGAAGCAGTCTGGGCGAAATGTTTCAGATGCACATCCGTCCAGAGACCAGTATCGCTCAAAGAGCCACCGCACGGGAGCGCTTGCACGACTTGACGAGCAAGAATGCATATCTTCAGCGGCCTGATTTGTGGTCTTGCGTCCGTCCTCATCCTCAGCAAAGCTGATTCGGGAGTCCGGCAACTCGACCAGAGTCTCCGTCAGAAAGCCCATACCTTTGCTGTTGATTTGTCGTTGCTGCCTTGTTCGTAGTGTGTGCCGCCTATCTTCAAACATTTTCCCCAACGTTCGAATCGATTGTCCATATCCTTGTCAAGCTTTACGACAGTGGATTGAGACTCGGAGCGGCTGATTGATCCAAGCTTCCGTAACGACGGGGTGCTTCTGTGACTTGATGCTGCAGCTTCTGTAGTTGCGCACAATGTTGAGCGCCAAGATGCGCTGGGTGCGTGGCCATTCCAGCATTGCGGACAATCTGGTTCTGGTGGAGGCACGGACAAACTTGTTCGCTTCGTCGAGGTTGGCGAGAGCGAGATCCTTCGGTGACTGGGCATGGCCGGTTTGATGATAGCTTCTCAATCGAGCGTAGAGCGAGATGAGCTCTCAGGAGTCACTTCGTCTTCGCACTTGAGCGACCTGGTGCAGGGCTTCTATTGGCCTCCAGGCATGGGAGGACAAGACAGTCGAGCAATTATTGACTTTGGAGAGCTGTGGGTGGCGGGAATGACGGACAGCCAGAAGCGCCCATTCGATATCCGGGCGTTCTTCCGGAGAAGGGCAATGAGGACACCACTGAGGACAGCAAATCGCTGTAGCAGTCTCGATGTTGCAGGCCTGGAGAACGTGCTTGAAGCCAGGGAAACTTGCCCAAAGTCGCAGCACGACAGGCTTGTTGCACTCGCTCGACAATTCGGCTATTGATGCCACATGTTCATCGGGTAGCGAGGCAGAAGTGCGAAGCCGTTGTAGTGATGTGTCACTCGCCTCGTCTTCCGTATCTGGTTTGTTCTCGCATCTGACAACGCTGCTGCTCGTCTGCCTCGTCACCTTTAGCTACGATGCCCACTGGCCAGATGTCGATCTTGGAGCCGTGTATCCCTCAATCGTGATCTCCTCCACGAGTCTCGGCAGCAGAGCGAGAAGAGCTCAACGCTGTAAGCAAGAAATCGCCTACCATGGGAAAGAGGTCCCGGTTCGGGCGACTAGAAGCCAGGCCGAGTGGTCGGAATCGGAGGGGCCGTGAGTGCCGTCGTACATTTGCTATTCAAGAGGAGTCAATTGACGCTGACGTGAACACCATTCTTTCGAGTCCGTCATTGCTGAGGTATGGGAAAGTCGTGTGTCTTGGAGCTCGGCGGTCATATCATCACGCAGCGCGGGATTGGGCCATTGTCAGCGCGAAATTGGAATTCCTGGCGCGCATTGGGTGGTGTCCAAGTTGATGCATCGAAGTGCCGAGCTCGGATTCTACAGATCGAATGTGAGAATCGAGCCGCATGTGGACGTCAAATCGGAAGTGAAGTTGAAGTTGAAGTTGGAAGTTGAAGTCAAAGTTGAAGTCGAAGTTGAATAAGTCGGGATCGGTTGCGGGCGGGGGAGCTTCGGCACGTGATGCGGCACCATCAGCTCCAACTTGCCGAACGTGATACCATCTTAACACTCTTTGACTTCATTTGCGTGCGCGATGTACAGCATGAGGTATTGCACACTGCGCTCCCCCCATACCGACCAATCCATCACGAATTCCATCTTCGCCCTCAGTCGATATCGCCGCGCAGTCCCCTGATCCGTCCGAGCGAAAGTCGTGCAAACACTCCTCCGCGCAAGAGTCGACCATACCTGTTCGAATTTGCGAGCTCGCGTCTCTTCCGCAAAGCAGTCTCGCTACTGTGTGTAATACCCAGGATGGACATCTGCCGCATTCAGTCAGACTCGGCGGCGCTTCAAGAATGATGCCCGGCATCTCTAGGAACTGAGGAACCCTACCCGCATTGACAGGCACGGCAAGGATACGAGATATGGACCTGGTAGTCCTCCGCCAGAACTGCAGCAGTATATTGAGAGCGCCTTGAAAGGATTCGAGAAACACAGAATAAGTGTTTGCTCCGCTCAGCAGCCATGACGAGGATGATGGGAGAGGCAGATGAGGAGATAGATACACAACACGGTCCGGGTCAAGCGCCATCTTGGGCCGACACACAAGCGGTTAGTGGAGGAGAGAAGCTGGAAAGGTCTGAAGCGGAAGAGGAGCCGTGAAAAAGTACTGGAAGAAGAGGACAGCAAGGAGACGCCGAAACTAGCCAGGCTGGGAAATGGGATATGCGGAGACTGCGCAGAGGGCAACAGACAACGAGAAGCATCTTGCGAACTTTGAGCGAGCATTACCCAAGCTTGCGCCTGGGAATACCTACTCCTATCATTGATTCCGGGATCGAAACACCGGTACTAGTCCTCCGACGACGCTTTGCTCCACCAGTGACTACTCGGCCAGTGATGGGGATTCAGACGGGATAACATTGCTTGTGGAGGTGCTGATATCACGATGCCCCTACACAAAGCTGAATATCTCCAATCCACAGAGCAATAGGATGGAAAACGCAAGACTTGGTCTCTACAATCTTAATGACTTGCTTACGCTGACACTTACTCCCCGTGCGGGAACTAAACTGAATGATGCAGAAGCTCTCCACTGCAGGCGTGGAAAGGCGCACTCTTCAATCTGCTGGGTGCTGAAAAATTCCAGGCTGAAGGATGTCCGCAAGCTTCACAATGCTGTAGTCGACATTGATAAAGTCTCGGGTACTTTCCTTCGCCAAGAGTTATCGAGCGTAATCGACGTTAAGCCCGCTCTCATCTGTACCGCGAGCAAGAATGCATCCAACGAAAAGATACAAACTAACATGCATATTTCCATCGCTCCAAACCTGCCATGTAAGAGAGAAATCTTCGATCGTGAAGCTGGAATGAGCTGAGGCTGAACTTTGCGACCGCGTTGCAGCCTACGCAGAGAGGTAACAATATACCAGCAGATCCGGAGTCACGGGAAAACTGAAACAGAAGCAGATGCGCAAGAAGACGGCCTGGCAAACGATGCCAGTCCACACCAAAACCCATTGTCATGTCTCCGAAGATGATCAGGTGAAGATACATTTGCTGTTACAACTATGATTGCTACCTCTACTGATTCCAATAATGCCGAGGCGCTCTGGCCCGAATAAAGTCCTCCATCTCCCTCCGAAAGGCCAAGGTGGCCAAGTACTCTTCTTCACGAAGAGCATGCTCCGCAGGAGGAGCCCCCAGCAAAGCAACCCGCTCGAGCATTTCTCGCTCCTCGATGCCTGCCAGGAGGCCATCGAGGGCATGGGAGGTGGTGGAGGCGGAGGCGGCGGTTGGCTCTGGTACTGGTGCTGGTGCTGGCTCCGCATCGAATGCCGTCGGGGGGTCTGCTTGATGGGGTGAGCGTCGGCGGCGCGAGTCGCGCGACGGACCAGCCAGGCCGGTGTAATTCACGCGCTCCTGCGCGCGAAGCGGGCGAGCCACGGGAGCAGGCTGATGGCCTGGGGGAGAGCTGAGCGGCAGACCGGGAGGCAAAAGACCTTGCAAGGTCGACGGCTGCTCTGCGGATGACAGAGCGTTGAGGAGGCTTGTTGCCGAGCCTTGCGGCGGAAAGAAGCGAGTGCTGAAGAGGCTTGCCGAGCCTTGCGGTTGGATTGGGAGGGTAGTGGAGGATCGGAGGCTTGCCGAGCCTTGCGGTTGGACTGGGAGGGCGGTGGAGGATCGGAGGCTTGCCGAGCCTTGCGGTAGAGGTTGGAGGAGGGCGGAGGTATGGAGGCTTGCCGAGCCTTGCGGTTGCGGTTGAGCAGGAGGGAGAGGGAAAAGTTGGAGGCTGTCCGAGCCTTGCGGAGAGAAGCTGCCAAAGCCTTGCGGCTCTTCATTGTCCCGCGGCGCCAGCGATGCAGTATATGACGACGATGGAGCGTCGTCTTGACCGGCAGCACCAGCAGCAGCAGACGGCCCACCACGCCCTTGCTCAATGCTTTCCGAACGAGCACGCCAGGACTTGACGATCTTGATGGCTCTGACAACGTCGGAGGCCATGGCCCAGCGGACTTTCACACTGCCGACGGATCTCCTTCGCAAGCGGCGAGTTACCTCCGCTGCGACAACTTCCAGCGCATCCTCGTGCCGGTCTGTGATGCTCGACAGAGTCACCATCTTCTTGAGGAGCCCAATGCTCCAGGACGGCGGTGTGCGATTATGGGGGAGAGTCCAATTCCAATCCGGCCACTTGCTGCCGACAGACGCAACCCGGCTCTCGTATTCGTGACGCTGCCTTTCGGCAGACGCCATCGCGGCATCCAGGGCATCTCTATCCTCGAAACAGCTTTTAAACGTGGCCAAAGTCGTCGGCCGGTTTTGCTCCAGCCACTTCACCCGGGCATCGATCGCAAACGTCGAATGTTGCCAGGTCTTCACGTTATTTTTGAGGAATTGAAGGGCGCCATCGACGGATGGCTTGCCTCGCTCAAACTGCGAGCGAGCTTCGTCGATGTCGAGAAAGGGAGTGCGGAGAGCCATCGTATTTGATTGAAGGGAGCTATCTGGTATGGATTGGGGGACCGAAACTGCGGATCGAGCGGAGCGAACAGCGAGCAGCGAGCGAGGCAAAAACGAGCGAAACGACGAGCGAACGAGCGAGCGGCAATCAGACCAGACCAGACCAGACCAGACCAGAGACCAGAAGACGGCGTGGAGCATTCAGATTCTGACCAACAACTTCAAACATCAAGACAGACGCTGCAACACCGCTCACTCCTTCCACGGCTTCATCTCTGCACAGCCTCCTCCAGCCTGGTCGTATTGGCAACCATCTCCGCTTGGTTGTTACCTTCCGAAGTTCACGTCTTCCTCCACGATCTGCCGCTCCAAATGCGTCTGCTACTTCTGTTCTCGTCAGAGGCCGTCCATGGACGGCCTTTCACAGATTTGGCAGCCACATGTTTGCAGTGAGCAACGCTTCGAGCGCATGTCCTTTCCCACATTCAAGGAGGCGTCGTCTGCTCTGTTCCTGTGAGAGACCGTCCATGAACGGCTCTTGATAGGTCCCCAAGTCGCACATGTGCGTAATGTCGGCTGACGACGGATCCTTTTTCCTTCCAGTGACATTGGCTTTACTTTGCAGCACCGATGCAATTCCAGACCGCCTTCAACGCATTCACTGGTGTATCCAGATTCGCACTCACCAACACATGCCTTCCATCCTTTCCAAGTTGCTTTTGACGATGGTGTTTTTCCGCCCTTGTTCGGCACCGGAGCGTCGTCATCTCTCGCCACATGATCAGCTGCAGCAATTGCACCTGGGAATTGACAGCACTTGCTTTGCTATACAGCTGCAGCTCTGGGCCGGACATTCAAAGGAAACGTCCATTGTTTGCGCCATTAGCAATTCCCCGGACCACTTCGATACAAGCAAGTATCGTTGACATATCATACCTTTTCGCGAGGAAGCCATCGGTAACAGAAGTGGCCGATGGCTCTGTACCTATGTTCCCGTCAATCAAGGAGAAGATCATACCTGTCCCCAGAAGTATGCATTCATCACGGACGCAAGCTCAGACAGCATTCCTACGATGTTCTTTTCTAGGTCGCCTCTGGAGCGGCGATGCAGAGCGTTCAGCAACATCGAGACTGTTTGGTATCATCTCACGCGTTCTTACGCGTTCTCATTGCCGCCAATCTTTGGACTTTTCGAGAACAACGGGGCGAAGTATACATCCATCCAGCCCGGACGTGCGCACATCCCTGTCGCTGCCATGTGGCTTGGCGGGGGACCGACTTTGTGGATGACGTTGGCCTCGACGGAACTACGACATATTCCCGGCGCTTTCCTGCCTCTGACATACACTTCCCCATCCTCCTTCGGAATACCTTCATAGCGACAGTCACAATGATCCCGAACGACATACCACGAACCGCCGCGGCCGGAGACGAGTTCTTCATGCGCTGGACGACTTCGCCCTTGCCGCCTGACCAGCCGAGTGTTCGAACGAACGACATTACAGGGGATGCGGCTCTCCACGGCGGTCGCTTTCGATGACAGCAAAGATTTGAGTGGGGAAAGATGGGCAAATCTACTCAGCGGCTTGGCCGGTCAGAGGAGCTCTCGAGGAGAGAAGGACAGTGCAACCACAGCCGCAGCGGAGGTCGTGAATCTGCGGAGCGACGCAGAGGTGTCATTGGTCTGCGGCTAGCTCAGGCCAGGAGATGGGCATCAGGACATCGAATAGGCAGGCGACGGCGGGGAAGAGGACGGAGGGTCACACAAGCTGTTCTGATGGCTTCGCGGGAGGCAGAACTTGGCAGATCTTAAAGAGAAGTGTTTTGATCGAGGGGTACAAGCCTGTATGTGTGAGAGGGTGACGTCGTCGAGGCACAGAAGAATTACCTTGATGGCCAGCGTCCATAGCAAATTCGCACATCTGACTTCGCACATCTGTGTCCTCACTGCCAATTTCGCACAAGTGGGTTCCTACACCTGGTTTTCGCACAACTGGCATCCCCCGACCGCATGCATCTCGCGGCGAGGCTCAGCAAACGAATGCCGCAGTCCTTCACGAAGTTGCACATGAGTTGTAGTGAGAATGCCCGCTGCCTTGACAACAGCCATCCTTGACCGCTGCACTGCCCGCCGCCATGGACCAGATGTGCGAAGCCGTTGCAAATTTCGCACACGGCTGCCATTCACGCCGGCGCTTCAGTATCGCGGACTGAGCTACCTGGTTCGGTGAGGGTATCCCAATGAGATCTGCAGGCTCAATACTGTACCGTAAAGCATTCGTCAACGTCGATGTAGGACATCTCACTGGCCTCAGGATAGGTGCTGGGTGGGCGACTGCTAGTTGATACTACGGTTCAAGCTGGGCATCTTATCTCCTCTTTCGATCACGCTCTCCCGGCCACCGTTCTCCGCGCCATCCTTTGGGCTCGCTCCTCTCCTCCGGTCACTTCACATCCGCCTCACTCAGGAAGAGCATGCCCTCTATCAATCATACCAAGGACTACCATCGTAGCTGCAGCCCCGTTTAGGAATATAAAACGTCCCGCGCCTCATTCTTATCTTTGCCCAAGTCCGAAACGTGTATACAACATCCTGGAAGAGCATCTAGAGAGTGAAGTATTCCACAACTGCAAAGGGGAGAACAGGGGAGTCTGGAACCGGCGCTCAAATGCAATTCTGCTGTACTTAGAAAAAGAACGTCCGCCAGCTATTGCTTTCTCCAAGTCGGCCAGGATGAAGCAGAAGAAGCGGATGTCAGTTTGCATGAAGCATTATTCTTGGGCGATACTACGACGGGGCCTTTACATTGTATCATTCACGAGCTGCTTTCACTCGCCAAGACATTGCTTGCTATGGCGATGATTCGATAGTTGCACATACTCAAGTCACGGAAGTGGCGGCCACGGATATGACTTCCCTCTGATGTAGCTTGCAACTTCCTGACCGACATCCACTTCCTCCGCGACCTTCACATGCCACCTCCGCGATTTGGCGTCTTCCATCACGACAGTCTCACTTCTCACACTGCCCACTCGCCAAAGCTGGCCATCGCATATGACGGGTCTCTCGGAATTCGAGATCTCTCCAACTGCGCCCACCATGAACGACCCAGACTTCGAAGACCGCACGATATCCGACGACGAAGAGGACGATGCAGAGACCGTCTCCCAGTCGACACTCAACCCCGACTACACCGCCCTCAAAGCCTTCCGACGCGCATGGCGCAACTCCACACAAGCGCGAGGGGGAAGCATCCGAGCCACGGAGCTGTTGGAAAAGCTCGATGTCGACACATTCTGCGTGCTGGAGAAGATGCTGAATACCGTTGTTCTGGAGGAATCCAAGACGTATATCAGGCACATGGACCGCTCGCCGTTCTGGAAGCTCTGCGAGCTGGATATCTGGGGCCTTTTTGGCAATACGGGCTGCACGGCGGCGTTTCTTCTTCCCCTGACGAGAGATTTGGCTCGGGAATGTCAGACGGCGGAGGAGGCTGTTGGGTTTCTGGAGCAGGCTCGGGAGAGGCGCCGGAGTAGGCACAGAAAGGGAGAGGTCGATGATCGAGAGACGGGTGAGGAGTGGACACCATCAGATGTGAAGACGGCAGTGGAGCTGGCGAAGAAATCAATTCAGAGTATAACATCACATGGCGACGAATCTCTCGATAAGGGAAGCAACCTTGACGATACCAGCCTAGATACGACATCCACAAGCGACTCTTCAACACTGGACAGGTCTGGCAGCCGCGGCAAAGGTGGAGATGAGGACCGGAAAGCCATGGTTGAGCAAACGCTTGTGTGAGCCGACAAGCTGCAAAGGCCGGAGAGACGGCGGTGGAAACACTTTGTGAGATGAGTGCATCCAAGGTATTGCATTGCGTAGGCCTTGGATAATTTCTCTTTGCCCGTGTGCAGTCTGGTCGGAGAGGGTTTGGCTCTATTGGGTAGACTCCCTTCGTCTGCGCTCTCTGACGCTTTGTCGGGCAGCATCCCTCGGTAAAGAAATGGAAGTGTCGGAGTTGTGGCCTGACTATCTGCTCCTCTACGAGAGGAGGCTAGTTCGCTGAGTCGATGCTCGTGTTCCCATTCGATGCCTTGAGTGGTTTCTTGGCAGTCCAGCATACCTCGGTTGCTTGGCTGGTAGAGTGTGAGCTGCTCCTTGGAGAATCTACACGTGTGTTCTCAGCACCTGGATGGAAGAGGTGCCAAGGGGGATGAGAGTACGTGTAGGAAGAATGGCTCCTACATGCGCGAATTCCTGAGCGGGAATCGAGCTATCCGCCCAATGGACGCCTTATTCATACCCGAAGCACCACCCACAAGCGCAACCATCTCCGCCATCCCGTTCTGATGCCCATTCGAACTCTGTCAGGTCCGACATAAGCCAGTCCGTCTGTGCTACCTACCTTTCACGAGAACGAGGTTCCTTCGTCTACAATGTCCACGAGGCTAGTAATCAACCCAATCCAGAAGAAGATCAAATCATTGTACTGTACCACAGTACTTGGCCACGGTATATCACGGCGGCACGCCTTCCTACCGATCCTTGACATCCTTCGCATTACCGAAGCGCTTCACTGCGCCGATTTCCATCTCTTCGCGGCACGAAATCCACTCCGATTTTCCTTGTGCTTGTTCGTTCCGTCAGACCGAGATATGACCATATTCTGCACGGGCGTGCCGCATTCAATGTCTTCTGGATCGGGCATCTCCATGAACGTGGTGTGGTCCAGACGCTGTTCGCAGTATCGCAGGAAGGCAGTCGGTGGTTATCGCTCGTCGATGAGGGGAAGAGTGTATACAAAGTGTGATGCGTGAGGTAAGAGGATGTGAGGCGCGCGATCACAGGCGGGTTGAGGTACGTGTTGTGTCGAAGGAGGCAGAAGAACATGAAATGTGACGGAAGATTAAGTTATGCGGAGGATCGGGACTCGAGCGTGCGGAGCGGAGCGGATCAAAGTTTAGGCGAAATTGCGGGTTATTGACGCTTGCATCTTTCCCGTCGATTATTCCTCAACTTCCTCTCCTCATCCTTCTCACATACAACTACAACTTCACCATCCTTTTCCCGCCGCCGCCGACGCGCTCAAGCCTGTACCCGATCTCTACGATAGTTGCACCCGAAGCACGGCGGCGTATCGCGAATCATCCTCGAATCCCGCGACAGCATTCGGCCTCGATGAGAGAAGAAGCGGAATGATACCATCATTACAGCATCCATCGTCGCCGCTGCTGTCTACATCAATCTCTCCCATACTTCGGCTTCGGCGCCTGCTCGAGCCCACCTCCGTCTGTCGACAGCTCACCTCATTGAGGGCTATAAAGCGCAGGAGCGCCGCCTACGTCGAATCTCCTTGGCTCTCCGTGCTCTGCCGGTCTGAAAATCTTCAAAAGATGCATCAATGCCACTACAAATACAATGACTGGGCGGCTGGCCAGGCTCAGAGCAGCAGTGGAATGCACAGCGTGGCCCGCGGGACAATGACCAGCCCTACGCCTAGCATCACTCTCAAGACTCGATATTCCCAAGGCGCTGCTCGCTCGAATATTGATGCAGATTCGTACTCTCGGTATTCTGGCTCGCAGGCCTCCAAACAACGCAACCGAAGTCTGTCCTCTGTCAAATGATAGATATGGAGCCGGCGCGTGACTCGAATCGTAAACAGCGGACATCGATGGCCGGAGGCCCGAGAGTCTCAAGGGCCGTAGCAGAGGAGGCATTGGCGGACATTGGCGGGCATTGACGGGCATCGGCGGGTATCGGCCATTCTGGCACCGCTGTGGCTTTCGACTCGACCGCAGGTCTGCTGCATGCCGCGTATCTCCGCTGAACATGATGTCAGGTAGAATGCTAGTCTTGATGGGCTTTCCATGTTCCACACTCTGCCAAAGTTGGCCAGATTGAACGGACGTTTCCGGACATGCACACTGGACAAAGCGCTGTCGCATCGCGCAAGCTCCTGTGGACGGCAAGCTGGACATGTGACGAATTACTGCCAGTGATTGCGTCAGGAAGGCTCTCTACCTTTGGTGTGATGACCCGCTCTTGGGAAACCTGCTCTTGGAAAACCCGCTCTTGGGAAACCCGCTCTTGGCAAACCCGCTCTTGGAAACCCCGCTCGTGGATAACCCGCTCTTAGACAACCCGCTCTTAGGTAATCCGCTCTTGAATTACCCACTCTTGGAAAACCCGCTCTTGAAATACCCGCTCTGGTAGAACCCACTCTTGGTCATTAGGTCAGAAGTCGTCCAATTGGAATTCTGGCGAATGCGACCTGGCTATCGCGATGCCTCCAGAGATCTTCAGCCAGAATACGGATGAACGTTCTTCTTATGCACCATGTTGCCTGAACGGACATCTCGCGAATGGGCTTTCTGCTGTTCGCTGAGCATCTCATCACCGCGACTCCTTGTTTGACCTGCTAACAACATCTAGTATCCATTCTCATGCCCAGCGCCCGTGGAGACTACTGTGCTCTCTGTTGCTCTCCCCAGGGGAGCACTCTTATCATTTTCTCGCTAAACAAGCAGAGCTTCGACACCCTCCAATCTCAACAGCAATCATGCTCATGACCCAAGACGAGAGGCCATGGCCGCGCACCGTATCGGAGGACGAAGGGCTTTTAGTGATCCGATCTGGCTCAGACGAATACAACATTGACGCAGTCGAGCTGCGAGAGGCTTCATCTTGTTGCAACGTTGCTGCCGAGCGCAGTGCTGCGACTGACCTTGATCTGTGAAGCTTGACCTTGGCTGAATACCTCGTTCTGGAACCGACGCTTGGTCCGATAAGGCCGTCCCAAAGCCAGACCATGGCCTGGCGATCTCTCGCGCTCAAAATATCGCCTTCTGAAAGGGACAACTTCTGCTATTGTCCCGACAATCAGATATTCAATCCGGCTTTAACACTGGATATGGTCCCACCTTGGGTATTACAACAAACCTGGAATGGCGGAGTTGCACTCAATGCTGATTCCAGCTTTTTGATTGTGGACACGGCGTATCCCACGCCAAACCCTCGACCTCTCTCCACTTGGTCTGCGATTGGAGACTGTTACCTCGAGACGACAGCGAATATCAGCGCCATTGATTTCCCCTCTTTGTGGTCCAGGCCCTTGGATGGACCTTCGAAGCTCGGCCCTTCTCAGTACTTTTATAATTCCATGAATCGATCCCTAAGCCCATGTCTCGAACCGAATTGGACCTTTGACTAACGCCGTCACCTATCGATGTTCAGGCAATGCGTTCAATCTCGAATACAAGCCATTCTCGCCCGCCATTCTCTCCCGTTGCAGAGATCAAAGGTGGAGCTAAGAAAGCCATTCCTTTTCACAAGTGACTGTTGGTTTGACCATGCTCAGACACTTTGAGCGCCGGCGCACCTTGGGGCATCATGTTTCTACGGCCAGTCTACTGCGTGTACATGCAGTCTGATGGTAGTGTTCAAGAGCAACACCACGACTACGCCAAGCGCAGGATTTCGCCGCCATCCTGGAATAACAGCTAGGCTCATGTTTCCAAAGCAAAAGATCTAGCTTTCACTAATGAAACGCGATGTTCCCAAGTCGACAGCATAGGATTCAGAGACCGTGCTCTTGTTTCGCGCCCACAGATCAAGCCCTCGATATCGCCCCGCACTGCTGCAGGCAGCGATATGCTGACCGACCACGACTGTAGCCATAGGATCAAGCTGAGCTCTCCCGCAATCCCACCACGCGCCGTTTCCCATGCGAGCTGTATCTTGCAAGACTTCCATACGGGTTGCCAAATCTCGCGGGCGACTGACGATACTGTAAGCATATGTCAAGACGTCGACGCTGCCGCTGTCATTTGAACTACTACCCAGAATGTTTTGAAGGTGCATGGCTTGACCACTTGCTACAAGATTATGCGGACTCACCAATCTTGCAAGATGGCATTTGGCGATGACAAAAGAGACCATCACTTCGAGACTCTGCACTCCCTAAGGAAGACGCGGAGACCGAGCGGGATCATCGAAGTCTGGCGCTTCAACTCTTCCGGCACGGCTTGATTCTGTCGGACACGGCCGCCGCAGCTGCCGATGCTATCGTCTCAAGATGCCGCACCCGTGATTGTGGGAAACCCGTGTGGTGTGCCATTTTTGAGGAATTTGAAACGCAGTCCGCTTTCCGATGGAGGCAACGCCTCTCGGACCCATGGTTCGCTACATACCCGGCTAGATTTCGCAGCCTCAAGGCCGGCTCACGATCTATGTAAGGTGCAATACTTGCGTGTGAGGAAACATGACCAGTGAAAGATGAGATTGCCAGGCTGAGGTTGGCTTCTAACAGACTAAACTGATCGGCGTCTTCGCTGAGTATTCCAAAATGTCCCCAGGATAAGAATTCTTTCTTGCTCCAAATGGCTGGCTGGATCTGTCCCATCTAGATGAAGTCCCCGCGCACGCTTTCTTCGTCCTTCATCATGGATCCGCACTCTAGCGCTCTCTTGTCTTCCGCCCACATGCTACTTCATACGATATCTCTGTGGCGGCGCTGGTGATGGCCGCAATGACTTCTGGTCTGTTGACATCTGCAGGATCAACCGCAATCTCGCGGCAGCCAGTTGCCGGATTGTCGAAGTACATGTGCATTATACCTGCAAGAAGGAGAACGCCATGATTGGGCTCGATGAACGGAAAATCATCGCACAGGGCGCTCTGTTGGCTGACAGACTTGATTTCTGACCAATTTCCTTCAATTTCTGTCGCCAATTCGGAACGGCTCTTGAATTTGTCGAGGGGTTTGGAAAAGTTCTGAGTTCTCGTATGTGTCTGATTGACACGATTCTGCGATGCTTGGCTGCATTCATCTGTAAGCTTGGCACTGGACGCTGCTGGCGGCATCAATCTTACCTGACGGCCTCGTCGGAACCCGCGCTCTCCGACCTCCTGGTGTCGTCGGGAGATGGCTCGTCTTCTTTCATCTGGATGGCAAACGACAAGGAATTCCTCTTGCAGATCCGCTTCTTGCTGGGTATGCTGACCATGGTTTCCGCGTGGGCCCTGCCCAGATGAAAGCAGATCTCTCCTGTGCCAGGCATGTTAGCGCTCACTGCATTCGATCGGGCTGGATACCTGCTCAAGGTCTCGCGAACCTACCTGTCAAAGAGGATGTGAAGGGATTCTCCCGGTGAGAACTTACCTGGCTGGAGACAAAGAGTGTGGGAAACGCTCACTGTAAAAGGCGTTCGTCCGTATACACCGACTCCCTCGCAGATGCAAGGGAGGGCTCACTTTGCGGCATCTCGGGATCCGATTCCCATCACGCTGGAACTGCATGCTTCGAAGCTTGGCCCCTGTTGTGCCACACTGCATGCAACAGGGTGTTTCTGGCTCACACCGCTTCCCAAATTTGGGCTCTTCAAGACATGACCTCGTCTCGCAACGGAGAAAAGAGAGAACGGCCACCGAAAGTGTGATATATGCAGCCGCAGATTAGAGACACGCAACTCCTTGGAATTGGCATCTCTCTCTCTCTCTCTCTCTCTCTCTCTCTCTCGCGTACAGCAGATCACGATCCACTCATACTTGTTCGCCTGCCGACAGGAGATACAGGAGGTGTGAATGCTGTCACACGGCGTAGTGAAGCATCATCCGAGAACCCGGAATTGACGGGGCTGGGAGGAATTCAATCACTGGGTACACAAACCTGAGAGATTTCGGCTTACGATGCGAGAGTACTTGCTGTCACCGACAATCGGCAACCCCGGTGACGCTATATCTTGCATTGTGGGCATTGAAGACAGTCATTCCCTCGTAGGAGACTATTCTCTGGCAAAGTATGTTGTGAATTACTGGTCAAGACAAATGAAAGCGCAAATCTTGAAATTATACCCGTCTGGAATTCGCTCAAGGCACTCACTCCTTCGGCATTACCATGTCTTTCCAATCGACAACCCAACCTACTAAGAGCCTAAAACTCTTCTGAAGGGAAAGACAATTGCAATGTACGAGCTGACTGTCAGTAATGTTCTGCCGTGACGATTCTTCTAGGGCGATGCCGTTAGACAGCGGACAGGTAGCTGCCTTCTAAATTGGGAGAACCGACAGTAGCAAGATCGCGAGAGCTGAGTTATAATGGGCTGAACGCGTGACACCGCCGTGTTTAGCTTGTTATTAATACTCGGCCAACCCTTTTTGTGCCTAAAGGACTCTACGATACTATAGAACATCGCTTTTGACGTCCTCGGCGACGTAGGCCATGTATGTCATGATTGCTAAATGTTTTCCACGCAGGCGAGGCATAAGAGAGAGAGAACGGCATATGGGGGCCCTGTGTATTAAAAGGAGCAAGACCGCTCTCGATATAAGAGTGATAATCCGTTGCGGGATCTGTTCGTACCGGAAGCGATTGTCTCATTTGCTGGGGTGCTTTCGTCCCTCTCTTATAGAGAGGATCGACGCACATCCATTTCGTGACGTTGAAGCGTAGGTAGCTAAAAAGTGAATGGGACCCTCTTAGTATAGCGAGAAGCATAAGTCGGACGCAGTTATATTCGGCGATACAAGTTTGTCCTAATATTAATTAAAAGAGAAGGCGGCAGGCAGAAGGACACGGATGTAGCATTAAAAGACGTAAGATACGCTCGAGCTTTTCCCATACTAGCTATACGGGACCCGTTAAATTTAGCGAGCGGCAATTGGGGTTGAAGATTACTAGAGTACGTCGTGATTTCTAGAACCTGGTACAGAATCGTCGTGGAGGGGAGAAACGTAGATCGCCGATGGATTTTTTCTGCTTCTTTCTCTTCTTTCCCTTGCTACCACTGCCTTTGAGATTCTTTTGTAACTGTTAGCGATGGTCACTCTCGCCATACAACACGTTGCCCTAACGATCATCTTTTCTTAGCTGTACAGCTAGAGAAGTTCCAACTTCTTCCCCCCCTTCGGATCCTCTCTATCGGCTCATCCTCAACGCACTGTTCCGTTCCTGTCCACTTCGCTAACCGAGGACGTCAAGCCTTTGCGCTCAAGCTTCGGTCTAACTAATAGAAACTTGTGCCGATATTCGGAATATCGTACTCTACTAGGAAAGAAAGTCTACGACTCCTAGTCCCTTTATTATGTCTTTTAGCGACCTCTATGTCGTGGCCGTATCTATCTTAGAAGCCCTATACACTTCTAAGTACCTATTACGTTAAGATCTCGAAGGCTTTCCGAAGGGACAAAGTTGCTAATAGGTAGACCGCTCTGTACGCGGTGTCTTACTAAGAATCTATAAGCTACTAGTTTGCCTCGATTATTGTCGATGATAGGCGGCAACGTGGTGCTATTTCTACTGAATCTGCGCCAGTGCTTGCATACGGAACTCTTAGAGAATCTCTTTACGCGTTGTATCTGCAAGGTTTACGTTACCCTACGAAGCAACCGCACGTTGTCTAAGGGAGTCTGTCTGTGAAGCTTTATAGCCAAAATAAGGTTTAGCTAGCATCGGAGTCGAATGTGATACTCCTCACAGCTACAGATGATCTATTGTACCGTACCGTTAACACTACGCTGTCGGCAATCAATCATGCTTCCTTCGACATCTCCGTGGTTTCCATGCGGTTCTGGAACGGCCGAATCGTGTCAGGCGCTGTCGCCGGCAGAGGAGGATCGCTTTCTCTAGCGAACGTATGTCTGTCGGCTGTCCCCTGTGGTCCGTTCGTACTAGTGAGAGTGTGAAAAAGAGGCTCTCGTAATAAGTTCCCAGCATCTCTTCAAGCCTTGCTAGATTGACTATCCAAGCCCTCTCCCCAAGCACCGCGCATCCGTCTCGCGAATCGGATGTCTTTCTGCATGATCGTGATACGCTTCGCATGAATCGCACAGAGATTGGAGTCGTCCTGAAGGTGTACTCAGAAGGCTTGGGAGGCTTCCTGTAGTACTCGAACAGCTCGTGACGCCAGAGAGTCGTCGGGAGTGACCTGAAATGTCACCGCTCGTACCTATAACATACAAAATCAGCGGAGAGCTCTGTGCCTAGATGTGGGTGCATCCACGTACCAATCGTGAAAAGGGCACCTGAGCCATAAGAAGATGGGTCGATTTCTGGTAGGTAGTGCTCGAATTCGCCCCGAGAGCTTTGATTGCGGGTCTGTATCTACGCTTCCATTCTTACGAGGGGTTTGAGCGATGCCCGCCGCTCCACCGCGCATGTCATTGCCGCCGGTTGTGTGCGTTTATTCCGCCCGGCACTCTTCTTGCCATTTCTGCCACGCTCAGTCTTTCCCGGGAATCCGCTCGCAGAGGGTGTTTTTGCCGAGATTTCCTGCGAAGCCGTTCCTTGGAGGAATCGGTAGCGACGAGCAGATGACGCGATCTGTTTAAATGGTGCGGACAATCTTTAGGTCGCCTCGTCTGGTTGGGACTCGTCGTAGAGCACCAAGTGCATCAGGATCTGGTCAAGGGCGCCGATGGTGGCGCCAATCATCGTCTTCAGGTCGTGAAGGTATGGCCGGCGCTTAAGGCCGAGGGAGGACTTTGGTCGATGGTGGGAGGAAAGGAGGTGGTGCGCGCTAGAGCTGTTGATGTTGATGTTGATGTTGATGTTGATGTTGATGTTGATGTTGATAATGACGCGTCGCGGTTGACGCGAGCGGGATTGCGGAAGTGCGGCACCGTCGCGCCATCACGTGATTAGTCCCTGCTTTCTATAAGACACTCGAGTCGCGGCTTGGCGGTGGACATCTCACGACAAGATTGTGCGTCATCACATGATTCTGCATCACATGACTGGCCTCACATGACTGGCATCACATGATTGTGGACCACCAGTCGGGTCCCTTCCAAGCATCGACATATCGCTCAGGACTCACCGACAGTATAGACATGCAGAATACTCTCCTTCACAGATATTAATATGCAAGAGGACCATGAGTCCTCGAGTCCCGAACAACGTCCCAAGTCAGGACTTCGCAATCGAACATCTTGCCTAAGGCCCCACTGGTTTTCGATTCCGCGACCAAAATTTAACGCCGGTCCCCAATGGAAATTTGATTGAAGCGGGCACAACCGCTGCGGAGCGCCGCGCCTGGCCTACCACGGGGCGACATCTACAGATGCACGAAATCACGAGTCCAAAATCTTTCTACGCTCAATACGCTCTGCGCTCTCTTCTCGGCGGCCTCCAAATGTCGGCCGATGATCGGTTAAACCGCACTTGCCATCCACATAATCGCACGAGTGGACTTCTCACTTGTGCGACATGTATCGCCTCCACTGCTGCGACACTCTGCGCATAACAACACCTGGCCGCGGACTGCTTCTTTGATCGGTGGCAGCGGCAAGAAGCACTGGCTGCGTCACCGCAATCGCCTGATCTGATAAGTGTCAATTCGCTACACAGATGAACGATACGATACCTTGGCATTTTCCTTCATGCAGTCAGAACGCCGAACTTGCCTGGATGGAGCAAAGAAAGTATTCTGGCGGGCTATTCGGAGTGAAGGCACTCCGGCGCAAATGATTATCCCACAATTCGGAGAAAGGTTGTACCTTGGTGCAATTCCCACGAACATGGCGTTGTTGCAAACCATCCGCTCTAGCAATCTGGCTACTCCGTCCATGTGCTGGGCTGAACGGTAGGCGAGAGCTCCAAGGTGCTGCTTCATAGCCAGAGCGATAATGATAGCGCTTGTCCACCGCTTCCCAGTCTGCACCTACGACACAGATGCAGCAACCTATTAACCCCCGACAATGCGCTTGGAATGCCATATCGCAGCAGTACCTTCACCGGCGAAAATATTACCCTTGTTACACATATGACTACAGCCGATGGGAGATACGTCCTGTGACCACGCAGGTACCGATGCCTCCGCATACGAGCCAGCCAATTCAAGTCGTACGCCACAAGCGGAAACCGGCCTGCAACGCTCATAGGCAACGCCTTAGCGTATGGCGTCCACCATCGCCACGATCAGCTGCAATAGAGTGATTTAGCAAGATTCAACTACCTCCGACAAGCTGCATGTCCTCGCCGACGGCAAGCCCCAGATTATGGACAAGGTCGAAGAGCTTCCGTATTAACACTTTAATCCTGTTTAGCTATGCGAAGACGGTAGGGAGAGGAAGTCGGTTGCGGAGAGAGGATCGGCAATGAACTCCGTTGTGTTTCCCAGGAGAACTCTCCGCTTATCGCCGGTTACCAGAGGACCCGAATGGATCGGCATTGCGCAAGCACTACTTAACCAAAATCTCGTTACCCGGGGTGTATTTCTACCAACTCCATGCTACTGGCTCAGTAGCCACTGAACGACAGAATACGAATCAATTCGCGCCTTTCTGGGATCGACGGCAGGGAGGCCTTTCGGTAGACGCCAGATCGTAGCCGCAGACCGCCTCCGTGCAAAGGCCAATCCGCCCGTACAAATCCTTCCACGGCGATGGATGGGATCGCTGCTACAGAGTGGTAAAGGGCGCAATGGAGCACTGTACCGATGAACCCAGCTCATGTGGTCCAGACTCCGGCTGAAATCGTGTGAGCCGCGCCCAAAGCCCGCCCGACGCCGAGTGCAAGACCTCTCGGGCTTCGTCGAGAAGCAACGGAAGAAATGGGACTCCATTCATCACAATCAGCTGAGTCTTTCTCATCGCTACGGAACAGGAGATCAAGCAGGGCACGAGGAAAGATAAGCGAAGACTCAGAGCAAAGATTCAGAGCGAAGATTCAGAGCAAAGATTCAGAGCACAGACTCAGAGCCGCCGGTGCGGGACTGCGCATGGCAACAAAGCCTTCTTCAACCCACAGAAGTCGAATCTCGGGAAAAGAAGGATTCTCTTAATAAGGACTGGAAACAGCGTCCGCGTCTTAGTCCCTCGGCAGCCCACAGGAAATGCACCTAATCCTCTCGTTGTACCCAACCTCGATGCTCGATCGGAGACATTCATTGATCGTGTATCCGCAGACGGACAGCAGCGTGATACGGGCAACTTGCTGCAGGACGCTCGTCATGGCGGCCAGCACCTCCTTCACGGACGGATCAAATCATCGGCTCATAATAATCCTCTCCGGGAGGCTTGGGCGCGGGGGAGGAGTCGATTGGACGGGCTAGCAGCAAGAGGTCAAAGGGCAGGAAGGTGCCGAAACAGCCGTCGCCGATGGCCAGGGGGAAATTGCCGGAATCGTATCAGAAGAGAGCCAACTGGGACAATGTCTCTCGCCGCGATATACGCCGCACCGCCCGCCAGCGTTCCCCCGGGGGCGCGCTGCGAGTCCCTCCGCTCGTGAACCTTGGCATCGAGAACGCTTATTCCTTCGGTTGCAGCCTTGTCCTTAGCATCACCCCCGACGGGAATCGACAGATACTCCGGACAGCGCGAGTTGGTCCATTCCTCTTCGGTATTCATAATACCGGATCTTCATCGCACAATGAATGGCATCTGTACCAGGTATGAAGCAGCAGCAGCAGCTTACTAGCTTCCAGCCACCTGGTAGCGAGTACTTCACTTGGCACCTGGTAGCGAGTACTTCATTTGGCACCTGTACCAGAACTGCACTAACTTGGGCATATGTCTGCCTACCCTCGACCCGGTAGAACGCGAAATTCCATGGATATATGAGTGCGGCCGGCTTAGAGCGCCTTCACAGACAGTACTTATAATTTCACGAGACCGGTGCTCGCTAGATTGAGGACGAGGACTCCGAAGACGACTACTACTAGGCGTGGTAATACTATCGTCTTATTCACTCGTCTACCTAGCGACTGGAAGTCTGCCTCTGAGCGACTCCACACGTCTCTGCGAGCCCAGGCATCACCGGCCTCACGAATGCGAAAGCGGCCGAGCAAGGGCTAGAAAAAAGGAGCCGCCACTTCCTCCTAGAGCTATTCTCGTTCTTCGCCTATATTACTCCAGCATTCGCGTAGGTAGCACTTGGAGATACGTACGTGTTCCGTTAGACAGACCACGACTTACACCTTCGGGGACATTACGCCATGTGCAATACTTCATCGTACACCTCAAATTAGAGAGGAGATATCCAAACTATCGTGCCTCGAATTGCCTCGCTCTCGGGTGCTTCGGTAACCCTTTGTTCGCTAATAGTATCCCAATACTACACAAGTATAGTTCGTAGCTGAACCGGACAATTTTGTTAGGTCTTTCGGCTATACCTCGTATGCTGTAGTACACTCCACCCCCTCCTTCCTACTATATAGCGTGGCTTTACCGTTTATTAGATTCCATCTCCGGAGATATCTTCCCCTTTTCCCAAGGCATAGAGACCGATTTAGCGGCGCTACCACGTAGCAAAAGATATAGACGTCCACGGAAATCATAGCTACATTATTTCGAATCTTTAGAGCCGAGTACTACTATAAGGACGAGCGAGTACGTAGGATTCGAAAGCAACTTCTAGCACGTAGGATGTAGGCATTCCACATTCTTATCACATGATCACAGAGCGCTGCTCATCGTTTACCGGTCGTAGTAACTCTCTCTCTCTCTCTCTCTCTCTCTCTCTCTCTCTCTGTGTGTGACAAGCGAGCCACGAAAGATAAGATCTCTCCAATCCTCCCCATCTTACTTCTTCGTATCTCCACTCCTCCTCTTCCATTTTCTCGCTTTAAGCTCAAACCCGCTGCCGCTGCCTCCAGCCTTTCCAGCTACTGGTCGGTCACGATTTCCTTTGCTAGAGAAAAACCCTCCTCAGTCCTATTCGGAATGCTCCCGGCGGTCTGTCTATTCACGCCTGCAAGAGTCGGAGCTCTTCTCTAAGTCCTCGTCGTCGTCGACGTTAGCCTCTCGATTGGTTGATCTCCGCCTAGGATGTACCTACTTATCTGCTCATTTGAGTGCCCATCGCAGTCCGCGGAGTCGGCTGTTTCGCCTTGAGATTTTACATTTCAAGAACTAGAAGTTGCAGCAGGTCATCTATCGGAGAAGTCGTTCAAGAATGTGAAGGATCACCGGTAGCAGAACCGGCAACATCTAGTGTTGAGCTGCCCACCGGCTGCTTGAAGATTTTGGACTCTGGCATGGCGCTCCGTTCATCATTCTAGGTGTAGGTCTTGGCTCTATTCTAGGAGAACGCTCGAGAGGGCCCGTCTGATTACCTCGCCAACGCTCTGTCGATCAATGCCGATGTGGTTTCCGACCCGATCGGTACACGAAACGCTGCTCATACGTAGCCGCAGACCTGGCAGTTTGAATCTCCAATGTGAGGCTATGAGTTTGTTACAGCACAGTGCTGGAGAGGATTCGTTCCAAAAGCTAGTGCACGTCTCGCCAAGGGTGGTGGGGTTGAGATTGATGCTAGAGTCACTTCCGACCAGATGCGCACCAGGATCGCCTGCTCATGCTAAGCCGCCGGTCCTCCTGTTTTGCGTTTACATGAAGTACAATCTCGGCGGTTTCCAAAGACCAGAACGCGGTGCCTTGTCGCTGATGACTGTCTGCAGGCGTGAGAAAATCGTCTGGGCTAAGGCGTCCGAGAATGGGCAACACCGAAATATCATGCAATGTGAATTGAGGCGGACTGCTCTTTCGCCTGTGGTGTTCAATTGTTGAGATCGTGCATGCGGAGTTTTCACGCAGCGTGCGAACTGTTGGAGAGCAGAACTGGACCTGAAGGCAAGTCCTCGAAGGAAGATTTTCCGGGCCGGCCAGACAGACGTAAGCAAGACCGACTCCCCTCATGAACTCATGTGATTCAATAGGTAAGGCCCTCAACCGATACTGGAAGTGTATCGCGTCGCCGCCTTCGCCAACCTCGAGAGCGCACATGTCCAGTGAGGCCAATTCTCTTACGAAATTTCATTGGGGCGCCGGTTCCAGCAGCCACTCCACAGCCTCTCGGTACCTGGAATACCTGTCCAGCCGCAACAGCACAGTAGCGATGACGGAGACGAAGAAGTGCACTCGGTCATCAGCATCGGTCATATCGAAGGTCCGTGAGCGAAAGACTCCTAGGGGCAGCGAGTTCTCGCCACTTTGACCATTGGCGATGCTTTGCAGCCGAGAAGAGAGGACATCAAGCCGAGTGATGTACGCATGCAGGTTATGCCAGGAGAACATGAATGGTTGCTGCAGACTCTATCAGGAGAGGAGTTTCGGATAGTGAACATGCTCCATGGATGGACTCACGAGAAGCTTATCGGTATTACTTTTGGAAGGCGAGGTGGAACGTGACTTGGTCGACGAGCGTGTCATCTCGGCCAAGCAGAGCAGATCTCCTACCTCTTGACCAAGAATCCAATCAGGATGCTCACCGTGGTGGAGGCGCTTAACCTGGCAAGGCAGTGGTCAACGGAGCGATACGCGAGAGGTGACATGTCTGAGCTACCTCACCACCGAGAACTGCATACTTGAGCTGTGTGGATGCGTCTCTGTTCTCTGTAAAGATTTGCAACCAATCCATCCGGGCGGTGCACTGCCCGTTATCGACAAAGACGCGGAGCGGACGCTCATTCTGGTATGCTTGCGGGTCAAACCGCAAGACTGGAGCTGCGGCTGTAGTCATAACGCTGTGTAGCTTGGTAAAACAGAGGCTCACAGCCATCTGGACAAGAGCTTCAGCCCAGTCGCCTTTTACAGCCGGGCTCTCGAGGAAGCTGCTCGGATCGTCGACGTAGGGAGAGTCGGCTGAGCCTAAGCTGGAAGCAAAATCAAATGATGCGGTGAATGGTACTGCATCTGACTGGGTGCTAGTAGTATTCGGAGTTTCTGGCGGTAGCAACAGGGGAGCACTGGGAGTCTGAAAAGAGTTCAAGAGACGAGCGGCAGCGACGGGGGTAGATTGCTGGAGGTTAGAGAAGGAGATGCTGGTGGCGAAAGGCGTTGCCCCAGCGGATTGCGTGCCAGTTGAATCTTGAAAATACCCAGGACGTAGAGCCGAGGATGGAGGGGAGGATGTAACGGCAGAAGTAGCTGGCTTGGAGGGCGTCCTCGGAGGAGAGGAGGGATACAGCATGCCTGGACTAGCTGTAGGCCGAGTAGAGGAAGAAGCCAAAGCGGCAGCGGGTGTGGATGGTGCGGGAAGAGAAAGAGCAACAAGTTGTCTATAGTGCTCCCCTAGGCCTTCATCGGAAGAAGCGCGAGCGTTCAGACTCTCCCAAGGCTCGCCAAAAGCATTTCGAATTTCCCGATGGAGCCGGCTTCCGGGCTGCGGAAGAAACCGTGCGTGGGCGGAGGTGAAGACCGGCGGAGGATCGTCATCGTCCTGACTGCAGGTACCCTCATCGAGCGAGGCATCTGCAGCAACAATGGGACATTCGGTAATGAGCCGTGTGTGCAGCCATTCCAGATGCGTCGTCTTCCACTCGCTGGTCGAGGGCCCCAAGCGGGAGGGCTTGTTGGATACAAAGGGCGACGGATCGTGCTGGGCGGACGATGGACGCCGGAAGGGTTGCGACATACACTGAGGTTGTTGAGGTGTACAATTACCCCGTTGCCGCAATGCAGTCGATGAGTATGAAGAAGAGTGAAGTCGATAAGAGTGAAAGATGATGTTGATGGAGTTGAGAAGATGCGGGGCCGCGTTTCCCGGGGATCGGCGGGGCGCTGTGGGGGCGGGGCGGGCCGCGCGCCATGGCAACGCTCGCCGACATAACAAACCCGGAGCAACCACATCATCTCATCTCACACAAAGCTTTAACACTTCTGCATCTGCACGCGACGCGAGATGGCGTCCATTTCGACAGGCGCTGGCGTGCGTCAATCTCCAATGCGGACTCTCCCAACCCAGACAATTCCTCCAATGGACCAGTCAATGACCGCCCGAGCCCTCCGCCGACGCTTCGTACACGCCCTGCTCAACGACGAATGGCACATCTTGCTCGTCTCGGTGCGCGAGCACCTCTCCGAATCCAGCGGTTCGCAGAAAGCGCGTATGGCCTGTGTGTGGAAACTGCTCCTGGCGTGCGGCTTCTATCCTCATAATCCTCAAGGCTCATGTATACCCGGATTTTCGGTATGCGTTCCCTCGAGGCTCGCGAGGCGCGCTTTACTGCGTACGGTGCTAATCTTGTTGCAGAATCTACTGGGCTACCGCGCTCTTCGTCACGTATCTATCCACATCACCTCCCGCGGCGCATTCCTGTACCACCGCGGCCGCCGCATTGGCTCCCGTCCATACATTATTCACAACAAGTTCGACCTTGCCGCCCTGATTCTCACACTCGACCAGCATTGTCAGCGATACAAACGCAAGAAGGAGCAGTGGGCGAAGAGCCGAGGAACAGATCTGGAAGAGCAGCAACATGGGAATGGAGACGAGACGGCTGGAACAGTAGGCAAGAAAGAAGTACCTGCAACACCCTCTGCTTCTCCGGCCAAGACCACGACGGGATCATGTCCGGAATCAAATATCTCAGCTCTGCCGGCCTACGGTAAAGAGGAAGAGCAGGCGACAGCCAGCGCAGGTGTGCAGCAAGAAGTTAGTCATGGATGAGTTTAGCCCGCTGTCGGCCTACACGCGGAGCCCGACCTATGGACGGCCAGCAGGCGCGGGCGTGATTTGGTCAGACCTGGACATATCGTATGTGATCGATTTCCGCTAGCTCGGCCACCTGAATGACTGTCCACGGGCGAAAAGACCTATTCGATGGCAGCACTGGCAAAGCATCAACTTCAGCAGGCCGCCCCCACCACCTCACTCTGCTGCGAACAGACCATCTTCAAGTCGACGCAGGCAACACTGTCCCGTCGGCGGCCCAGGCGAATGGCTTCCTCCGTCGCGGGCTGACCCTTGCTGGACAAAGCTGGCATGAGTCGACATCTCCATCACCGACGTTCAGGTTCTGCAGAGGAGGGTAATCACGGACGGGTCTGCAGACGGTGTCTCGGACTTCAGGATGCCAAATTATTCAGAATTATCAGAGTAGATATGGGATCGAAGTAGATATCGGAGCTTGCGATGGGTGCCGCCCATGGACTGGATTTCCAGGAGGCAGCATCAACTCTTGCATTACAATCCACGTAAACCCCAAGAGACTCCAGCATTGGATCGCTCCACATCTATCATTACAAATCCAGCAGGTCCCCATCATCGTCGCCCTCGTAGCCCCAGTCCAGCTCATCTTCCTCCGGTGCCGCCATCGTTGGCTTCTTCTCTGCTCCTTCGACACGAGTCTGCTCCTTCTTGCCTCCAATCAGATCTTGTCCAACCTTCTGCTCCTGGCCACCCTGCTGCTCCGGATTTCCCTCCGGCTGAGCCGTGGCACCTCCTGCGCCGGATGGAGAGCAAGCCTCCTCCTTGCCTTGCATCATCTCCCGAATGTTCTCCTCGAGCACCGCCTCCAAAAACGGCAAGATGTCCTCCACAGCGCTGGTCTTTGCTTCTTTCTTGGTGTCCCGCAGATCGCCGATAGCGCTGTGTCCGTTGACCGTAATCTTGACCCGGTACTTCTTCTCTTCCTCCACTTCGATCGCAGCGTGGAGGCCGAGGCGCTGGTGTACCGCATTGAATCGCTGGAGAGGCTCGGTTGGGACTGTCACGAAAGGAAGTTTCAGTCCTGTCTTTGGCGTGGGAAATGTTTTGGGTACTGTACTCACGAGGCTTGAGGCGCTTCTTCAGAGCCTTGGAATGCTGAGCAGGCTTGCTCACTCCTCCATCCTTGACGCTGGCTAGCTTGTCCGCCGCGCTTGTCATGGCTCTTGCTCTGGTTTTCGGTGCCATTGCGTGGGTCTTGGTTGATAGGGAACAGGAAGAGGAGTTTGATCTGGAAGATGGGATGCTACCATGTAAACAACACAGCAGGCATAGTTGTGGTGCGGACTCCGTTTGTCAGTCGAACCCCAATCTCTCATCCGTCCGCGTTTGAAGCCGCATCCCAGCATTCCGTCACTTCAGGATCCAGAGAGGCGGACATGGCCAGGGAGGAAGAGCGAGCGCCCGTGGAATGGAGCAAACGGCGATGATAAGATGAATTTCCCCCAAGGCTCTTGCCCTTGTGAAGCATGAAGCAACGTCGAAATGAGTGACGAGCATCTGGCGAGGAAGACGAACGCGGCGGGGAAAAAGCCCGGGGCGCTAACGCATGTGACACCACGGCTCCACGTGGGTCTGCGGGCCGAGCCCACCATTGGGCGGGCCGATCAGCCCCGCTTCAACCTCATCTCCTTCTCAGTATAGAGCACGACACAGCCGGTCCTCGTCAATTGATTGCGTGCTGAACAGCATTATCCGAGGAGACACAACTGAATCTTTTCATACCAATCGCCATCGTCCCCACCAATGGAAACTTCTCTGTCATTCGACTTGTCACACAATACACACGACACCCAAGCACCTGTACCCTCTTATTTGAGTTCAATATCGAATGAATAGGAAACCCGACTCCTAATCTCAGGTCTCCCCGTGAACGACGGTATAGATTGTCAGGATCGCGACACTGAGCATTATATACACATCGCCCAGCCTACCTCGGCGCAGATGCGGAGGCTCGACAGCTTTGCCAACGAGGAAAAAAAGGGTATTTGCAACATGATCGAGTACGAAAAGTGCCAGGTGGGCGGAGCTAAAGATTGCAACTGAATCCAGTAGCTGTAATCAAAGCCTAGAGAGTGGGTTGGCCTGTTTGACCGCACTGCTACATAGCAAGCGATAGCTGAAGCTCGCGAACGATCCCTCCTAATATATCCACGAGGATGACGGAGTTTATACAGTAGGACCCGGTATACCTTGCGAGAGATCCGCGGGTCTTGTTACACATTGTATCTAGAGATACTAGCATTAACTGGCCTCTACGGTGAAGAGAAGTTAAGTCTTTCAGCTCTTTCGAAGCCTCTTAAGACCAAACCTGTCACTTCGCAAGTCAATCTCGGCTGCTCACAGAGTATCGTATCTCTTGATTTGTGCGGGCGATAATCCGGACAAGTTGATTCCGCATTTCCAACCGAATCAACCCCGGAAGGAAAAAGAAACGAGGGAGGGCCACACAGGGGATATTACCTCAAACTTTTTAGGAACAAAACAAAACATCTCAATCAAAGTAGGCTCTACAACCCATTTTTCCTTTTTAATACTTCTACTTCTTCCCCTTCCCCTCCCTTTATTTATTTGCAGTTCCAAATCTCAAGACCAAACAAAAGCAAGCAAGCGAAGACGGTCCTATCTCCCCACACACACATACCTCTCTCTCTCTCTCGAAGCTCGGGACGAACTGTGTTTGAACTGCTGGCCAGACAGTTCAAAACAGCGCCGGATGGTCTTCGCGAGAAGGGGGGTGTGTGTGTTTGTACAGATACCGCCTCTCTTGTTCCTCTCAAACAAAATCCAAATCCAAAAAGTGCCACCTCTCTACACCACAGCACACCACAGTACTGTCTGCCTGCCAATTCTCAAGTTTGGTTTTTGTTTTTTCTTTCGGTTCGCCTTGAAGATCAACCTGCTCGAAAGGATCTCTCATCCCATGGACGAGGATTGTTCTTCTTGGTCTTCATCGTCTCATCCCATCTCATCCCATCTCGTCTCATAGAGTGTTTGGCTGGCTGGCTGGCTGGCTGGCTGGCTGGCTGGGCGGGTGGAAAAGGAGAAAGGGGAACGACGATCCCATCTCCTCAACTCCCAGAATGCCGTAGGAATGCATAGTACCAGACCAGAGTCGACCAGACCGGACCAGACCAGAGCAGACCAGCCGCAGTGCAGTACAGTGCAGTGCAGTGCCACATTTTGTCTTGTTTTGGTCTGGTTTGTTCTGGGTTGGCTTGGGTTGGTTTGTTTTGGTTTTGTTTGATTTGTTCCGAATCGATTCAAGTCAAGTCAATTCGACCTCGATTCCGTTCGATGCGTCTCGTGGATCGATTCGCCAAAAGGGAAATTCGAAATCCAAGGCCGTCGTGGAGAGAGCTTTTCTTTTGCGCCTAGGAGTGGGGTTGAGCAGAGATGAAGTCTGTAGATTCTTGTCTTGGTTTGCCTGGAATCATCGACATCGATTCGTGACCCGGCTGTGAGATGGTTTGGTTTGGTTTGGTTTGGTGTGGTATGAGATGGTGTGAGATGAGATGAGATGAGGTGTTCTGTGCGGCAATCTTTGCCTTTGCCTCTGCCCGCAATTTGCGGAATTCCGAATCGGCATCCATGGATGAAGTGCAAAGAGCTGGCTGGCAGTTGCAGAGAGAGAGAGAGACGTGGTTTTTCTCTTGTCCATCTCCACTCACTCCTTCAAGGAGGAGAAGGGAAGAAGATATCGTCCCCGAAGTCGATTGGATAGGGAGAAGAGTGTACCGCCACGGACGGAGAGATCAGGATTGGTAATCTTGGAGAACATGTTGGCTTGGCCGTGAGATCGAATGAAGAGATCTTGGGCAATTTTTGCGTTCTGCTCGCTTGTGATTTGTCTTTGTCTTTGTCCGGCGAAGAAGAAAACCATTTAGATGATGGATGGATGGATGGATAGCAGTGCTGCTTTTTTTGGGATGTTGCCTCGGATGAGAGTTCGATCTGCGAGGAGCGGGCGAGCGACTGATTGATTGATTGATCGATTGATTGATTGATTGAGTGGTGCGGAAATCCATTTGAGAAGAAGGGTAAAGATCTGCCGCCGTGGAGGTGCGTCGTCGTGGCTGGCCGTGAGAAGGAGAAAGATGTCGACAGAACTTTCGTCTTTCAAGGTGTTAATGTTCCTCGATGATCTGTTATGGCTGAGGAGCAAGAAGAGGAGTGGCTTGAGAGGACCACATCCTTGATATCGAGTCGAGGAGAGTTGATCGATCGATCCAGAACTCAAAAGAGGACGGAGATCATGTAGTGTGTGATATCGTCTCATGGCTGTATGGATTTGATGCGCTTGTTGTTCGTGGAAAGGAAAGAAAAGGAAAGGAAGAGTCCGATGCTGTTCTGACGAGCCTTTTGTGAAAAGTCAGTTCTGTATCCTGCTAGACCGGGAAAACTCGCGAGGAAAGAGGACTTACATTCCATTTTCCCATGATGATGGAACAAATGGAACAAGAAGGGCCATTGGGGCCGGAGAAGGCCACATCGCGCCAAGCAGGAGATGTTGATGGAGTGTTGCCCATTTCAAGAAAGAAGAGTGTCGAAGTGTTGCTCATTCGAAAAGAAGAGTGTGGATATTTCGCTTTCCGTCGTGAGACGAAAGAGGAGAGGAGAGAACGAAGAGCTTCCCTTCCCCATCCAGCGTCCTAGACGAGGAAGAAAGATCTTCTCCTCCTTCTTCTCTGTTGTCTTCTCCTCACCCGGCGTCCCGGGGAAAGGAAGAAAACGTAAGAGAAGAAGAAGATGAAGAAGAAAGAATTGTTCATTTCCTCTCCTCTTTTCATCTCCGCGGGTATGCAAGCGAGAGGTTGTGGAGAGATTCGTCGTGGAAGGCAGAGAGAGAGAGAGAGAGAGAGAGAGAGAAGATTGAGAAGGAGCAAGGATATGGATAGATAGATAGATATAAGGAAAACGGATGCGACTGTCGAAGGTCTGGAGGGATGACTTACGAGTTGCAAGAGACTGTCACCTTACCCGACCGACGACTTCCGACCCACGACTGTCACCGCCGGTACATGAGACATTACAGGATCGACACTTGCTCCTGTACAATTCCTACCCGACAGGAGCGCCGGCTGGAGTTCGCAAGTCCCGGGCAGCAGGTCCCGTAAGCTACGGCACCCAAGTTATGGGTTCAAGTTGAGAACTCGAAGTCGAGAGTCCCAGGCTGCAGGCTTCCACCCAGAACACCCGGGTCGAGACCTTCAAGTTATGCCTGCCAAGATATGGGCTCCAAGGTGAGACCTCCCAAGTAAGGTGTCCAAGCTAGGATGTCCAAGTCGAGAAGTTCAAGTCATGACCTACAAGTCAACATCTGCAAGTCAAGATATCTTCACCTCACGACCTTTAAGTCGATACCTCCAACTCACGACCTTCAAGTCGTACCCTTCGTAACGAGACCTGCTGCACGTCTTGCTTGGCATTCCGGTTATCGTTACTATCCAGTCCCGACCGCCGGTTGAAAGTCGTACCTTGAGCCTTACTCTCCTGTCCTCTCCACTCTTGGAGTCTCAAGCTGTAACTCACGACCTCTAACTCATGACCTGCAACTCACGACCTTTGAGTGATGACTTTCACCTCACGACCTGCATGCAGATCTCGGCCTGCACGGCGGGATCTGCAAGCCCTCATGCATGTCTTGAATCCCGGGTGAGGGCCGCCGGTTGCACGTCACTTCGAGCCTCGAATCCCGCAGCAGTTGATCGTCCGCTCTTGATGTCCTATCCGCGGTCTCTGAATCATCTCTATTGGTATGGAATATGGCCTCCGAATCGTCTCCATTGGTATATGATATGGCCTCCAGGTAATGGCCTCATGCAAGATAGACCGGCAGACGGCCCCGCATGTCTCAGCTCGAAAGGTCACCGCAGAGTGCATCCCGCCGGTTGCAAGTCACACCCCGCACATCGCACCTCTGCGAATGCCAAGTCTCGATCTGCAGATCAATCATGTCCCGTCCTCTTGCTCTGCAGGTGTGAAGATACAAGATTCTGCCCCGTCTTAACGCTCTGAGAGTCCCACCAGTAAACGCTGCTTATGTTCCCCTGGAACAATTGCTCAAGAAGATGGAGGCATGCCTGATTTTCCACATTCCGTCGTCTATCGTAGCCACAGGAGAGTAGTGGAGCTTGTATTGTTTGTCCTGCTCTCCATCGCCTGGAGATTAGATGTTGGGATGCGGTAGTAGTCTCGAGGGACAGGCTCCAGCCCCGCGCTCTGACGATTCTTCTTCGGTGTGAGGAGACGGGTTTCGTGGGGCGGCGTGGGTACGGATCGCGTGACGGGATCGCTGTTGCAAGTATTCCGCTACGCCGGGAAAGGCAGTGAAAGCTCGATGCTGGGTGGATGAGATGGCTGCCGTTCTTCTTCGTCGAGGATGTTCAATGCGGGCAGAGGACAAACGAAGAAGTGGACCTCACCCGTTGCACGACTTCACGTCACCTCACGCCGTATATCTCTTCTGGATCTCCCGCACAACACCTAGTGCCTTGAATCTGATCACTTGCTTCCCATCCGCCTCGCCGCCTCGCTACGAAGAATGCTCCGTCCTCTCTTTTAACTTTTCGGCTCTCCCACCAAGGAAACCAGGCAACATGGCAAGCAACGTGACCTCCACGGGGGAGCGCGCCGAACAGCTGCGTATCGAGATCCGCCGCGTGCAACAGGGCAAGCGAGTCCTACGCGGACAGATCGAGAAGATGAAGGCCGAGCTCGAAGCGGATCCCGAGGCGGCGCCGGTGTACGTATCCCTCATCCTGTCTTATCCTGCATCTCCGTCCCCTCTACTATCTGGCCAAGCGAAATGACATGTGATGCTGACTGTCGCTGCGTCCAGAATGCCCGACTCGGCCTCCGGAGAGCCACGATACCCCGATCCGCGCCTCACTGCGACGATGGAACGGCTGCACGCTGCTCTGGGCGCGTCGGCTCACGATCGGGCGATGGGGCGATGCATTGAGTTGCTGGCGCAGATTGGCCGGCAGATGGCGGGTGGAGGTGCGGGTGAAGATGCGGAGGAGGGCGGGATGGAGTGGGAGGGAGAGCAATAATCGAGGAGAAAGATGAGAATGATTCGGAGGATGATGGAGAGAGTGATTCGGACAATAATCGCGTGCGTCGTCTGTCATGGCGGCGTTCGGCGGGCCGAGATGATGGGATATGAAGAGATATCTATAGCGGGGTAAATATAATGGGATATAGAGGGATATGCTGCTGTATTGTCCGTGAAATCTTGAATATCCGGTCCCCACCAGCAACTCGGCTCGAGTCTCGGATATCATATCTTTCTTCCTCTTCCTCCTTTCCTCCACCTTCACAAGACCTTTGGAAAGGGCTTTTCCCTTCGCATCCAACAATCATGGCTCCTTTCACATCGCAAGCGACGTCTCGCGAATCCGGCTGTCTCCTCCTGCTGGACATGACCTTCCCTTCACGATCCCTCGTCCCGCGCGAACCCTCCACCCTTGAACGGGCGAATTTACCCCATTGAACCACCTCATTGACTGCCGCTGGAATCCATTCCACTGCAACATGTACTCCGACTCCCCCGCTCTCTATACCGCACCACCCGACATCAGCCGCCCTCATCGACACATTGCTGCAGCCGAGTCTGGCCCCAGCATCACGTGAGCACGCGGGGATCTGGCAACCTTCCGACCTCACTTCACTTCGTCGACTTCGCGTGTACGAGCGCGCACCGAAACTCAAGAACCGTCTCTCCATTTCACTTGCACAACATCCTACACGCGGTATTCGATCCAGCAACACCGACTTCGCCTATCGCCCGTCCAGCAACTCGTCTGCTCGGCTCTCCACGCAGTCCACGGCGCGTCAAGTGAGTTGCTGCGGGAGTGCAAAGGGGATTGGAGACGCAGCGAGCAGCAAGAGCATTGGGCGGAAGGAGTGGAGTGACAGCAGGAGTTCGGCGGCAGCAGGAGTTTGGCGGCAGCAGCAGGGCAGTGGCAGCAGCAGGGCCACACCGGCAAAGAAGACGGATTGATCACAGCACCGCGGACACAACCCCTCCGGCATGGCAAACGCCACGGAAGGTGCGGCAGAACAGCGCACGAGCAAAGCTGGCGATGCGGTGCTCGTCATTGATCTGACGGAAAGCGACGAGGAGCAGACCGACGAGGAACAGGCTCCGCGGGAAACGATTGATCTGACCGGCAGTGACGACGACAGTGAGATGCACAAAGTCACCAACAAGCGCAGCGCCACCACTGCCTTTGGAGAAGACGACGCGGACATGGAAGAGCCTCCCGCCAAAGCCGCTCACGACGAAGCTGCTCCCGGAGACGACGACGATGAGATTGAGGTGATGGCGTTTGATTGCCAGCAATGTGGAAAGCAGCTTCCCAGCAGGCATTCCAACAGCGCGGCCTTGTTCCATCCCTGTGGCCATCATGAACTGTGTGCGGCGTGCATGGCTGCGTACCTGGCCTTCGAGGATGGAGATGCCGTCGGCAAGACGTGCTGGAGCTGGTACGTTCGTCAATTTTCTCCGTCGCGGTGCATCGGTTCGTCGTGGCTGATGACTGCACAGTGCTCAGCCCATTCAGGTCAACTATGGAGTGGTGGATTGAGACTGCAGGTATACGATTCTCCCGGAAAGACCAACCGGACGACTTGCCGGGAGATCGGCCCTGATATGCCACTTGCACGACAATCGGTGTGGCACATGTTCACAGGACTGCGGAGATACTACGCCACGCTCACTCAGCAATAAATCTCTCCAACCCAAATGCAGTCCATGTCCGAACAACCTGATTAGCACACCACTCTTCCATGTTCCAAGGAAGAAGACTGATCTCTTAGGGTGATACTTACGGAATTCGCGCGAGACAGACCGAGAGACACAGGGCCAACGGGGCCAACGGGATCGATTGGCAGTAATGACAATATACATGTATGCATTATAGAGACGGTATGCGCATGATGAAAACGCTGCAAATTTCTTCCCATACATGCCTTTCTAGAAGGCTACGTTTTTCTCCAATGGGATGCGGTCCAGCAGCCGCTCGCTCGCTCGCTTCTTTTCCACCTGGTACGGCCCTGCCCTGCCCTGCCCCCGGACTTTTGATCTCCGTCCGATTCGTCGTGAGACTGACTGGACGGTGTACTTTAGGTCCTCCGACTAGAATACTAGAGAGCTTTCTGCTAGTATTGCCTGCAATGCAAGCCGCTGGATTGAACTTGGAGTTGCATTAGTAAAGCATATTAAAGACGAAAAATCATAATTATAACTCACCGGCGCCCCAGCCCAGCCCTCAAATCCGACTAGTTTGGTTCTGTCTTAGATGACTCCGTCTGTCTGTCTGGAAGTAAGGTAAAGTAAGCCACGCCATGTCCATTATCTTTTAACGACTATAGCCCATTTATACGCCGATTTTCCATTTCCTCTCCTTATTACTACTATACTATACTAATCTTAACTCTACGTATCCTAATTAATGCCTGAAAGCCTACGCTACATCCTACTACTTTACCCTAGACGAGGACGAAGAGAGCCGACGGGACTTTCTTTTCCGAAATTATCGTAGACTACATATCGGATTTTAATACCTCTCCTAGTCAGTTTTGTTTTAATATCTTCGGCGTTCTACTAACCCCCGAGAGCTCTCTATACAGCCTGCGAACTAGTTATAATATAGAGGTGTAAGATACATCTAACTAGAGCCAGCCATGCATTTGACATGTCCTCTAGATCGCATGACTTGCTTGCTCGCTTACTAGCAAACCGAATCGAATCGATGTTTCCCCCGGCTATCCCAGCGAGTAGCCGTCCTTCGAGTCCGAACAGGCCTTGTGAGAGCATACAAAACAGAGTGTAGAAGAGGCATTCCTATCCAGACTCGACGAAGATAAAGCTAGCTACAGCCGAAGCTGAGAACGCCGCCATGGTGACCCCGTCGAACGTCTAAACGGGAGGAAGGACATACTTATGACCTAAATAGCGTCAGCTACTTCTACGTCCAAGGGCTGAAAAATGATAGTTCCTCCCGATAGCGATTCCCTAATTCCCGCCGCAGAGAATTGCTCCAGTTCGATACCTCTTCCTCCCTCTTACTAGGATCACCTCTTCCCGGAATGCTACCTATACTAACGAACGAACGACTCACCAAAAGCGTCGAGGCCAAACCGCCTCCATACGACTTGGACGTCGACGTCGAACGGACCTGCCATCATCTGGCCCCTTGCCTTGGTCTCCTACGTCGAGTCGAGACCAGACCAGACCAGACCAGACCAGACCAGACCAGACCAGCCGGATGGTCGACCAGGCAATAGTAGTAGTACGAGTCGAGCTCGCATCGTGGAAGCGGCAGGAGAGTAGCATACCCTGGAGATCTCTACTACTCTCCCGGTTCGCGAAGATGAAGAATACTCTTCTGAGCAGAGCATGAGGGGAAGGGCATGAACAACAGATGAGAGAACTGAGGAACTGACAACACCAGAACACAAGCCATCCGCTCAGAAACAACGAAAGCACCAAGACAAGACTGTCTGGTGGAGAATGCCGACCGACCGACAGTTCAAGTTGCTTCTGATTGATCAACACAGCCAACGCCGCCCGACGGTCGCCCTCGCGTCGCTAGTCCAAGGGTAGGCCCCACAGAACTTCGAAACATACCTTACATCCCTTTATAAGCGGCACCCAATGACGTTTCTCCATCCATCCCAATCCTACAAGAACATGGTGGGTGTTTCCATTGCTATACTGATCGTTCGTCCGAGAGCTCAAAGACCTGGTATGCATGCCTTTCCAATGGTTTCAGGGCGCCTCGCAGATACCGGGTACGAGCGGCAGTAGGCAGTCACATTCGATTCTGTCTGTTGGAACCGAGGAATGACGGAAAGCTTGAGCCCGCCTGCAAAAGGACAAGGAATGGCCGCTCGCTGGGACTAGACTGGAATGCCGGCGGGCGTGCGTCAGGCGTGAGAGCTAATCAGTGGGAAGGCGCGGACACTACTCGACGCAAGCGATTGGTCCAAGTGTAAGTAAGTGTAGGGATGCTTTGCATTGCATTGCATTGCATTGGCTGTTAGCTGTTGCGCGCATTCCGGACAGTGCAGCAGTGCAGTACGAGCACACGAGCAGGACGGAAGCCGGGCCGCGCGTATGCCCTTGCGTTGCTCCGCGGGCTGGTGGAGAGCAGTGTGCGCTACTACGACCGAGCGTTTCCGGGTGCATATGTCTAGATTCAAGATTAGAAGTGCGAAGATGCTGGGGGCTACCACTCATTATGGAGAAGACGTGTCGTATCGATCGTGCTGTCTCGTTCTTGTTAAATTCAATTGGGATGGACAGTAAACGCCTTGAGGGGCATCGGAATGGCTTGCTGTTCGTGTAATCTGGGACAAGTTCCGATTTCAGATGTGCGTTGCGGTTGTTAAATTGGATGCCGTATCGGGTCAGAAGTAGTGCTCTCTATTGCTTCGATCGTTAGGATTCGGCATAAAGTAAAAACCGTCACTCGTTGTAAATTTGTCTGATTTAATGTTTAGGGGATCACTACTTCGCTGGATATCTGCCTTATTACGACCGTTCTCTATGCTTTCTAACAGAGGTCGCTTTGTTCCAAGACCGGGGAGGCGGCTGGATAGCAGTTTCTATTCAAACGGGCCTCTTCTACGATACCGAAAGAACCTCTAGGGAGGACGAAGATAACATCTAACAATCCTCGAGACGAGAATCGAATCGACGAGGGCAACTCACGAGAGAATGTACCCAATCCGTAACTACGCATATCGCTAATTGGAAACAATAAGCCCTCTCCTCCGACACAAGTCATGACCTCGTTCGTCGACTGTAAGCCTCGGGAGACGCTATTTAAGGTGATTTACAATGCTACTATAATGATTCAAGACACTGAGACTGCAGCAGACACGCCAGCCCAATCTACCTCGCTCCCTATAAGTCTACTATATTATAGTACATATAACCGATTCAGTGAACTGCTCTAAATTCATTTTAAAAGCGCGATCGAGCTTTTTCCCCACTTATAGTATAAGTCTAAAAAGCCGAGACAAGATAGAGTAGTCTAGAAAGGAACAATAGATTACGAAGTACGAGATATATTACTTTGGCCGGGTAAGAACCGGCCTATATCGTAACTACTAGAGGATAGGAGATCGTAGGAAGCGCCGAAGGATCTCTATTTAACTTTAGGATTCTTTGTTACGATTTCCTTACGGGATCTGGGAATATCTTTCTCTATCGACTTCGATCTAACTATATTATAATAAATTCCATATGAGCGGACGCTTCCTATGCGAGGGAAGAGGAAAAGTACTTTACTAGTAACAAGGAAGGGAATACTACCTTACAGAACCTCGACAAGATCGTTACTACACCTCGCGAAGCAGGCCGCTCTCAGTTTCGAATCCTCCGCTTCGAATCTACCAGTCCGTTTCTCCCGCAGTAAACCCTCTCCTTCGAAGGTCAGCTCCAGCAGCCGTACAGCCAGAAGTCTTGCTAGTGCTGTCTCCAAATGCCAAAGTTACTCCCCCTAACGCTTGCCCTCCGTCCAGTGCTGCTAAATGCCACTGCTTGGAGTTCCTGTTCTCCGCTTTGGTATCCAAACAGGAAGGAGGTACAAGATAGTCAACCACGAAGAGAGTCATCACACTACTACTCTGTATATCGACCTCGACTTGAAGGCCTCTCCAAAAAGGTGGATGGAGCTAGAAAGGAGCAGAAGCAAAAGTCGATCACTTTTGTGAAGAAGAAGCATCATTAATCATATCGTTACGTCGTATATCAATCAGATAGAGCCAGCATAACTTTCATCCTCATTCCTCATTCCCACATCGCCTCCCATCGCAATCGCACAGTGTCAATTCATTCTGGTAGCAATCAAATCAACTCAGAAAACTCAAACACACTACCCCCAGCTGCATCTTTGTGTATATATCTAGCAAGAAGCCGATATATCACGGCCCATCATTCATTCATTCTTCTCCCCCTTCGGAGTCTTCTCCCTCCGAGGAAGACGAATCGCTAAACCGAGAGGCTAGAGTCCCGCTATGCGACGGCGGCGGCGGCGGCGGATGTCCTGGCTTTCGGCGGATTGGAATTGGCGCTGATCGGCTTGAAGACGCCGTCGAGGTGTCGGAAGCCCGTCTCTCGGGGGTGGACTGCTGTTGCACTTCTCCACTGTTGTTGTTGTTGTTGTTGTTGTTGTTGTTGCTGTTGCTGCTGCTGGGCTGATTGCTCGACCGGCTGTACTGGTCGAGTATGTCGTTGAAGTCGAGCTCTTCGTCTGGGATCCTCGAGGTCGCTTTGCGGCTCGGTTCATCAAACGAGAAGATCCGTTTTTGCCGCTGGGCGTGCTGAACTCTGGCCTCGTTCCGGAAGAGGTGTTCGGAAAGTGAGCCCGTCATCTGAGCGGCGTGACGCTGACCCTCTCGAGTCCCTTGCTTGCTCGCTCGTCCATGGGCTGTCTTGGCTCCTTGCTTCGCGGTCTTCGCCTCGGCGGTGATCCGATTGCAATCCCAGGGACCGGTTTCATGATTTCGATGCGTTTTCTGGGCTCGCTGGCTGCCAGACATGTCGAAAAGAGGGTGCTGGAATGGAGAAAGTCCTGGAGAAGCTCATACTGGCGTGCCGGGGGAAGTCTGGCAATGATATGCTCGCGAGCTGGCTGCTCTCAATTGCTCATGAAGCTTGCCCTGCAGGAGAATCCATGCGAGAAAGTCTCCAGATGCAAGGCACGTTGCGTGGATGCGACTCACGGCTTGAACCGACGCACGAGAGACTGTGTGCTGCAAGGGACAGCGCAGCCGAGTTCAGACACGGCCATGCTGCACTGTGCTGAGCCGAGAGCAGTAAACTGTCCCCACCCGCACTTGATACCAGCTCTCTGCCTCCAATCAAGGCCTTCCATCTGCTGTATGCTCTCCGTGCTCTGATAGCCTTCTTCCGGTCACTCGGGCGTGGAATGAAGAGAGAGAGTTTGGTGCATTCCTCTCCAATCGCGCCGACCGCACAGAGAGAGCAGCGGCAATCTGGGTTGGCCTTTCATCCTACCCGACGGCATACAAAGCGTCGCAGGAGCCGAGGCTCGCCAGCTTGCGCACTGTCGTGCGATCAAGCGTATCTTCTGTATCGGGAAATGCGGTCCCGATGGGATGACGAATGTCAAGTAGAATGCCAGAAAGGGAATTTCTCCACAGCCGCAATCGATTTATGATGCAAGAGGATGCCCTCCAGGATGGCATGAAGAATGATATCGGTCGAGGCGGCCCCGGGTCTGATGTTGGCCTGCTTGTAAGGAGATGTCTCTACTTGATCCAACGAAGAGGTCTACACGTTCCCTACTAAGGTATTCCCACTTATATACAAAGTTTCATAGCATCTCGAGCGTCTCCATGCCGCCCGATAACTGAACTGGAAACCAAATTCCTCCACTGGCACTACCTCTAGCGCTCCTCCGAAGCATGTGTGTAGTCTCTGACGGCTCGAACGAATTGCAGATCAGGGCATCCTTCTGGCTGATGTGCCAGGGAATGGGCGGATCAACAAAGGTTACCGCAATCCTGTCGAGCCATCCTAGTCCGCTCGTAATATAGAGAAAAGCGGGCCGAGAAGATTGGCAATACGAGCCGTCATATTCGCAAGGCCGGGCAGGGCAAATAGGCGGGAGGCATAGACGCCGTCTACCATGACCGCATCGAACGAGAGAGGTCACGGACGGCATCGTAAGAAAACAAGACTGGCGTAAGCTCCTGCTCGAGGCCAAGTGGACTGAGCAAAAGGCATTGGTTGTGGCCGTTGCAAGAAGGCGAGATGTTCCATTCCCAGAACCCGTCGTGCTCTGGAATAAGTCGTCCCTCGAGACTAGTCGTGCCTCCTAGGCGGTCTTGCTATCATTCGCGCTCTTATTCCCTAGCAATAAGGCGGATGCCGCGCTTCGAAGCTAACTTCCACTATAATAGTGCTCGCCCCAGTTCCCACGAGCGCAGTCCGAAAGGCAACGTCCGAGCGACAGTCGTACATTTGTTCACGGAGGAAGCCTTATCTCACGAAATCCGAGGATCAAAAGGTACCCCATGCGCGACCATAAAAGCTGCTAGGGATATGCGAATGCATGTGTCGGAATACCGGTCAAGGCCGCAGCAGAGCTGGCCAAAAACACAGAGGCAGTAAAGATATAGAACTTCTAGTTCGCTAGATGGAAGGGGGCTTTGACGCTTTGTCCTGAGAAAGAAACCGCTAGTGAAAGGCTCGAGTCGTCGCTGATCGTCTTTACGCAACGAAGAATCCAATTCTTCTAGATTTTATTGTCAGCGGCCGCCTCCCTTCCGTCAGAGATCCAATTCTTTGCTTTCGGATACCCTCCCGTGACTCTTTGGAGGTTGACCGAGATTGTTGCGATGCGAGGCCCGTGCCTTGAGCGGAGAGCAAGGATGCCAGTTCAAAGGGGTGGCACCTAGTATCGACATTTGGTTGGAAGTCTCCAGGCAAGCTTGACCAGATCTACCTTCCGCCTTTGCGTATTGGCATTGAACGACCCTCCGGAGTATCACTGGTCAAACCTGCCGACGCCTCAGCGATGGTATCCCAGGCAGGAGAAAGATGCTGCCTCGAACTGATCGCCGATCGTAGCGATTGCCACGTAGGCACGGGCAGGTTGGATCTGTTGCCTGCGCAGAACGAAGCTGGCCTCTTTGATGGATTTCGCGCTGGGGTGGCTGTCTGTCGAGGTAAGTGAGCGGGGAACTCTCCAGTATGGATCGAGAGGAAAGGGAACACAAACGAAACAAAGTAATACAGTTGACCTTGAATGAAGTGTGAGAGAGGCGGCTGAAAGATGAGCAAAATAAATGGCAAAGGGATGTGGGAATAAGAGGAATGGACAACAAGATGCTTGACAGGGACAGTAAGGCTGGAAGAGGGGGAAATGAAGAACAACTTGCCTTTTCAGAGTCGGGTACAATATCCCCCGAGGGCCTACAAATACAAGTGGTCACGAATGGTCTCACACACAACAAGGCATAGACAGTCAAGATCACGGTCACAAGGGCACGAGACGAGATAGAAAGTGAGAGTCCAGTCCAGTTCAGCCCAGTCAACAACCTCGAGAGGAGGCCGGGGTCAGGTACCAGCTTCAACAAGGCCAGGAACAGTCCAGCGACCAGGTCTAGTGTCCAGGTCTGGCGTCCAGGTCTGGTGTCTAGGCCCAGCGTCCAGGCCCAGCGTCCAAGTCCAGGCCCCAATCCAGCCCCAGGTCCAGGCAAAGAGAGAATCGAGCTGTCTGAGTACAGTGACAATCAACCTCATCCACGCCCATTATTCGACCCGAGGAACACCAACCACCATACCTTGGATGTGTTAGCGAGGTCACTGGAAGCGAATGAACGACAGAGCTCACCAACCCACAAGTTAACCGAAGCAATGTCCAGTAAATGACCCGGCCTTGCCTGCGCTGCGAGGAGAGAAGCAACGATCGATCCCGTACTGGGGCGAGGAGTTGGCGAGAGTGTTGATCTCGACAGTGCGGATGAGTGTCGGGCCTGGGAGTCTGAGTGAGTTGGTCGAGGCAAGAAGGCGACATAGCCCACCTTTCTCGAAGACAAAACTCGTCAGCGACAACCCGTTGCAGACAGTCGACGTCGGAAGTGGACATGCGAGTCGGCAGTGATGGGCTGTCGATGTGGATGTATGGCTGGAGAGAGGTCAGCGACTGCGATGAAATGCCAAGGGGAACAAGCCATACCGTAGTCAGGTCATCGAGGCCAAGGAGAAGGGAGTGGAAGATGAGGTCGTTGCCGTGGCAATGAGTCGATGTTGGTCTCGGTCAGTGGGCAGAATATGTGCTGTTGGGGTCGAGAAGGTTAGCAGGAGGCCCAAGGGCAAGTCGGATGACACATACCGTTGTTGAAAGCCGAGGCGGAGCTGGAAAGTGGAGTGGAAGACGAGATGATTGCACGGCCTTGTACTGAAGGTGATCGTAGCCAGTGAGAGTGTTGGCGTATACTGTAAGCTCTAAACGTCAGCTTGGCATCACGTGCGATCAAGGGGCAAGAGGAAGGAAGCTTACCATTGCTGTTTGTGGCGGAAGCAAATGAGGGCGGTGTTACGGAAGGGTGGATAAGTGGTTCTGCGCTTTGTTGCTGTTCGTTGGTGTCGAGACAGGCCGTAGTGCAGAGAGACTCTCTCGAAGACGAGGAGAATGAGTCGTGGCTGGGATGGTCGATGGTGAGAAGAAGAGGTGACCGACCGGTGCGGGGGTGAAGGTCGGAGATCCCGAGGTGGAGAGGGTCACTGAGTGAGGCTGAGACGCTGTTGACTGGCCGGGGAAAAGGGAGCTTTGAAGGTGCTGCGGCCTGATAGGAGGTTGGGAGATCCTAGTGTGTTGGAGGCCATGGTATCAGAAAGTGGCTGAATGAGGTCGAAGGCTCGAGTGGTTGTGGAGCTGGAGAATTGCTGGCGCTGAGGTGTAGATCGCAAGGCCGAAGACTTGGAGACAGGACGGAGATAGCGTCAAGTTTGCGGCTGACAAAGGGGTCGAAGTCGAGACAGCCGAGGGGACAGGTGGTGAGGTTGAGTTTGCTGACAGTGAGGCTGAATAATTGCTGGCGGTGGGCTGCCCAGCAGATGTGCAGGTCGGTCGTGATGAAGAACGGCTGCGACAAGGAATGGGGGTGGAGGGAATATGAGTGGAAGGGGAATGGATGTGATGGTCGATTTGGGCTGAGTGGCCAGAAAACAGGTTGTATGGGCGACGACAGTCAGTGCCGGTTTGAGCGGCTGAAGACAGAGCGACAATGTTGCTGAACTCCACGGCGGCGAAGGCGAAGGCGGGATGGCATTGATGCTGACATGGCTGCTGATTGGAGAGGGCCTGATGGTGATGGCGACGTGCAAGTTGTTTACCCAGAAGGCGGAGGCTGGATGGCGGTGGCGTCGGCTTGCCGGGTTGACTGAAGGATGAACTGTGTGGATGCCGCCTTTCTGCTGACTGAGTGAACTGGCGGCTGGCTGTGCGAGCGAGCACTGGCAACGTCGATGTCGGCTGACTGGTGGAATGGAAGCACAAGGGAGGATGATGATGGGATTGCGGATCGTGAGATGAATCCTTGTTGGTAGCGAGGCGAGACTGTCGGCTGACCATGGAGGCGGAGACTAGCTGGCAGTGGGGTCGGGTACGGCTGACGCTGATCGACTGAAAACCTGGACAAGACCTTGAGGGAGAGCGGGCGGGTTGAGACAGGAGACGCATAGCAGGATGGTAGAGTGAAGGTTCGAGCTGGCGACTGAGGGTAAAGGCGGAGAGCAATGACAGGCGGCAATGCCAAGAGCTGTGGTGACGAGAACTCTCCGGTGGGAAGAATGAAGGGGTTGTGCTTTTGAGCAGGAGTGAAGTCAGCAGTCAAGCAGAAGGGCGCGGGGAATGGAGCTTACTTACGCGAGCACACGGGCACCGGCGTTGAAGGATCGGCCGTCGGAGATGTTGTTCCCGGCGTACTGATGTTTCCTTGAGCCGAGAAAGTGCCTGTTCTTGGGATGTGTATCGCGGAGCGGTAAGGTGTCGCTGTTGTGTGGTGGTAGCATGAGGTTCTTGGGTACGGACAACCGAAAGGACGATGAGCTGCTGGTGCTGCTTTGGCGTGAAGCATGTTGTGAGGCTTGTGTCCGTCTGATGAGGGGGTCTGGGGGGCAGGTTGTCGGTGAGCTGATAACAAGATGTCATGATGTTGGGATGGGCATGACGAGCAGTTTGGTGTGCGGTGACCAGGTGTGGTGAGCTTGGGATGCAATGTGGTGTGCCTTGTAACGGCAATGAGGTGTCGCTGCGTCGTTGACGGGATGCCTTCAAGGGCATGATTTGGATGGAGGGCGGGTGGTGAGATCTCTGGCGTGGAGTTGGAGAACGCCGCGATCTGGCGACAGGCGTGGAGGTAGGGACGAAGTGTCGCTACCGGGAGCGTCGAAAAAGGAGAGTGAGCTTTTGCGGTGAGGGGTTGTCGAACGTGTGATAAGCCCCCGTGTTGAAAAGAGTGTGTTGTTGCCCTAGTGTAGTGTCCCAGTTATGTTTGTTGGATGCGAGAAATTGAGCTTAGGGGTTGAGTGGATAGTGAGATGTTGCATGGCTTGAGTGGTCGGCGTGATGCAGCGGCAGCGGCAGTCAGATGTGGGAGTGAGCTTCTCTGTTAGATGAGTGTTGCATGGCTTGGAGAGGACAGTGCGGTGTTACTGTCACGCTTGTTGAAGTGTCACGCTTGTTAAAGGGGAGAAACTTGAGCAGCGAGTCGGTAGTGACCTGCGTGGCTTCGAGTAGGCAGTGTGGTGCTCTTGCATCATTTCACGAATGAGGGAGCGAGGCTGTGGGTGTCGAGTGGGTGGTGAGGTGTTGTCTGGTCTGGCGTGGATGTTTGATGTCGTTGCTGCGGCTGTCAGGTGAGATGTGAGAGGCTTGGTATTCAGCACGCAAGAAGGTGTAGCATAGCTTGGGATGTGGTTGTGAGCTCAGGTGGTGAGATGCTGCATGGCTTCGAACAGGATGTGCTGTCGTTGCTGCGATTGTCGGATGAGGGATGTGAGTTTGGGTGGTCAGTTCGCGGTGTGGTAGTGCTGCTGCTGTCGCATGGGTGGGTGGTGAGGTGGTATCTCGATGCTGTGTTCATCGGATGAGGGGACGAGGGCATGCGAGCATGAGGGGATGCGAGCATGAGGGCATGAGGGCATGTGTAGATGAGCCTGGATTGGAGATGGACGGTGAGATGTGACGAGATGTGATAGCGCTGCTGCGGTCGTTGAATGAGGGATGGCGGGGAGCTTGAGCGGCGAGCAAATGGTGATGTGTGGTATCGTCTCTGTGTCTGTTGAAAGAGATGTGCCGGCCCCGAGGGGGTTCTTGCGGGAGGAGATGACGGCGTTGAGAGATGGTGAGCTGCAGAATGAGCGTCGAGAGGAAGATAAGACGTCGCTGCTGCGTTGGAGGGGTCGTTGTTGAGGTGTGGACTCGGCGTTGAGTGACTGATGAGGGTGTCGACGGTATGAGAGGGCGGCGATTGAGGTGGGTGTGGAGTGCGGAATGGAATGTCGCTGCTGCTTCTGCTGAGGGTTGTGGATATGCAGTGGTACCGTCGAGTGACAACGACGGTGTTTGTGTGGCGGTCAGCAGTAGCAGACGGACTGTGAGTGATGAGGCTGTGGCGGGAATGATTGAGCGTAACGAGACTGCAGCAGTGAGCAAGGCGTGGGAGGAATAAGATGGGTGGGAGAAGTCAGGCTCTTGGACGCCGATGTAGTAGTGTGGGCGACTGTGATTGTTTTTCAGTCGAGGAGTCGAATCGTGAATGTCGCTCTGGCGAAGGGGACTGGGCTTAACAAAGCTGCGGCAGTCAGCAAAGCAAAGTAGGAGGGCATGAAACTGCCGTGAAGAGGATCAAACCCAAGTATGCATGTGGTCGTGAAGTGGAATCCTGTCATTCCGTCGATGAGGTGAGTCGGGGGTGATTGTCGTTTGGACGAGTGAGACTGGTCTTGACCTGACTGCGGCGGTCAGCAAAACAAAGCACGAGTGCAGAAAACTACGGTGATGAGGAGCGAACCCAGACCTGCGTGTGGTAGTCAGAGGGGAGGTGGTCAAGGAGTCAGGCGTTCGAGCTGTGGGTAGTTGTGGTTGGGTTGTGTCTCCAGCGTTGTCACCACCAGCATGTTCAAGGCGATCAGTTCCAGCTCCAGTCCAGTCCAGTTCCCCGAGTCCGGCTCCTGTCCAGCTTCGGGGGCCAGCTCCACAGTCCAGCACGGGGTCCCGGCGATGAGACATGCTGGTGGTGACAGCGACGGATACACGTTGGCGGCAATGAATGCGGTGATGTTGCTCGATGAGTGATCATTGATGAAAATGAAGATGCAGAATGAAGAAGAAGAATGACAGTGATGGATTTGGGAGAGGGAGGGGGAAGGAGTGTGAGTGATGAAGTTGTGGGATGGAAGTTGAGGGAGAAGGGAGAAGGGAGAAGGGAGAAGGGAGAAGGGAGAAGGGAGGAGGGCGGTGGAAGAAAGAGACCAGCGCACGGCCACGCCACTTCGCTGAGTCACACCGGAGTATGCAATGATGACGATTCCGCTGGTCAGCGCAGGCAGAAGCGCAGTGAAAGGCAAGAGCGAGTTGGCAAGAGCAGTTCGGCACACCGATGAAGCCGAAGCTAAAGCCGCATGCACCCGGTTCGGGTCCTTGCACCTTCGCACTCGACAGTCACCTGAGGCTGCACAATACACCAGTGTGTTGGGAGATACATCGCTCGTTGTGTGAGGCGGCGTGCATGTTCGATGTATGCAATGGCAGAATTTAGCCGGCATTGGAGGCGAGGAGTTGGGTGTATGGAGCGTCGTGTGGTGAGTGGGAGCGGAACTGGCAGCGCGGAGTCGCAGGCGGATAGAAGCGGGTGGAAGCGGATGGAGGCTACCACGAGTAGGGAAGGAGCAGCCCGGGACGTGTGCCTGGTGGCGACTATGGGATGCGAGGCAGGCGCAATCTCCAGCTCAGCCTGCGCGAGCGCAACTGCCCCGATGCCCAATTTGCCCGCATACTATCGCTTCCATTACCTCCTACTGCAGCGCTTCCTTCCATCTGATGGAGCGTGATCGCAGTGAAGCGTGCATTGACTCGAGCCTTGAAATTTCGTCATGACCCCCCAAAATGTGCGGCGTCTCAGTCTCGGGTGTAGTGCAGTGAAAGCAGGCGCGGGTGGTGATCCGGGCGAACACCGAACGAGAGCCGCAAAGGCGACCGCGAGAGGGTAAGATGTTGGTGCCGCAACGGTTCGTTCAAAGAAAGGCGCTTGATGTGATGGTATGTCGGCAATGCGGGGATGAGGTCAAACTCCGAAGGCAGCTTCTGGTGGTTGACGAGGAACTGTCCGCGCCTGCTGGGCTTGCTGGCTCTACTGACTGGTATGTTATGATCTCTCATAGCCCCAACATCTGCAATCGACCCTTTTTCGTGCTCCTGATATCAAGATGTGATGAATGCTCGCACCGGGCTCATCTCCCTGCCCTGCGGCTTGCCAGCCTGGCACTTCGACCCTTCCGGCCCCTATTCGCCGAGAGAGTCAGGAAAGCAGTAGAGCATTCAACGGAGTGATGAGCGGGACCACCCGAGTCGACGCACGCTCAGCTCACGGTCTTGCTACAATGTCGCGACGGAGATGCTGCGTGTTGATGAGTGAAGTCGCGCCTTCCTTGACGCTAGCGGAGCGGCTTTCCCGCAGCTGTTCTATTGGCTGATCCGTGGCTGGGGGACACGGCTCACATCCCGCTTATCTCCGCTTCCACATGCGGGCGTCCACCGCGTTGCGGAACATACAGCATGCAATGCACCACAGACGCTATGATCTCTGCCCAGTCAAACAGCCGCAGGAGCAGCAGCTGGAAAATGGACTCCAAATTCCCGTCTCTTCCCCCACAACGAGAACGACATCCTCGCCGGACAGCACGCTGAAGCGTCTCCCTCCATGAGTCCGCCCGACTTTCCAAGTCTCAAATACTTCGGCCGCTACGCCCACGACGTTAGTAAGTGGAGACGAGAGCAATCCCAGAACCACCTGTACTGATTAATGTCAACAGAAGGCGATGGCAACTGCCTCTTCCGCGCCCTCTCCGATCAACTCTACGCAACGCAATCACACCACCAGAAGATCCGCCTGCAGATCGTCCAGCACATGCGCCAAAACCCCACCAAGTACAGAGCTTTCGTCGTCGCCACTCTCGACGGAGGATCCCACGAGTCGTACAATGCATACCTAACACGAATGGCGCAGCCCGGCGAGTGGGGCGACAACATCGAGCTCCAGGCGTTCGCGGACTTGCAGCATGTCGATGTCTTCATCTATCGACCCTCCCACACGGCTCAGGAACGCGACAAGTTGCGTGGTGGTGGTGGTGGTGGACGAGGCGAGGGACGACCGGAGGTGCATCTCGCGTTTGAGCCGGAGCTGCACTATCTGTCAGCACGGCGTGTTGAAGGAGGCGGAAAGCAGGAGAAGCAATCCATTGGTGGGAGAGACGGACAGAAGAGGACAAAGAGCACGACGAGCAATCTTCATACCGAGCCGTCTTCGGCTGTGGATGCCCTGGGTGGAAACATCGCACTTGTGCGACGTCGTCCGGAGGGCGGCAGCATTGAAGCAGCGAGGCGAGACCTCAACAATGCTCTCGATGTCCTGATCAGAGGCAACAGGGTTACGGAATGAGAAGCTGAGTGTCTGTGAGTGCCGCCAGCGACAATCGAAGGAACCATTTAAGGCTTCGATACTCGAGCGGTTGAAGAGAATTGATACCCCTTTCGCATTCGAATACAGATCTTTCCAGATTGTTTAAGAGGTTATTCGTTTGCAGAAGCTTGCACTCCCAAAGCACAGAATCCATCAAGTCCTTTCTCTGTTCATAGGCGCTTCGTGCCCTTGAACGCGAAGCCAGCGGATATCGGGTATCTCGGATAGCTCGGATAGCTCGGGTAATTCGGATATACTTGCTCTGGGCTGCGTGAGAGCGTACGCTCCGCCATGCCATGCCATGCTATGCCTCGCTACCAGGTGACTGTCCCTCCAGATTCTCGGCCTCTTTGTTAATATAGAGAGCATAGCGAGGTCGTTCGTCCCGTGGATACTCCTCTTCGATCCTGACCTGTCCTCGGCGCTCCTTTACACAGCCTGTCCGCAGTGCTGTGGCCATCCATCGCTCCCTCTCCGGAGTCCGCAACGTGAATGCATTGTATACACGCCTTCCCCGCTTTGTCCGCCTACGCTATCTGTACCGCCTTCACCGGCTTCCCTTTGCTTGTTCTTAACTGGCCTGGAGATCCCCGCCATCCGCGGTCGAGAGACCACAGAGGCTATTATATCTCGTATACGTAACGAGCTTCCGATATTGAGATGCCTTATCCTTCTACCGAGTACGAAGATTCCGAGAGAGGATATATCGGGAATGGATCCAGGGGCCGGGAGTGATGCGAGCGTTATCGGTCAGGCAGTTGCTAGGTACGTATCAGGTACGAGATGAACCGCGCCCGATATCATGTCAGTAGCTGGTACGTGTAGCCGATCTGACTACGTATGAGTTGTCGCGAAGATGCTAAGGAGGACAAGGAGAGGCCTCGGTGAAGGCAGGCGGGGAATCATGGGAAGCACATGTCATCGGCAGCGAGAGCCGCTGTCTTAATCCAGCCGAAACGGTCATAGCTCCGGCCATCCCCGCTTCACCTCACCTGCCTTGGACCCTCCGTGTCGTTAAAATACATCTAACACAATGCGCAATCTTCACGAACCGATATTGCGACTCCACCGGCTGCTCGACGAGCATTCAAGCTAAAATATCTGAAGCTCGAGATACATCGCAGCCCTTGACAGGCCATATGGTAAGCACCTATCAGTATGGCGTAGAACCTTCCATGCGACTCGGAATCCGACTGGGAAGGCGAAATGATAAGTAATGGCAAGAGTATGTCTCGCCTGTCTTCTGGCGCCCTCAATGTTTCCAGCGTCGCACAGTCGAAAGTTTCAAGCAATTCATAGCCAGATTCCACTCCAAGATTTGAGCATCTTCGGGACCCGGAGAAACAGTTGCTCCGAGATACCAGGTATCTTGTAGGCAGATGGACTGCCGAGAGGAGCATCAGAGGAAGTGAACCGGACATCACTGAAATTGCGAAAAGATCGATTGTTAGTAATCTGTACTTTCTTACAGACCGCGAAATCAATCCTACGGAATTGCTAGGTATTGCGGCCGGAAACAGTGGAAATGCGCTGGAACTTGAAAGCTACAGGATAGGCATACCAATGGATGCTTGCCGCTTAGAGCGGTCCGACTAGATATCTCTGTCTTGACGTGGCACCACGCTGGTTCTTTAGGAAAGCCGAGCGACACATCCAAGGACTGTAAGACAAAATCAGGAGAAGGGCCCAAACAGCTTGGTATAGCCTTAAACATATTTTTCATACACGATACAGGCTCGCTACTTGCTGGATAGAATCATGAATTCTTCCCTTAGCTCTAAGCTTTGTCTACTACATTGCCGTCCCCTCGGGGTTTGACAACAGACATGTTAACCCCCTTTGCTTTATCTAGTTTACATGTCTCTCGACTGTCTAAGTATGTTCGGAGTAATAAATGTATGGCGTGGACGACTACATTCGGTGCAGCGCCGAGACAGGTAAGTTATAGTATGCTACAAAGGGGTAGAATGGGTGGAGAGCATGACCTAGAGTAACTTTTGCTCCGCCTTGAAACAGTTTGCTTTGCCGTGAGGCTCATTTCGCCTCTCTCGACCTTTCCCCTACTCTACTTCTCTCTTGGTACCATAATTTGCTTCCCCGAACAGACAATCTTCTCGCTACAAAGATGGCCATTCCACCGACCACGAGTGGGCCTCCACCGCCTCGCACTACTTAACCGACTCCTCCGACCCGCTACACATCGCTACTACAGAGGTCCTGGTCCTGGCTTCGTAGTCGCCGAAAGGGCCCGATCGACTCTCACGCGCCAATCCGTCATGAGCAAACAGTCCCCGAGGATCCTTCGGCGAGATTGAGGTATGTTCTAGGCCCTAGGTACCGGTATCTCGCCCTACTATACGAACGTTTCTCGCCGCTGCAGCCGCCTAGCGAGCTTGACCGGGACACAGATCCTTACGCTACTGTCCCGCCGCCTCGTCCTATGCAAGCTCTAGCTTTGTTTCCCCTTCGAGACACTATGGATCTGGTTCGTACGACGACTCCGTGGTAAGAATGTCACATCTGAGACGATTGGTTAACAGCGGACATCATGTCCATCTACAAACAGAGACGAGCGGCTGGCGTGCGTACGTTTTTGGCGAGACGATCGAGCGAGCGAGGGCTGGAAATGAATACTCGCTAGAAACGCAGCGGACACAGTAGTAGGAGCAGCAGCAGGAGCAGCGGGCGCGACGCGAGCGTTCTCCGTCGAGAAGACTTGTTGCTCGGCGGAGAAGTGGAGATGTGGTAGGAAGGGAGATGTCTCTTCTTCGAGAGCGAATTCCGAAGATGCCTGTCACGGCAACATAGGAACAGAATAACAATTCGCCGGCGACTTCGGTAGCTTAAGCCGAGACTGGATTTTTCGACATCGAGAGAAGCTGTTCGGAAGAAAGAGACCTAATCTCCTTAAATAATTGACTTAGAGTATAATACTATACTATATAGATTTAGATATTATAGCCCTCCTCGACCGGTATAGTATAGGCTTTCGCGGGCTGCTTACTTCTCGTAGTACGCTCTCTTATCACTCGTCGAAAGACCGTACTTCGTATTAACTAACGGCGAGTGTCTACGGGTAGGTGTTCTGTTTCTATTACATATGTCTTTATTAGTCGTTCCTATAACGAGATATACGATTACTTGTTCGGTACAGCTACTTACGAGCTCCCGTTATAATAATACTTCTTAAAGTAAGCCTTACCGGTAGCTCTTTCGTACGGACGTCTTCTTCGACCTATCGATCCTAGGAACTTGTTGTCTATATCTTACTCGTATATTTATCGCATTTCATACTCGGTCTATATACTTTTAAACAGCCGTTCTAAGGTTTAGAGTCTGTATACCTTCGCTCGATCTCTAATCTACGTAGTTTATACGCTCTACTCCTCTTCTTCTAGCTCGTTAGAGAAAGTCTTTGCTTAGATAAAGTTAAGAAGTAAGAAGAATTCGGCGGCTTCGGAGGTGTCGAGGGCTAATCGCACTTATAAGAGGTCGCTATATCGACTTATTTACGATTTTCCTATTAATAGGTATCGCTATCGCTCGATACCGAGGAGCTTTGTCGCCGTTAACGACTTGTAACATATGTTCTAACCCGCGGAGACCCTATCGTAGCCTTCTGTTTCTAGGTGTCGACGAGCGAGCGGGAGATTAGCTTAAAGGGAGGGAGGGAGGTAGATTAGTATCTTATATAAATACGGGATTTATAATCGGGCGAGTTACTAGATTACTATCGTTATAGAGGTGTGTTTGTCTGTATAGTAGTATAGAGTAGCTACTAGTAGAGGATGTTCGAGAGTCGCGGTAGTACGGCCTATCGTCGGCTTTCGATAGTAATAGTAGACAAATCGCTCGGTCCGGTAACTTAGGCGAAATACTAATTAGAAAGATAGCAAATCTACCTAGTCTCGTCCGTATCAACCTCTACTAGCATTCTAAACACCGAGTCGGCGTACGAAGATCCTCTATAATTACCGTCTCGCGTTTAGTCTACGGCGAGCTCGAACATTATACCCTAATTATTATAGCTAAACTCGGCGATCTAACCGTTTATATACAACCCGCCTTACCGAATCCGGTAATTAGCTATAAAGATTAGACTAATAAGGGAACTTTAGATATATTATAGAAGGGTATAATACCGGGATTACTAATATCGATAGGGTTCGCCTTACGGTTTCCGCGGAGTTCTTAACTTGACTACTTATCCTCTCGTACGGTCTACTAGCTTCTAACAAGAGTAGGCTTGTACTAAGAATATCTACGTAATACTACTTCTATTAAACCTAGAGGTTAGCTAGGCGGTACTCGCCTCCGTCCTTCGTATACGCTTCTCCGAAGGTTTAGCGGGATTTCGCGGTTAACTAAACTGTAGCGGTCGCCTTTTCAAGTCTAGGTATGTAAGTAAGACGCTCTTACTAGCTTTTTGCCTACGAAAACAGTAATAGAAGGAAAGGCGTCGTATACTTCTTTCTCGTAAGACGACCGGTTACTATACGTTCCGCCGCTTCCGAATTCGGAGAAGGCCGTCTATAGACGGCCTTTAATACATTAGGAAGGCGAAGCACTACAAAAGCGGGAAGGAACAATACTTTACAGTCGACTAGGAGTACGACTCCCTAGATCTTCGACATACTCGGGAGACTTACTAGAATGCCGCTCCGCTTAAATACCGACCTAGCGCTACATTCGCCGTGAATGTACGTCGGCTCGCGAGTCGGGTTAACGGGACGAGCCTTCGAGGACATTTTGATCGCCGAGAAGAAAGGCTATACGAACAATTATCGTTTAAGTTTTAAGAAGGGACTAAATAGGGCATTTTAGTAAGACTATAATAGCTACGGGAGAACGACAACTACGGGAGAATACGGATATTAGGGATAAAGGAAGAGATTAGAAAGGAGAGTTCGTAAGAGTTGTAGTATAGTATAGCGCCGGGAAAATCTTCTTACTTTATCGTCTACGTCGATTCTTCTCTTCTTTCTATATTTTAAACTGTTCCTTCTTAACACCTAACTATTACTGTCGAGTAAGAGTATAGGTAGAAGTCGGTCGGAGGATAGGAGTAGATTACGATAGCGGGAGACAGCGACGAGAAGTGTAACGTAGGATTACGAAATGATTACGTAAGGAACGCGACATTTCGTAATTACTAGCTCGACTTTCTTCTATACGAACTTTATACGAATCTCTTTTCCTCTCGCCCTTCCTACTACCGTACCTAGCCTACCGCCTAAGAGTAGTAGTAGAGAAAGGAGAGGCAATTCCGCTTTTACTAATTTCTTTGCTTTATCTCTTCGTCTATTCCTTTCCCTCCGTACTCTCTTTACTTCGCCTATCGTACCTTTACTACTTTACTCCTAGGTATAGTACTACTCGACATTCGAAGACTAGAGATGCTTACACCTTTAAGCCTACAATCCGTATAAGTATCTATTCCGTAAGACTGCCTCGTAGCCTAGACGAATAGCGCCGGTTCCAAACTTTACGGAACTAAAGTAAGTAGTTAATTCGGAGCAAGGGAGGCGAGCTTTCTATTAGGATATTATAACAAGGTAATTATCTTTTATACGTATCCGTAGGGTATAACGTATCTAGAGCTCGTCCGGAGGAGCTAATATAAGTTCTACGATCGTACGGAATAACATAGAATATATAGAAAATAGCTATTACTAACCGGTCTAGATTACCTAGAATTCGTATAAGAAGGAATCTACTAGCGACACGGATTAAGACCGCTCGAGAGCCCGAAAATTCGGTAGAAGCCTACCTAAAAGACCTAGAGACCGAACCTCTTATACTCTCTAAGCTACTTAGAGACTACTCTACGCTTTTAAAGCTTTTTCCATACCCTTACTAGGAGATAATAACGTCTCGGTAACCTTATTAGGCCCGCGGGACTGTATTCCCGTTGCCTAGGAGACTAGAAGAGATGCCTAGGGTAGTAGAGCTACAATCTCCCCGTCGTAGACGTAAGAAATTCTCTAGTACTAATCCCGAGGCTACTAGGTTAAATCCTTTACTCTTTAAGACACGGACAGCTACTCCCGATATCCTCGTAGGAACAGATCTTCTCTCTAGGACATTAAGGACGAGTAAGCGGACCCGTACTTACGGTAAGGTACTAAAATGCGATCTAGCGTCTAAAAGAGCCGCCTTTCTATACTATTTTCCCGAGCTTTCCCGCTAGAAAAACACCGTTCTAGTACCTATTAACTCTCTAAATGCTTCGTTACCTAGGATAATTACGCTCTAGTTAACGTATAATACCGAACTAGCTTTTATTACCGTTTATAGTAAGCTAAACATAATGCTCCTTCTAACTAGACGAACTTTCTCTTCTCGCTATTACCTACGGCTAAGCTAGGATAGAGGAACAAACTATTTGCGTCTCCGTATAATTAACTAAATTCGAATCTATATACCGCTAACGAGCGGAATACCGGGTCTAACTTAGGAAGGCAGCTAATACGGCGTTATTCGCTTAGTATCGCTCTACGAGACTTAAGGTTACGGCAAATATTATATAGTTGCCGGGTATTACGTATTATTCTAGTTAATAACTCGGAATTCGGGAAAAACGCTCGCTCGTACGCCTCTTTACTCGGGGCCAAACCGTACATTTATAGGCTATACGACCCGCTTTTCCGATTCACGCCGAGGCCTTATTTCTTAGACTATAGCGATTATTTCTAGTAACCGTAGTTGTCTCTTTTAACTCTTCCTATATATCGGTTTTTAGAACCGTATACTACGTAACGATAGAGGGACTATATAGTCGTAAAGGCAAGTGTAAGCAAAACAAGTAGCGAGAGACTTAATTAGAGTAGGAAGAGGTATATATAGAGCCGATAGAAGCGATAGATAGAAGGCTTCTACTAGACGAGAACACTCCGTACTATTAAGGCTATACTTTTCGGGAGTAAGAATAATAGACTCTAGCCCTATATAAGTTACCGGTCAAACTTAGACGTACGGAGGGGTTAAGGAGGGCTACATAGATAGTTAATACGCCGGTACATTATAGAAAATAGTAGAGGGAGAAGACATCGGGAGGATTTACTTTCGGAGGAGGAAGTAAGGCTAAATCCCTTAGTCCTCTCCGGTATTATTCTATAGCGAAACGTTACTATAATTCAAGCCCTTACTATCTAATAGTCTCCTCTTCGACGACAAGGAATAGGGAGAAGAAGAGAGGTCGACTTCTACCTCCTTATAGTACAAGCTAGTAAAAGTAACACTCCTCTAATAATAGGTTCTAGAATTCTAGTAACAGGCATATATTAATAGCTTAAAGTTCGTAGCTCGTTACTTTACTCGAAAATTGCGGAACTTAAGCAAATGTGTTATACGAGGACAACGCGAGTAGCTCATTTCGTAGAGACGTTATAATCTAGTAATTGTATAGATTCTAGTATGCCCTAAGTTTGTATCTTGCTAGGAACATCCTCGACCACTCTTATACTTCTTATGCCGGGGGTGGAAGGCGGGGAGTTTTTCCAGTTGCTAACTCTCAAATGTAAGTGAGTTGGCCGTGGTGCTCTTCCCGAGAGCTGCAGGATTCGTACAGCGTGAAATGAGCGCAGTACCAGCTGTCGAGAAAGACTTATAGTGTGCGAAGACGCCGTGACAGCTTCTAGAACGCAGTCTGGCCTGTAGGTCGGAAGCGTTACGAGCTTTATGCGTTTAAGGTCATGGCGTTTCTGGGACTCCCGAAGCGGATACTGTATAGGTCGTCGGCGGAGATCTTGATACTAGGTTGCAACATTCTCCGAGTCTTGGGCTGCATCGTTTGGCTGCTTTTTTGCACTCCTAAGACTGCTTGATTTGAGAAGTCAATAGAGATGTCTGCACTCGCCGCCGCCTTGGAGTCGAAGGCATCGCCGACCCTGTCCTTCTGTCGAATGATAGAATGACCGCAGTTGGAAAAAGCACGGCTTCTACGGCAGCACGCACAGAGCCGCCTAGGCAAATCCTCTTCCAGAAATGCTAATCTCCGCAAGTCGCTGAAAGCTTGATAGCAAGAGAGGGCGTTTGAGCTCCTGTCGCCATCTTTATGAACTAGCTGCAGTGTATCGAAACGGCATATCTCCGCCTGTCAAACCCTTCTGCTACCAGTCACAAAATTGAGATGAAATTTTCATGAAGCATTGTCGCACCCGTAGCGGTACGAACAAATCAATACAGAAAAGGGAGCCGTGCTCCAAGTAGCCTTTCTCGTTGAAGTGCGGCGCCTGAAATTTGTCAACTTCGTTTTGGGGTGCCAACACACGCTCGGCAGCACGAGGATTGAGATGGGATCCTGCGAAACGGCAAACACAGAGTATGAAGGGCAACGTTTCTGGACCAGAGGCTTCGAATACCAGGTAACTGAACGGGCTATGCCCATAACAGGTCAGACAAGGCCCAGGTTCTAACTAGACTTGATCCACTATATTCAGGTGGTCTGACCTCAGTGATACTGTGATGAGAGCAGGCCGAGGTGCACGCGGGCCTAGCGACAAATCTGCCTATGAGAGCTTAGGAAGCCATAGGCCATGTCTCCCGGAGGCAGTGGGCCCGTGAGTCTTGAGAGTCCTGCTCGTGGCAAGGCATTAGCGGTGGATGGGGCTGAGGGTTCTTTTATCTTCCAGGCTGAAGCTTATGTCTACAGTACCCGAACAGGTGATATTGGATGTTACGGCCGTGTTGGTGGTACTGTCCAGCCGTACATGGTTCCCAGGTATAGAGTCGCTGGAATGAAAGATGTAGGAGAAGTGATTACGATAGCGGCGCAGTTCGCTCGGAATTTGTTTGCGCATCCTCGTAAATGGGTCCTAGCTTGGTCATTACATGCTTGCAGCACTGATAAGATGGCGGTGAGTTGAGAGAGTCTTCTGCTGGGGCATTTGATGGAGGGCTCGCTGGAGCATTGAACGCGTGGTCGAACGGCGCATCGGCAGAGCGGCAATCCCATGGGCGATTTTGATTCCGGTTTTGCGTACCGTCTGGCGGGCGGTCTTATGGGCGATTTCGTCGGTCTCCCTAGATGGACCGGACCCGGAGAAGATGGATCCAACGATGCGGGATGCGACCCGGTGGAGGGTCGAAGGATTTATACAGTATCAGATATTAGAAGGCGCTGTCGTGAGCCGAGCACAATATCAAGGATCAATATGCCGTATGGAACAAGTCACCCACTTGGCAAATATTCAGTGGGGCGGCGAGAAGCTGTCGACTGGAAGAATCAGACCCGGCATGATGGCCTAGGAGTTGCGTAGACCCATCTAGCGAGAACGATGTACTGGGCCTCAAAGGGGCTTATCTTCTAATGTATCGCCTCTCAGTGCTGGCTGCTGCCTGCGGCGCAGGTTACCGTTGGGAGAAATCTGTTGTCGCGGTTGCAATTTTCTTGCTCGTCTGGAGCGGAGAGGCGGCTTGGTGTATGTGTCGTTATATTCGTGGACCAGGTCTACGGAGTTAACAGGGTCGTCTCTATCTATCCATATAGCTTTCCGTAGAGGTATGCGTCTACTACCAAGCTAGGAGCCCATGAACAGCATGCTGTAGACTGCCGCGGCAGTCTTGCCTGTCGTCACCGGCCCCCTTACAGACAGATAAGCATTAGCGAGCTGTATCTTCCGCGGGTAGTGCGGTTCTGAGTAGCGGGGGTATTACTGGTATTCACTGTGGTGGCTTGCCCAGTGGAGAGAGAGAGATTGCAACCGAAGCGTGGCGGAGAGCGTTGCTAGCGCCGTGTGAATGTGTCGCTGTCGTCGACCTGAAGGATCCATGCCGCAAGATCGACGACCACATCGTTTGTGATTATGTTAGGCATGTCGGTGTCGGCTCTTGGCTGCCTTGCCTGGTAAAGGCAGAAGAGGGTAGGATGGCGGTGGGCAGTATCATCCCTGTCTCTCTTGGGAAGTGCCCGTAGAGGTAAACGGGGGTGACCGGAAGAATTTGACTTGCGTGGCGAGGCGAGGCGGCGATGGGTTGTGCATGCGTCCCGATGACTTGGGCTCGACGAAGGGGAAGTAGAAGGCGAAGGAGAAGGCGAAGGCGAAGGCGAAGATAATGGGTAATGGGCAATGGGTAATTCTCTTGTGGTTTGTGCGTGCGTTGTTGGTTGTCATGGCGGCGAGGTAATATTCTGCTGGCGTTGTGGTGTTGTATTTCGGAGGAGGAGGTGTAGGGACTTGGGGTGAAGTCGGAGCAAGCGGGTGCGGCCGTCAGGGGGATGGCGCCTGAGGCATTAATTTCCCTTGGATCATTGTATGCTTCTTATACCGCTACAAATACAACATACCTCTCGCATACGGTGATCTTGATCGGTGAGCTCTCGTTCTCAAAGGGTCAATTCTTCCCCCCAATACCAGCTCGCTACCACATCGTTTGGACAAGTGCTTGCCTTTTCAGCCACCTCGCAGTACCGGATGCAACAAGCCTGGGTCTTTCGTGGCGATGCCATCACTCACTCCAACAACACAAAACTCATCGCAGCTTGAGCATCGAACAAAGCCCGATTTAATCCCAGTTTCTCCTCCAACAAGACCCAACTCCTCAGGTGTCCCAGCGCGGAATCCATCTCCAAAAAGTCTTTCGTCTGATCGAAGACCATGGGCACCGCCGCCGACGACGACGACGACGAGACAATCAGAGGCAGCAGCACATCTCCGTCTTTACGCAGGTCCAGGTCCAGAAGCTCCATTTTGTACTGGATGAACGTCTGGAAGAATGTCAGTAATGCGCTTGCGATCATCCGCCCGACGGTACCAGGCGACTCACCAGTGGTATCGATTCGCTCCCTCTCAGCCCCGAAAAGGCCCTCTCCAGAGTCATATGGAATGTCTCCGTCCGCGACGTAGACGGGTACTCGCGCACCAGTGCCTTGAGCTTTTGCAACGCAGCGGAACCCGAGGTGCCTTGCTTCCGCATACCTTGGATTTCTTCGGCAATGGTGTGGGTGGTTGACTGGAGAGTAAGCATCGAGGCACGGACAGCAGCGTTCATCTGCGAGTTCCAGTCGGACGTCCAGAGCACATCCGCGGCTTGTGCATGCTGTGTTGAGGTCGACGGACGGGCCAGAGTTAGAGGGACCGCGGAGCAAAAGGGCAGCAGAGTGGCGTCGAGGATCGAGTAGACGGCAGATGCGTGGGGTGCGTGGAACCGGCAGAACCATGCCAAGCTGGTCCATCGAGAGAATGGCTTGTCCAGGGAGGAGGCGTGGGAAAGGCTTGAGATGTTGTGCAGATTGAGAAAGTCTTCCCTGAGCTGCTCGGTGCCATTCAAGACCGCGTGCAACTGTTCACAGTCAGTCAAGTCGAGATGAGCAAACTTTGCCCGCACTTACCACCGCATCCCCATGCACGACTCCCCGACGCAGTGCATTGCCTACGTTGATGACATGCTGAGCAAGCTTGGTGCGGTAGTCCAGCGTGATAGCGTCGTCACCCCCACTTATCTCGAGATACTGCGGCATACATCGCTTGGGAATGGGACAAGTGCGGGTCGGATCGGTCGAATGCCAGACGACGGCTGCTTGGCGGTAGAAAGGGTGGCTGAGCGGGCTGGGCAGTAGCTCGCACGCCGCTTCTAGAGAGTGGCAGTATACTGCATGTGCGTTGGTCAACTCGAATTGCATTGGTTGTAACTGCGGAAAGGTTTCTCGGTACGCCTGAATGCGGCTGGGTATCATCTGCTCGACTCTGTCGCGTATCCCCGGCGGAAACGGAGGTGGAACTGCAGCGGTAACCACATTGAGAGCGTTGAGTGCGCAGAACAGTGTGTACATCGAAAGGACGTATGCGAAGTAGCCGAGGACGACGTAGACAAGTCGGAGGAGCCATGCAGAGGTGTGGTTCGTACGGAGGACTTGGACACGTTCCGGTCGTGGAAGAGGCGGTCCGTGGAGCATCGGAGGTGGCCCGTCTTGCATTGCGGAGCTGTCGAGGAGATTGGGCTCTTTCTCAACTTCGTGATCAACCTTGTCCGGCAGCCCAGGCGCTGGCTTTGCATCAGCTGATACCAGGTATTGCGTCTGCTCCAACTCCGTCTTGTCGTCCAGCCGGCTTTTCTGACTCCAAGCAGCGATCGGGCTACGCTTGGGGGTATCGCTCGTCATGACATGCTTCCCCTCGCGTACAATCTTCAGCTCCAGTGACAGTGCTTTCGATTTCCGATTCTTCTTCTCCTTTCTCGTTTCGAAATAGACGTAGATCTCCTCGTTTGTTGGCTCTCGACCGAGCTTCGTCTGCAACTTGGCTTTGGCTTTTGCGATCAGGTCGCTCGAGGAGGGAGGATCTGGAGAAGCCATGGTTGGCATGGGAGGTTGGACGGCTGATTTGCCAGGAAAGCAGAAGTTCCGGAGGAAAGCGAAGTTCTGGAGGAAAGCGAAGCTCTGGGGAGGGAGATGTTGTTGGGTTCTAGAAGTTCAGTGGTTGACAAAAGTGGCTGAGACTGGGCGTGGCGTGGAAACGAGGGTGACTCGTCTCACCTTGCAGGCAAATGAGAGTTTATGAATATCGTATTGGCATACTGTCTGGTCGTTGTGGGCAAAGTCCGTTTGACCATACCTACCGCGTGAAGTGCCTTATCGAGTGGATAAAAGTTCTTCCCTCTCCGAGCTGCCGCTTCATGACAAAGGACAGCCATGGGCGCTGTCGGCCGTACAACGTGTACAAACCGCGGGAAATGACCAGAGTAAGCTCGGTATTCTGGTACGAATCCCATGGCTGAACTTCAGCCAGTCCACTCGAGCCACAGGCATTCTGGAGCGCTGCGCTGCGCTGCGTGCTAAGTTTCGGTGACATCCGATTCTCGAGCTCCCAGTCGCACATGTGCGAGCCGCTGCTGGACTACAGTGCAGCTTGTGTGTAATCGCCAGATCCTCAGGCACGAATGGACATGCGTAGTTGTTGGCGGCGCAGAGAAGTGGTCGGTCTGGTTTGATCGAGGTTTGGTAGAGTGGTGTCGAAGAGATGGAATTGGACGAAGCCGAACTCGAAGTCCAAGTCACCACCCTGTGCCAAGACGGGTGGGGCCTCGGTCCGTCATGCCTGAGGCCTGACATGCCCCGCTTCCAACATACTGATACAGACTCCGCAGGCTTGTCAATGAAATCTTGATGGGAATCCTCAATCAAGGCTTCAATCACCCCAGCTACCCAACAACCTATCGCTCCTACATACTCAGATGGCATAGGCCTCATCCTCGTCGTCCTCCTCCTCCTCCTCCTCCTCATACTCATACTCCTCTTCGTCTTCTTCCTCACCCTTCTCCTCCTCGTCATCGCCATCGCCATCGCCATCCTCCGCCCCTGTCGCAGTCGTATCGCTAAAGTACCCCTCACCAGCGTCACCCTCCACGACAATCCCATTCTGAGCCAACACCAAGCGTGCCTCAATCAGCTTCGTACGCAGGTGCGCATTGTCCGCCGCAAGCATGCTGTTCTGCAACACCATGTTGCTGTGGATGGCGCCGACGAGGTCGATGGCGTGCTGGAATGCCGCGCCGTAATCGGGCTTGAGGAGGGCTTCGGAGAGGGCGTGGAAGTGAGGCGCATACTCGCGGTCGGAGAACGAGGTGGTGTTCCTCATGCTCTGCTGGCCGTTGGCGGCGGCGGCGCCGGGGACTTCGGTGGTATCGCTGGCCGTCTCACTGGCCTGAGCCGGTGCGCCGGCGGCGGCGGCGGCGGCAGCGGCGGAGAATGAGCCTGGAACCTGGAAGTGGGTGCTGCTGCTGCTGAAAAGGAAGAATGTCAGAGACCGCTCGATTGACCGATACCATACGGAAGTGAATGATGATGATGATGATACGTACGCGGAAACGTGGTCTTGCAGGGCCTGGGCTTGCCCCTGGAATGCGACCTGAGGCGCCTCTGCTTCTTGCGCACGCAGACGCTCGACCCCCTCGTGGCCGAGTTGGATGTTCTTGCCGAGCACCTGCTTGCCCGCGCGCACTCTCGAGAGCTGTGTGTGGAGCTGATCGCGCTCTCGCTGCTTCTGCTCGGGATGTCAGCTGGGTAAAATAGACGGGAATGCCTGATGGACCTGCCTGGATGTTGAACATGGCGCTTGCCTGGCCTTGGAACACGTTATTGATGAGCGGTGGACTGTCAGGAAGTCGATGAGAGAGACGCTGGGAACAGAACGGTGGGTCAGGGATCAATGTAGATGTGAGAGAGATGCGATCGAAGAGCTGGTAGATCGAGATGGTGACCAAATACTGGCCGAATGAGTAACTTGATGAGAGATGAAGAGGACAGACTGAACGTCTTTGGATGATAGCGTACCCATGTGCGAGAGCAGATGTCGACGGCCCACTGTTCCGTTTGTATGCACCCATCCGACCAGCGCACCGCACCTCTCAACTCTGGACTTTCAACTTGCACCCTTTGAACAGGACCTCTTCTGTCTCGCGACTTGCGGTACGATTCACGCCTTGAACCGAGGACAACTGGCGGTCTCTTCTCGTCTCATACCCCTTTGCGGACATACCGGTGCTCTGTCTGTTCCGCTACGTTCAGTTCTCCATACGACAAGCCTGCCCATCTCCGAGCCCTCTGACAACCAGCTTGTCCCCCCTTGAGCATTCTGAAGATCCAGCAACTCGTAGAATTCCATCCACATTGCTCCGCAACTTCGCTTCACCATGGTATGTACGCTGTGGTCTGTGAGTGATCGCTTGACTAACTTTTCCGGTCTTTGAAGGCTGCACAAGGCTCCTCGGTCCTCCAGTACGGCACTGAGAACCGTACAGGCGCTCAGCTGCTGGAGCGCCGCGCCGACAACTACCCACGATACGCTCTGAAGCTTTCGGCAGCTCAGAAGGACACCCTCACCCGGTTCTGTCAGGAGCATCACCTCGGCGGCACCCACGCACTCCCGACGACGACTCAGCTGCTCGCTCTGGCCCAGAATCTCCAGTTGCTCCCCCAGAATGAGCGTGCAGACGTGATCAAGGAGGTGTTGAGACGCATTGCGAAGAAGGTTGAGGCTGGGGAAGGATTGGTAGACAAGAAGGGCAAGAATCGCATCGTTGGGAGCTTCTGGGACACGGCGACTGACGGGCCAGTGGGGGATTTGGTGGACAGGGCGGTGGATGAGTGGACGATCGCCGTTGCGCAGGTTCGTGAGCCGCAGCAGAAGCAGCCACAGATCGAGAAGAAGAAGCCGACGAAGTCAAGCACCATCAGCAAGCCCAAGGACGGTTCTGGTGTGTTGCTCAAGACGGAGCCGCAGCCACCGCAACAGCAGCAGCCCATGCAGACCGTACCCACCTTCGCCTCTTCCACCGACGCGCGGCGCCATGTGGAAGAGCTGGTCGGCAAGTACCAAGTTCTCGATCAGGCGGAGAAGGACCTCATCGAGCAGCTGCGGAAGTTGGAGATGTCGTGAGCTGCGGCATGCCACGTGTCCATCCATGGCAGCCAGGAAAGGGGAAAGACTGCTTCTCTGGAGGGCAACAACAAGCGAATTTCATTCCGGCGACGCATTGTCCGGCATCACCACACAACATATCTCGGAGCGGAGCAGCGGAGAGGAGCGGTATTGGGGGCATACTTGGCATTTGGAGGTGGGACAGGACCCAATACAATATGATATGTATGGTCATGTAATTTCGGGGGCAGATAAGTAGACATCTTTGTGAGAAGATACATACAAAAAGATCCGCTTTGCCCTGTTCCCCTGGAGATTCCCATACGTCGTGCAGGCAGACTTCATACATCGTACAGCATCGGATACTCGGATATTCAAATTCTCGGATACAGCCGCCGGCTCACACTACTTTACTTTCCGGATACCTTATTCGGGCTGCGTGGTGAATGACCTCGGATGAATCATGTCCAGGCAATCTCAATCAATATTTAGTGAGCCGACATGAATGAACCAACGACGCCGCTGCTGTATACCTTACCACTCCTCACCACCACTCTCCCTCCACACTCCCTCCACACCCTTGGCACCCTCTTGTCTACCTGCCTACCTCCCTCCCTCCCTATGCATCGTCACCCTCACCGTCTCCTCCCTCCGCTCCACCCCCACCGCCCTCCTCCTCCTCACGCCGCAGCAGCAGCCGCGCCGGAAGCGGATAATACACCGCGCTCTCCCGCGGCACCACCACGCACGACGAGATGGCCCCGTTGGCCTGATTCACACACGCCGTCCAGGGGAGTTCTGTCGTTCGCGATAATCTCCCCGACGACGACGACGATGTGGTAGTCGTAGGAGTGGTGGTGGTGGTAGCTCTTAGCCCCGGCGGCGAGGAGGGCGATGGGAGTGGATTGGGGTGCGGCTCCCGCACCATCCCCCCCATGATCAGGACGAGGCCGCTGGCTAGGACGAGGAGTTTGACGTTGAGATTGGGAAAGTGGTGATGGAGGCGGATCTCGGGCCCGGCTGCGCTCATGAGCAGGACGAGGAGGATGCCGAGGGTGACGAGGAAGATGTTGGTTGCGTCGGGGGTCATGGTTGGGGTTGGTGTTGGGTGGATATAAGGTACGGTCTTCTTCTTGGGTAGATTTCCGTGACTGGGTCGTTGGGTTCTGGCGGTGTGGATCAGGTAAGAGGTATGGATGCTGCTGCTGCTGGCGTTTGTAGACGGACCTGTGAAGATTGGGGACTTGCTGGTCTCGAAGGTACGTGAGTTGGAGATGGGAAAGGTGAGATGAGGTGTGAGAGACAAGACAAGAGACGTCCATCGCCGTGCAGAGACAGGGGCCTGGCGGAAACCTGCAGCACGGCGAGCTGGCACCTCCTCCTTTCCATTCACCGACCTCTCCTTCATTCGTTCTTTCAAACCATCTCTCTGCTTGACAGAAGTCCTCATTTCCTCCTCTTCTGCGAACCACCCGGGCAGGATGACAACCCCCAACACTCCAGTCCCACCAGCCAAGAAGCCAGCGACAAACGCCACAAACGCAATCCCATCAGCAGCGGAAGATCCAATGCACTCGCACTCGGTCGAGGCTCTGCTCGGGGAAAAGGAAAAGGAAAAGGAAAAGGACATGTCGAATGCGGAGCTGCAAGATCGGATCTCCCAGTTGGGTGTGGGAGAGGAGGATATCTCCGACGAGCTGGAAGATGAGGGATCTGGGGGGGATCAGCAGCTTGGACACGCATACAGCGGCAGTGACGAATGTCCCGAGGGTCTTGCAGCCGGCGAGGAATCTGGCTCCGGAAATGACGCGGCGTTGGAGCGTTCCCGCAACGAGAAGTCCGCGAAAGCGGTCAAGAAGCACGTCTGGAATCTCTGGCCCAACTTCCAGCTGCCCGAGTTCATCTCCCACCTCGTCATTCTCGCCCTACTCACGACCAACATCCTCTCTGGCGTTCTCTATCTGAGCAGCGATCGCCATGGCGGCAGCAGCAGCAATCCAACAACAGCAGCACCACCGTCTTGCGACTGCACCACAGGAAATGTTGGCAATGTCCCGGATCTCCTCACTACTACATCCCAAGGCTGGCCCATCCGCACTTTCTCCTCCCATCCCGAGGCAGCCCTCACCTCCCTCCGCTACCTCCTCACCCTCATGCCCACGACCCACATGACTCCCGATCGTCATCAGTCCCTCGATCAATTACTCGTCGAGGCCGAACAAGCCGTCCCCATCAGCACCTCGGAGGAGGAGGAAGACGAGATGCTCTCCTCCTCCTCCTCGTCTCCCTCACAGGAGGAAGAATCCGGAAAAATCTACACCCTCCCCCCAGCTCTCCTCCTCCACCCCACCGCCGGCGTGGGCGTGGGCGTAGGCGTGGGCGTAGGAGGCGCCTGCCACGTCGCAGACGAGGAACTCTGCCGCGTACGGGATCTCTATCTCCCGCGGGGTCTCGCAGGCGTGGACTGGGAATGCGAGGCGGCGGAGATGTGGGTCGACGAGTGGAATTCGATTGTGAGGGGTTGTGTGAAGGGGTTGATTGGGCGGGTGAGGGGGAGGGCGAGGGCGAGTCATGGAGAGGTTGGAAGGTAGGTGGGTAGATGAGATGGGATTCGATTGGGGATATAATATAATATAATAGAATAGAATAGAATGGAACGGAATGGTCTGCTTCGCTCTTGTGGGACGTTTTGGGGATCTGGTGCTGTTTCTTTTCTTCTTGTCTTCTTGTCTTGTCTTCTACAATGTACCCGGGAGCTTTCGGTAGTCGCTTCTCCATGTAGGAATGATCATATAATAGACAGCAATTGGAATACTTCACACAAGTGAGATGATCTGTACTTCCGATACTGCGTCTTTTGGTAGTAGAGAGGGCTAAGCCTGTAGGCTACATTATTTCTTTCGTATGCTAGGTAGGTATAGAAGACAAAGTATCGAGATAGTAGGGTGGGAAAAGTAGATAGATTGGAAGGAGACTTTCCCGGCGCACGGATTTTTCTCTCCGTTAGATGCTACTTACTGTTTTCTTGCTTTCTTTTAAACAGGTTTACGGTATATGTCCTGCAGCTTTCTATACATAAAGCGAACTGTAAACGCTATACTTTGCACCGGATTTAGAGTCGTAATACCTAGTTTCTAGTAGAAGGTTAGCGGAGTATACATTCATTCACTTCCCTACGAAGCCGCTAGTTTAGCGCCCGAAGCTAAGCCGAAAGCGGGTGCAACGCGGCGAATACTAGTACAGACGTATCGGTACGGTACTATAGGTAAGAACTTCTTGTAGGTATATAGGTTTAAACTTACTCCTATACGATCGTCACTCGAACTCCAGTCCGTCAAGCATCGTGGATCTTATCTTCTAGGCGGCTTTCACCTCGGGCCAGAAATTCGAGTTGGAGAGATTCTCATTCGGCTTGTACGGGAGTGGATAATGTATTCGATTAGCGGTCGAGTGTAGAAGTCAATTCAATTCAATTCAATTCAATTCAATTCAATCGATATAGCATCTCGGGTACTAGTCCAGGTCCGGCAGCGAGGCAAATACAGACCTCTAAGTTAGCCTGCATGTGCCTTCTCCGGGACTTGTTCTCCAGCCTTATGATTCGGACTTATGCATGCGTCAAGTATCTTAAGCGAAGCCCTCATGGATCTTGTAGAGTCGTGGTACCTTTTCAGATTTGTTTAGATAGAGTATTTCCCTCAGACATCTACAGGGCACATCCCATGTGATTTCAATCGAGATGCGTTGGATCTTGGACACGAAATGGTCGGCTTACATTTAGATAACGACTGGATTACTGTAAGAGGTGAGAGGTGTATAATCTTGAGTCTGGCGAGTAGAATACAACGTTACCGCGGTTCTGGGAGACGGAAAGCCGAATGAAGTCTTGCTCGACTGATGTATTGCATGTGATGGCTTGCTCATGGTACTGGGCCTGGCATGAAGGAGCAAGAGAGTCAATCACCTACTCGACGCTCATTCATTCTCCCAAATACATCCTCACATCTCAATTCTCCGCCTTCCGTCCTGGCATGAACTCCTTCTCATGCCTCTCCTTGCAATCCTTCCGATCCCTCAGCCGAGGCCAGCCGAATTGTAGCATCGCGCCGTCTGCCCTTGCCACCAAAGGCCTCATCTTCCCCGTGGCATCCTCTCGATTCCCCGCCTTCTCCCTCCCATCATGGCCTTTCCCGCCGGTGCGTGGCCGAACGAAATTCCTCCCGTGTACCCTCTCCGGCATCACCTCCTTCTTCCACCCCACGGCATCATTCGAGGCTCCGTCGTCGTCGTCGTCGACGACAGATTCAATCCATCCCTGGACATGGCGTTTCCACTCGGATCGAATGGCAGTCTCCCAGTCCTGCGTGAGGGATCCGCCTTCTTCCCAGTGCCAGCGATAGCTTTCCGGCGCGTCGGGGGAGAGCCAGAGGGTGTGGACGAGGTGGTTATACGCTTGGATCCGGGCGTTGCGGAGCTCCTCGATTGCGTTCACGGAGAGGCAGACGGGGCAGAGGAAGAGAGTCTGCAGTGAGGTGCTGTGTTGGAATGGATGCTGTGGTGGTTTGGAGAGTGTTTCCGGTGATGGTGCTTCCGGGTGTAATGGCATGCGCTGCAGAGACCACTCGCAAGCCGCTTGACGCATTTGTGTTGCGTTGCCGAATGTACGATGGCGTGTGAGGTCGGAGGTGATCCAGTAGCTCACGGACTGCACCAGCTGGGCAGGGTTGCCCTTTGGTGCATCTCTCAACTGCTGTTGTAAACCTTCCAATTGCTGAGTCCGCCGTGTGAGCTGGGGTTCAACGGTGTGAGCAATCAGTTCGAAGAAAGCGGCCTGGGCAAAGTATTCATAGTTGGATTGAAGAGTCTCTGCGTCAATTCCTGCCATGGTTTGGGATTCGGATGCAGGGTCAAAAGCGATATTCCATGGATATTGATGGCGAGCAGTGTCCCTGAATGCGTTTGTGACTGTGGCAATAGCGCGAGTTTGATGGTCTGTTGCGAAGACTTGCAGGCGTGAGAGGAGGTACGTTGTATTGCGAACGAAGCCGAGTTCCTTGGTGATGTACTCTCGCAATGGAGCGATGAGAGTTTCCTGTGCACGATCGAGTGCGGGTCGATGGCGTATGGCGCAGTAGACGGAGCCCTTCAGGGGAATGCGGCTATCCCAACACTCACCCGCTTCCTTCAACCATCCCGGCTCTAAGTTGGCAATGTAGATGGATGGGATGTCGCCATCGCGGAGTCCAATGGCATGACCAAGATGGGCATTCAGACGCTCGCCATCCAACTGACGCCATGGATTCGACTGGATGAGTTGGGTGAGCTCCTTGTGCGCTGCTTCGATTCCCCCCGATGGGTATTGAGGCCAGACGGCGGGGAGGTAGGGTGGGTCAGAAAGCCAGTCCATCCAGCGGGATGGCAGCATCATGGCAATCCGGTCAAGAGCTTCTTCGTCTGCCGGCCGTACGGTTGCTGGAATCCCTACCGGGACCGTGGGCGGCGGACGCGGCACGGGTTGCTGGGTGGGCTTGCAGACCCAGTTTCGGACGAGGCAGATCATAAGAGTCAGGAATAGGAGAGCGAGAACGTAGACCCAAAAGCAGGATACGTCTGAGGTGGTTGGTTCCATGTCTCCTCCAGGTCGTCGAGGTCGAGGTCGAAGACGGGGTCGAGTTCGAGTGCGAGGTGACGCCGACGGATCTGAGTGTGCCACTCCCAGTAGTAGCCCTTGCTTCGCACCATTGCGATCTGCAACACCCGAGGCCACCACCGGTGAGAGATTGATTCCATAATGTCCATTGTCGCGCTTCTTCCAGTCTCGAAGCAGCTTCGCTTGGATGTAGTTGTGCTGATATCTCCCATCTCCGACTTCCACAACCGCGGAGCTACTGTCCGACATGCTGTGCTCTGACGAGAATCAATGCATCGATGTTGTCTGTCTGTGTTGCAAACGCAGGTCCTTTCAATCGTGCTTTGTTGCTTTCTACCTGGCCGAGTCCGGCGAGCCGCCAATGGTGCTGGAAATGTGCGCCAATTGGAATCCACGCGGGAATTTGTTCTTTGTTTTGAAAGTTGGAATGTGGAATGCGAGGAATGTGCAGCCCCACGAGCGGTGCATGGTAGCTTCGGGCGACCGAATGCGGTATAGCGCCTGCTTCACCCAATTCCTGCAAAACCAGCTTCAAGCTTAAATAAACTTTGCACCAGTGCTCGTTCCGGCAACATGTGATGCAGCACTGGCCAATCGCATGATATTCCTCAAGCTAACGGTCACCTCACTCTCACTATACCCTGGAAGAAAGCTTTGCACGATGCAAGCATTACGATTATCCAAGCTATCTATTGGTTAAGCTATCTATTGGTTGATGGGACCTTTCGGACTTTCGCTACGACCTGATTTGATTCCCATCCCTCGAATGCCGAGGCTACGGAGAACTTCAGCGAGGAATCTGCATCCAATCACAGCATCATCGACTCGATCAAATCCAGCGGCACTCCGGGTCGGCGCGACACTGCGCAGCTTGCCGCAGTCGGCCCGCCCAAAGCTGGAGGCCTGCGGCGTTCTGACTGAGCAATTCCGCCCTCACGCGGCCGTCTCGGTCATCTCTCACCATCACCGACAGCACCATCCCCAACTCCTCCTCCACCAAAGCGTTCTTTTCCTGCTCCAGCGTCCCAAGCACGATCAGAGTCTGCTCCTCCGCCCGGCGCACTCTCATACTCCGGCTCGACTCGGCGTCGGCCGCGGCCATGGGCAGCCACACGTTCTGCGCCTGCGATACTTCTCGCTGTGCTTGAGCCAGGTGCCATGCGCCTTGCCGGATCGTGTCCGCTGCACGCTGCTTCCAGCCCGCCATTTCCGTCTGGTATTGCCGCAGCTCGGCTTCCATGCGTACCGCTGGGCGCTGTGCACTCCACCCCGGGGGCAGCACGCCGTGATACGCCGCCGTGTCGAGTGCAGCGTTGAGAAGCGAACTCGATGCTCCTGCGGCCATCTCCTCCAAGCTCTTGGATGTCCGGAGTGCCATCTCCACTGGCTCTTCGAAGATATCCGTCTTTACCCAGATGTCCTCCACCCGCTGAACATGCAACTGTGCGCATTCGAAAGCCTGCAAGATCTCGGGGAAGCCTTGAACGGAGGAGAAGCTGCTGCGGATACGGTTCTCGAGACTTGAAAGTGCAGTGGATAGGCGCATGCTGATGTTGTTGACGGGTACCGCGTCGAGGTCGAAGATTGCTGTTGCCGAGGTCATGGGTTGCGGAACGCGGAAGAAGCCATATTGCTCGAAGATGGCAACACCAGCAATAAGCAGAAGGAAGACGGTGAAGGCTTTGATACTCCATTTTGAGAGCTGATCACTCCAAGTGAAGGAAGCCGCTGGTGTACCCATGTCCATGGCGCTCGCCGCGCTGTCCTCGGTCAGCTTCCATCTCTGCTGTAGGTCGCTTGCGCGGTTGAGCAATCCGACTTCGTCGGACAGCCTGTGTACGTATGTGGCCAGCAATGTCTGTCGGGCTTTGCGGCATTGTATGGCTCGATCCTTCAGCCAGTCGTTCTCCTCTCTCCCCCCCGTCGAGTGCTCATGCTTGTCGATGTGAACGAAACCACTGCTGCCAATGCGCTCTTGCCATGCCGCGAGCAGGTCCTCTTCTGTATGCAGGAGCTGGGTGAACTCGGCGATGATGCATTCGGATAGCTGTCGCTCCAGCTCGAGCTGCAGCAGCGGCATGTCGGTGTTTGCCCGGTGGCCCATCTTGATGGCTTGCGGGTGCAACCTCGCTGGATCAAGGACTGCAATTCACTGGAGCCTGCTCTGGCAGTAGATCTAGTCCATGCAATATCAGTTCGATTCGGTATCGGTGTCGTTGGAGGAAGACATATCCGTTTGCACTTCCCGGCCGGCAGTCCCAGCCAAGCCCAGGTCCGGCGTGAAGAAAGCCCGCTCCGTTATTCATAATCAGATCCCGATGAAGATCTAATCGACGTGAAAATTTGATGGTGGATTTGAACGGAATCTCCTTCATTCGCCGATGGAGGAGGGCAGATGCCGAAGCCAAAGGTTGGTCGGTTGCCAGCACTTCTGCAATCCTCTTCCTTTCCTCAGCCTCGATCAAAACCTCTGAATTCTTTAATGCTCTGCTTTCAAGGCCGCAATCATTATCAAGTATTAACGACAGAAGAAGATAACATCTCGCACCCAATTCCTTTGACCTCTGGGAATTGGATTTCTGGCTGGCTTTCAGCTGAGTTTCTGGGCATGTGAAAGCTGTCCGGCCCGCCGGCGCTAGGGGGACGCTAGCAGAGCTAAAGCTCCGTGAAAGCCCACTCCATCTCCCAGACTACTTCTAGTACATGAAATGTCCCTCTGGTTCAAGTCCTCTTTTCTCCCCTTCCCTTCCCTTGTTAAAGAAGCTCCCACCAGCCCTATACAATCAGACTTGACATCGCCGGGTCATGCTTCGGTTGGTAAGAGTAAGCTCTAGCATCCGCCATCCTTCATCACATGCACTGCGTTACTTCTAAGGCTCTGACGTGCTGATCACGACATTATATTGCATTGTATCTAATCTACCATAGCATCTGTTCTATTCTATCTGCCAAAGGCCGGGATGCAGCATACCATTCGTTTATTACCCAGGCAGTCGGCCTATTCTCGCCCTTCCCGTGTATTCGTGCATTCATCCTCGAGCCATGTACAGCCATATCATTTTCGTATGCAGAAGCGGTCATCATCCGACATCGTCATCATGTCATGAGTCTGAACTCGTAGCATTTTCTTTTCTCCATCGTTGTCGTGATTCTTTCTTTCTTTCTTTCCGTCGTCGTCATTCTCATCGTGAAGGGCGGACGGCCAGTTGTTGCACTTGGCTTTACTGGCCGGCTTGAGTTGGGCACTCGTCTTCGTGATCGGCATCTTCGTGGCTTGGGTCGGCGAGGTTGTCTGCAGTCGTGTTGGCGTTGGTGGTGTTGAACTGATCGAGCTCATCAAGATCGAAGTCGGAGTCGAACTCATCTGCGGCTTCTGGATCGCTAGTGGATGAGCTGGAGCTGGTGTGGTCCGCAGGATCAGTGTCCGACAAGCCGTTGTTGATGGCGGAATTGACATGGGCAATGCCAGTGTCGTGGACGTGAACAGGGCTGCTGCTGGGCTGCTCGTTGGAAGACTCGCCAGAGCCAGCAGAGAGGGAGCCGGCATTGTCGGTCTGCTCGTTCGAGACGTCGAAATCGAATTGGTAAGTAGCAGAGGCGATGTTGTTGCTGTCAGAATCCTGGGTCTGGCCGTTGTTCTCCGGGAGATGGCCGCAGCCATCCTCATCCATACCGGTCAAGGCAGCCTTGTCAGAGTTGGAGTTCTTGGTATGATCGTCGCCGACATTGTGGCTCGAGAGGCCGAGACCAAGGGCATCAACACCGCCAGAACCAGAGCGAGAAGTGTCGGATGGGGGAAAGCTCGAAACGGCAGAAGTATTCCGGGAGCTGAACTCCTGTCCCCGGTCGTTGTTGCCGAAGCCGAAAGCTGTGCTACCGCCAGTATTGGAGCCGAAAGTGCCGGAGAACATGGTACCACCATTCTTCCCAGTCTTGTTGAAGCCGAAAGGATCGTTGCGGTCAACGGCAGAGAACATGATACCAACATTCGGACCAGTCTTGTTGAAGCCGAAAGGATCATTGCTGTCAACGCCAAAATCGAATTTGCCAAACGTAGAGTTGAAGCCGAATGGGCCCGTACCACCAAAGCCAAGGGCAGAGGAGGGGGGCAGGGAACCAGCAGTAGTCCAACCGCTGAAGCTCTGAGGATCTCCGACGATGCCGTTCTTGTTGGGCAAGTTGAAGCCGAGAGGATCATTATCGCCAGTGTCGAAGCCGAGGCCGGACGAGACTGTAGGGACAGCAGCATTCTTGGCGTTGGAAAGACCCTTGGCCTGATCATTCTGGAGGCTGAAGTCGACATTGTTGCAGGCGATGTTGGCAGACTGGGCAGAGGAAGAGGGGTCCGTGACATGATTCTTGTTGAAGCTTCCAGCATTGCCAAGCTTCTTATCCTCATCCGACGCCTTCACAGCAAATGGGTCCACCACCATACCCAGCTGGACCCAAACTTCCCATGAGGCCCTGCATTTCATGCACCAAGACAAGAAATGTTCACCTTGGACTGCTGGAGAGAAGACCTCAGAGCAGCAGCTGCAGGTGATGAATGAAGTTCCAGAGGCAGCAGAAGCAGGATCTACTGGCGTCGGCGTAGCGGTGGTGGTCATGAGGTTGAGTGGCAACTTCTCCATATGCTTGAGTGGAGCAGCAGGAGTGGGAGTCATGATAAGTGGTGCTTTGCCCTTGCCATTGTCCTTGTGGGTTGGAGTCGTGAAAGGATCTTCCAATCTCGCTCTGCTGATAATGTCCGGCGTGAAGGCCGGGACCTTCAGCTTCTTGGAGGAGACCTCATCCAGACGCATGTCCTCACATCCTCTCACACGCTTGTTTCTGGAGGGGCCTGGCGTGGCATTGCACATCACCTCCTCCTCGCCTTGTATGTCAAACTCCAGACCCATCAGACGCTCCAGCTTCTCCTCGCGATTCAGAACTCCCTGGAAGCGATGATGCTTACAAGAGCACACAATCCAAAGCCTCTCCAGGACCCACTTCAAGCGCTCTGCGTTCACGCTGCCCACAGTGCAGGGGACGAGAGACGCCACATCCAAGCATCGCTCATGGATCGCAATGAGGACAGATTTGCCGCGGTGGTTGGTGCAGTTGGAGTATTGGCACTCAACTTGGGTGCCGGCAGCGAGTGTCGTGATGGAAATAGTGCGGAGGATGCGGACGTCGGTGGACGTGAGGTGGACGACTTCGCCAGGCATCTTGGTGTAGCTGAGCTGGAGACTGAGGAAGACGTTAGTTCTGGTATTGCTGGAGTACTTGGCAGTCATATCTGTGGAAAGTACCTGTATCAATGCGCTTCGAAGGTGTTGGAATTCCCGTCAGCTGTGGTAGTCCAGCGAAGGAGAGAAAAGATTGACCAATGTCCAGCTTTCGTGGAAGGCAGCTCAGATGCCAACGAGAATGATGCAGAACAGTCACCAGACGCGAAAGATGAGTGCTGTGGTGATCAAGAAGAGGAAAGAAAACTTCCTGACTCCAACTATCCAGAGGTATCCACGCCATATTGGAGGTTGGGCCAACCTCTCGTCCACCGGACAACATCCGAGACAGAGTGAAAGAGTGCGTGCAGAGGTAAAGGTCGCAAGTCGTGAGTTGCAAGTTGCGAGTTGCGAGATCCCGCAAAGAGGTCTCATCTTGAATCTGACTCCCGGAGAGCTTGGTTGGAAGTTGGGGGTTGGCACCGGATGGGGTTTCAGTCTCAATTTTCCGTCCCTGGAGACCGCTCTTCCGAGCAGAAGGAAATTCTTCAGGTTGCAATGTCGCATTTGATTGCTGTCCTTTCTGCGATGTCTGGAAATCCAGGAAAGTTGAAGAGATCATGTTGTTGGCCTTTTCGATGCGGTCATCTTCTGATGTGAAGATGAAGAGAAAATGTCAGCGCGGCCGCTCGGTGGTGTCCCGACAGTGTGGGTGGAATTGGCCATGCTGTGTAACCGCTCCGTCATCCATCACAACAAAGAAATCTTCCATGCACCTGCATGAGCCCCACGTGCCCGGTTTACTTCTGCTGCCGTATTTACGCGCCCCCGACATTGGCCGCCGTCGTCAGAAAATGTCACCTCTAGAGGTTACAGCTTGGCGTTTGCGTACGGAATGCAGGGTAACATGGAAAATTTTCGACGAACAAGTCCAACGCTGAAGGAGAGAACTTGGCATCGCTCTCATGGTGGCTGGGGTGGTGGACCCTGAGTAGAAATTTAGCACGAACACCTGTTCGCAGCCGTATAGCAGCGTTTCCCAGTCATTCGGTACTGCCGTACTTTTTTCCCTGCTCGCATGCGCGGACACATCTCGCTTATTCCCCGTTCCAGCCAATGAGTACCGTCCGGAGACTACCTGCGCTGCCGCTTCCGATGACCGTAGATAGCAACACTCAGCTCTCGCCTTAGTCATCCCGGCCCAATCGGTAGAAGGGCTGGGAGATGTTCTGACCCTGAAACAGTCGGAGGGAAAAGCGCAGCTTCCGACTTGCAAGTTGAGAGTTGCGAGTTGCGGTTGCGGTTGCGGTTGCGGTTGCGGCAGTCCTTCCGGATCATACGGGTAGATGGCAAGTTTGGAGGCCCCACTCTTCCTTTTCAGGTCGGGGAGGGAGACTTGCGACTTAACAGTCACGTGTAGTTTGACTGGAGAGTCGTTCCCGGCTGGGCCATAGAATGCTTCTGACCGGAGACGCAAGACTCAAGACCCAAACCTCAAAGGCGACAGACTGTCACCTCTCGACTTGCACCCCTAGCTCATCAGCACAATTGACCATCCGATCTTCCCAATCCTCAAAGATAAATACGCTCTCCTCGTCCTCCATTTTGCTTCTTCTTTCCTCATCCTTCAGGAAACACTTCCAAAGCAACTCCAAGGCTGACAATCCCCAAAAAGAATTGACTACCTTTTCGGACAACTTTTGAAGAACTTCACTTGAACGGGATCAACAGCTCTTGCACCCAACACTTCAACAACTTCAACAACTCTTTCCATTTGCCCACCCGTCATCCCAACCCACAACGATCCTTTCCCCTCTTCACCATCTTGCTCGCCAACATCATGTCCAGCCCCAACTCTCACCCAATGTACGCCAACCTCACCGCCGACCAGCTCCGCTCCGGCGACGGTCGTCTCCTCCTTCCGGACCACCTCAAAGTCAGAGTCCTCCAATACTGCATCATGAAGCAGATCTCTGCCCGTGCCCTCCCCACCAACGATCTCGAGATGCTCGACTTCCTCGCCTTCATCGGTTGGGAGTCCGCCATCAACGATCCCGACCTCGTCCGCGCCCTCTCCACCAAGCTCCTCGACTTCGTCCGCAACAACATCAACAACGACAAGTTGCGCCCTGGTCTTGCGGAGACCAAGGCCTCTGACACCGGCAAGTGGACTGTGCAATACAAGATGTACACCCTCAAGTGGGCCTGTGATGGCGGCTTCGTCTGGAAGAAGACTTCTCTCAACCTGCCCGAGGATTACCCCGGCGGAGCTGAGGCCGGCAATGCGATTCGTCCCATCATGATCGAGCGTCCGTACATTGCTCCTGCTGCTTTGGTCCGTCAGACTGTGGCCTTTGTGGAGAATGCGGATGTCGGCGAGCTGGAGAACATCAATGAGATCACCGCCATGCAGGGTGCCACTCGGGCTTTGCAGAACGAGTCTGCTGCTCGTGCTGCGAATCGCAATGCTGGGGCTGATGCTGGTGGTGATCCCATGGAGGAAGATCAGGCTCAGGCCCAGGCCCAGGCTCAGGCTCAAGCTCAGGCTCAGCAGGTTCAGGCTCAGGCTCAGACTCAGGCTCGTCAGGCTCAGGCACAGGCACAGGCTCAGGCCCAGGCACAGGCTCAGGCACAGGCACAGGCTCAAGCTCAGGCTCAGCACGAGGAAGTTCATCGTCAAGAAGCTCAGCGTCAAGGAGAGGCCGGTCGTCAGCAAGCTCAGCACCAGGGGGAAGCTCGTCGCCAGCAAGCTCTTCGCCTTCTGCGAGCCCGCCGCCAGGAGGACGCCCGTCGTCAAGAAGCTGCACGCCGTCAGGAAGAAGTCCGCCTTCAGGAAGAAGCCCGCCTTCAGGAAGAAGCCCGCCTTCAGGAAGAAGCCCGCCTTCAGGAAGAAGCCCGCCTTCAGGAAGAAGCCCACCTTCACAAAGTAGCCCGTCTTCGGAAAGAAGAAGCCCGTCTTGAGAAAGAAGAAGCCCGCCTGCAGGAAGAAGCTCGTCTCCAGGAACAGGCCCGCCTCCAGGAAGAAGCCCGTCTCCAGGAAGAAGCCCGTCTCCAGGAAGAAGCCCGTCTCCAGCAGGAAGCCCAGCGTGAGGAAGCCTCCCGTCAGCACCAGGAGATGAAGCGAGCCCACGAAATCGAGATGGCCCAACTCCAAGCCGAGCGCGATGCAGCCCAGGAGAAAGTCCGCAAGATGATGTTCACTTTCATGAAGCAGCAGCAGCACCAGCAACAGCACCAGCAAGCCATCTCCAGGCCCGCCAAGACCAACTTCAACTCTGCATCCTCCCACAACAAGTTCCTCATGGACGACATCCTGTCCCAGTATGCTTTCGATGCTTCTTGCCCACCACCACCACCGGCCACGGCGGTCATCACGCCTCCTCAGTCGCCTTCTCCAGCTACCGCTCGCTACCAGGACATTCTGCAGGATGTTCTGCCGCCAAAGAAGACTCAGCCGAAGAAGTCCACCAAGGCTCAGAAGAAGAAGAAGACCTCCGCTCCGGCTCCAGCTCCGGCTCCTCAGACTTCGGCCTACTACGACATCTTGACCGGACTTGGTGTTTGAGTTTGACGTGGAAATTCGATGGGAAAGATTGATAAAGGGGAATTAAGATCATGTGATAGACACACTCCTTTGCCAAGGATTTTTTTGGTCTTGGTCGAAGGATCAGCGGATCTGTGGAGATGAAGGGAGTTTGCTTTTGTGAGATAGATCAGACCTTCATTTGGGTTTTCATATGTTATATAGAAAGAGGGAATGCAACGAAATGGAAAAAACATACCTTGCACTTTTGCTCACCCTTGCTTCTCAGTCCTTGGTCTGTTCTCTGCGATATCTGAGATAAGGTCGGAATGAGATCCCTTCTCCGAGCAGAGTTTGGGTATTGAGAAACATGTCCAGATGAAAAATTGAAGCCAGGATGGTGTGGTCTTGAGCTGTGGAAACCTTGAGCTGTAGAGGCCTTAGGCTGTGGAGGCCTTCAGCTGAGAAGGCCTTGAGCTGCGGAGGCCTGCCTTGAGCTATGGAGGTCTTGAGCTATGGAGGCCTTGAGATGTGGAGGCCTTAAGCTGTGGAGGCCTTGAGCTGTGGAGGCCTTGAGCTATGGAGGAACCCTTCCCAAGAACCGGAGAGGGAAAAGCAAGTGCAAGAAGCTTCGTCTGACCTTACGCCTCATCGTCCAGGATGTGGGCTCTGACCATCTTCTCGTCTTTGCCACTGGACAACCCGGAACATCTACTCGAGTGCCAGTACCACCCCCAGTCAGGCCAAGGATGCTGTCTCTAAGTAAATTATTGTGGTTCTGCTTGGCCTTGTTGCTAACCTTCCGACAAAAGCCAATCAAGTGCTGCCTTGCGAGAGATCCTCAATCAGACCTCACCCTTCCCAGTGTCGTTAAAGGGGCGGCCATCTGGTGGAGAAATCGGTATGGCAGGCTTGGCAGCGGGCATTTAAGGGGAGAACTTTCGGCCTGAGAGGAGATCGCAAGGCGAGATATTTCCTGTGCCGTTGCCATGGTTCTACTTGGCCTTGTTGCTGGATTCCCGACAAAAGCCAATGATGTGGTGCCTTGCGAGAGATCCTTAGTCAGACTTCACCCTTCCCAGTGTCGTTGAAGGGGAGGCCATCTGTCCGAAGCACCGGTAAGGCAGGCTTGGCAGCGGGCGTTTGAGGAGAGCTCTTTCGGTCTGGGGGGGGATCGCAAGGCCGATTCTCTCATGTGCCGTTGCCATGGTCATCTATTGGTCAGTCGAGCTTTGAGTGTGGCTGCCCTCGGATGGAATGCGTTCGCAAGGTTGAAGTGTCTGGAAGCATGAGCCTGTGGTCGATGGAAAGGGGGATTGAAGAGTGGCAGAAGGAAGGCAAACCATTGCATGCGGCAGAGAGCTGCTTGTTGGACCCCATGCAGGATGCCAAATCCACGGGATCAGGACGCACCTGGGCTTTTGCGAGCGAATGGTTCCTTGGTCTCGAGTATGGGTCGATTCCAAGCTTTGCAGTCCCTGAAGGGGAAACGCGTGGCTAGCGGGGAAGAAACAGTCTTGGTAGTGACTATCTGGGATGGGATGAAGCTGTCCGTCCGGGATAGTGGTGAAAGATGGCGACTCCATCCGGCATGGCCAGGAAAGTAACCCAGTTTATCAAAGCAATGGAATGCGATTGCTGTTGCGGTTCAGCTGGCGACACTCCAGAAAGACAAGACTGTGAAACTCTGCAGCACTAGCCCCCTTCAGAGGCATGTCACATCTTGTACCGTGTTGTGTTCACCAATGAATGGTCCCTGCCTGACTTGCAATTGCGATCGTAAGAGTGTACCGTTTTCCTACTATTCAAAGGCTACAGCCCTGATTGGGACAGATGCCCAGTCCACCAGTCTTCGGGAGCCCGAAAGCAAGTTCCAGGATAGTGTAGCTTGTGGTTTCATCCTGGCAGTTGTACAGCTGCGCTCGCTATTGGGCGCTTGGGTGAGCGATTGTACTTGGACGGGCCTGCAGTCATTACAAGCCGTTCGATCCGGATATAGGCTCTCTGGGCCGCTCCATTCGATTCGCAACCAGGCCATCCAGGCCATCCTGTTACTGTATCATGACCGAAGGCTCTGAAGCGGTGCCATTATATCCTTTGATCTTCGAAATACTTTGATCTTTGCAATACACCTCTCCTGCATCTCTTCTGCCACGCCGCCCGGCTTTAAGGTTGAATTTCGGCGCCGTGCTCGAGCAGCTCATCCGAGTCCCGGAGATCTTTCCTTCATTTTCGAGTAGAGGCCTTGCTTCACGTCCGACGCGGCGAGAAGAACAGAGGGCTGCAGGGATGAGTCTTCTTTTCAATGAGCGCAGAATAGAGGACACTAGATGTCAGAAGGTGTAGATGGTGAGGTTGAATTGGTGAGGTTTAGGTTTGGTCGGAATTCTTTCGTGAGGTGAGAGGCACAGGTTCCGAAAGATTTCCCTGCGTTACGAAAGAATTAGCTATATTACGAGAGAATTCAAAGATTCGATCGATTGCCTTGTTGCTTCCAGGTAGGTATTGACGACGCACGGATCCGATACAGCTTTGCTTGTTGCAACGGGTCGGAATGCTTTCGTAACCTGTGGTCCTTACCTTAGGAATGGATTCCATTCTGGGCACGACGACGGTGCTCTTCAGGCAATTGATAAAATGGTATGATGGCGGCAGACAGCACCCACACGGCCGGCTGATGAAGTGGTGAGGTTGGTGAGGTTGGTAAGGTGAAGTCGGGAGTCGAGGAAGAAGAGCATAAGGTATGCGGAGCTGCGGAGTTGCGGAGACGGTGCGAAGGATCTACCCGCTTGCGGAGGCGGGATCTACCCGTCGATTGGAAGATCTTTCACCCCTCTTATCCGCGACGGGACCTCAACTCATGGACCACCTGCGTAATACTGCCAATCCTGGACATGGCCATTTATCACATGCAAACGCCTTCCGTCCGCTTCTGCGGACGTTTTGAGAGTGCCCCTTCAAACCCACACCGGCGACTCACTTGGCACCGCTACCCTACGGTACCCACCGCTGCCATCAGGTACATGCACGCCCTTGGCATCACCTGAAATTGTCAGTCCGGATGGGATGCTGTCAATATGTCGACAACACCTCTCAGCAAGCCATACAAATCCTCTTCACGGGCATCCATTCCGTCTCACGCCCATGGGCGAGAATTGAACAGCGAGACCGAAGACCTCTACGACAAGCTTACGGAGCGCGATGCCAGAATCGAAGAACTGGAGGAAGAGCTGCAAGTCATACGTCGCGAGGCGGCAATGCGTAGCCACAAGATTCAACAGCTTGAGAATCACCTGGAAAAGGCGGAATTGGAGATACCCGCTGTTCAGAAACATCTGGAGAGCAAAAAGGGAGAGCTGTCTCGTACGGCGGAAGACAAACGTCGGCTTCAGCTGGAATATGATCGTACAGTGAAGGTGCTGGAGAACGTTACGGATGAGATAGAGCGGCTCAAAGAAGCTGAGGCGGATAGAGGAAAGCCGACACTTCCACTTCAACTCAATACCACGTTTGCGGATACTCCTCAACTGCATCACGAGGAGCTGGGAATAGCAGGAACACATTCAAAGGCAGTGTACGAGCTACAGGATGGATCATCTGGAGGATGGAGCCATCACAGGATTCCCTGTGATATCGACACACGCATCTCCAGCTCATTCTCCAGCGATCGGTCGGTCGAAGCAGACCGCCCTTCGCCCAGGTCAGCTCAAGCTAGAGGATCAATCGCTGGTTCAGACACCCACGAGAGCTTCCCAGAAGTCCCTGTCAACGATTGCCAACCACTTATCTCAAGGTTGTCCTTCCAGAATATACAGTCCACATCTCGCCAACCAACCTGGTCTCACTACATCACGATGCTCACCACCCTGCTGCTCACAACATGGTTACTCGCTGCCTTCCTAACCAGCGTGCCGGTATATCTCTTCTCTGAATGTCTAGCAACGGAATATATTCAGCCCGACCCACAGTACCAGCTGGCTCGCTGCCACACTGTAGAAGCGATGTGCCAACTATATCCCAATCCGGAGGATCAGCCATTCTATCCCGGAGCTGTGCGGTCTTGGCAGCAGCACAATATGTCGTCACTGTTCTGTCCTTCTCCACCTTCTTGTCCCTGGGAAACGCAGGCTCCGCTGCAACGGTCGTTCCATGAGCAGCAACAACACCAGTGGCGCAAGGCCGTGGCGGATAGACTGCAAGTTGCATTCCTAGCCCTGCCCGAGCCCGGTTGGAAGCCGCAATCAGGATCGTCACCGTCCTCACCGTCACTCTCAACTCTATGGTTGTCTGCTTTGGTCTTCCAGCAGCCAAGCGTTAGGCAGCCTCTCGCCGAATCCGAAATGCTCCAAACCCAGCGATATACTTGTCTCCGGGCAGTCCATAAAGTTGAGCAAGCTGCAGGCGGACAGGAGTACCTCGATGATAATCATATGGCGAAAGCAAGCAATGCAAAGGCTCTTCAGCACCGTCTGTCACAGGCATGCGGGATGATTGGGCACCATTCTCGGCGGCGGAGGATGAATGTGATACGCTGAGCTTTTGCGTGTTTGGTGTACGGGTAATGGTTGGGTAGAAATGGCGCGACAGATGAACGCATTGGTATCGGTTCTCAAGCGATCTCAATTCGACAGGAGTGAGCATTGTGAAGATCTCACAAACCCAGCAGCAAGCTCAAAGTTTAGACGAGGTTTGCATGCTCGATTTAGAGCAGAGAAGACATACCGATTCTGGAGATCTTCAGCCATTTACCTCGCAAATGTAAGCAACAGTACAGGAATTGGTTTGCAGGATATGTACAATCCGAACCCCAATCAACTGCATCACCCTTAAGCTGCATCCTGATTCTTCACCTCTTCTTCCTCTGCCGCTCTCTAGCGTCATTGTCACAGCGATATCTCGTACGTCGAATGGTTACGACCAAGACCCATTTCCCAGTACATCCAAACGACAAATCCCCCCCTCTCCGTCCTGAAAGACCGAGCAGCTATGCTATATCACCCATCCCACGACACTAAACGTCTGTTTCACCCCTTTCCAGCCCTGCGAGCTTTCCGACCATTCAGATCTTCCTGCATGTTCCCTTTTCTTATTCTAGAAGCAGATATTGAACAAGGAATGTAATTGCCGCCGCGATCAAAGCCAGGAGTGAGATTTGCAGAACGAATTCGGACATTGCGGTTGAGAGGTCGTTCTGGTGTACTTCTTTGACTGTCGCTGAGGGTGTGAGTGGCACATGCTCCTCGTGATACTGAGGTGTGTATTCGGTACCGGAGATTGAAGGTTTGAGATGACCGTCTGCCTCCAGATATTGATATTGTTGCTGACGCGAAGTTCTTGTCGTCGTCTCACAAGTCGAGAAGCGTTGTGAAGCAGTTTCCACCGCCGGTGCTGTTGCTGTTGAAGTCTCCCCCTTGGCTTTGGCCTTCTTCGCGGTGGTGGTGGTGTCGGATCTTAGGATCGGACGGTGACCCGGAGGTGGGATGCTGGATCCTCTTCGACGCTTTGGGGGCATGTTAAGCTCTGGGAGAGGTAAGGCGTGGGGTTGTTGTTGTTGTTGCTGGATTTCTGGAAATGAAAGAGAAGGATGAGAATGGGATTTGGTCTCCTTTGACGGTTGAAGTACTTCTTTGCGGGTCTGAGAGCGTGTCTTTTCTGTCTTGCGTTCCTTTGATGTGATGAGGTGGAGGTCTGAGACAGCGCATTGAATCGATGGACGGCAGAAGCCAAAGGTGACAGGAGCACGTTTTTAGAGACAGGTCTCTCGTGGGGTTCATGTCGATTGCTCTGTTTGAGACTGTACGCGAGACCCTTGTCCTGCATCTCATGTTTCTTTGGAGGAGAGTCTGAGACAGCGGCGAAGAGTTGAATGGAAGACACATAGACAGCGAAGGAGATCAGTCATGTCTCATTTGTAGAGACAGATGCATAGCTATCATCATACTATTTGAGATGATTTGACTTGTGCTCTCATTGCCAGACACCTCTACTATCGTGCCTATTCTTTTGTTGAGGAAGAAGCATTTGTCTTGTAGATCTGCTATGAAGTACCGAAAGATAAGACCTTTTCGAAGATCTTGCGTATAATGCGACGCCCCGTCTACTTCAGTCTCCTGTTCAAACTCCTTTCCTAAAGCCATTTGGTATCACGAGACATGCTCGTCGGCCTTGCGCAATAGCTGAAGTCGAGGCCTGATCAGGATTCTCAAGATCAAGATGAAGGTCAAGATGTAGATCAGGTTCACAGAGCAGAGATCGCTGTTATTGGAACACCCCGAAACGTACTACGGCGGAGGCGATAGAGAGGACAGATACAAAGCGGTAATCAGCGTCTGATTCTTTTCTTCTTGTCCGTCTCCAGCAAGCGGCCTCGTCCCTCGGCTTGATTTGTCTTCCGGTAGATCGTACCCGGATGCATCTTCTTAGCATTTCACCTGAGGCCAGCTCATCGTCCCCTGCTTCGCCTGCTTCTCGCCTAGGAATCACGTTTTCAGAATTCATTAGTGCAATACCGCAGCCTTTACTAGCTTTGACCGTGGTAATAGCGGCGTCGCCGTAAAATAGCGGAAGATAGTAAGTCGTAGCAGCATTACAGCTCTACCACCACTCGCTACCGATACATATTGCGGCACCTTAGTATCTATTCTATGCTGTGTGGTGCTTTTTAGACCAGTGGACTACTAGAACGCTTCGGAGTCTGTCATCCACCTAGCATTCATTGAACTGGTCTTCTCATACTGCGCGCTGCTTCTTCCCAGCGAACTTGGTTCATCGGGAATGAGAGCCTACGAGACGAATCTTAGGACGGCTGTCTGATCATGACCCTGCTCGAGACGACAAATGCGATATCCTGTGTGCCGTGCAAACTCATCCTACTGCGCTAATTGATAGCAACCAAGGCGCCGAGCTGCGCCGTGAACCGCAGACAATGCGATCTAGAACTGTTCGAGACTTCGGAGCCGGACATAGGAAGGAACCCTCAATTCGACCAGGAAATGAGTCGCCCGGGGTTCTCGAAACAAACGCAGTATTTTCGACAAGTTCGCACACCGTGATAGGGGAAAGCTCAAGTCGACCACAAAGTGAGCCGCCCGTGGCTCACGAGACAGTCGCAGTTCTTTCAGCAAGTTCGCACACCGTGATAGGGGAAAGCTCAACACATCACAGTTTCTGCGTCCGAGCCACTTTGGACATCTAGATATATAGCAAGTCGGCTCGGAACTGGCTGGACGCTATGCGAAGATCGGGGGAACGAGCTAGATGTAATCATCGCGATGAAAGTCAGCGTACAGAACGGGGCTTCTTCTTCTTCCAATGCTTGGTCAGGACGTCTGTAGGACTGGGAGAATCAAAAGTGTTCATCTTCGTACCACGCATCTTAGCACCGATAAGGCACGCTGGCTTCTCCCTGAAGCCATAGTAAGCGCTGGGATAAGAACATCAACCTTACTAGTGGAAGGTGCACAAAGACTTTCGTAAACGCTAGCATTGTCCAGAAAATGTGGAGTAAGGTGAACCTGATCGCTATCGTATCAAGAGGTCTGCGCAACGATAGGTATCAGTCGTCGAAGAGGGGAAGGCATTAGACTCTCCGTGGGTTGTCTTTATTACGACTGATTACGTGTCGATCGCGTTGTTCAGCATCTGGACGGTAAGCTACTTTTGGTCCAATGACCAAAGGTTTGCGATAAAGACCTCGCAGTAGAGACGTGGCTGGCTCACTTGGTAGCCAGTCTCGTTCGGATCTAGGACAGGAAAGCTTGGACTGATGGAATTTTCGGTACGAGCGAGATGGAAATCGACGATGCTTCAATACTAAGACAAACTCTTTAGCACGAATGTGGGACCCCGTAGTCGGTTCAACCATGGCAAGGGTTGGTGAAGCCACGAGGCCGCTAGACAAGGACACTTGTACATCTCGAGACCCCGAGCTATATTCGAGCGGGGAATAACGATTAGTCAAGTGCAATCCGGCGGCAGTGAAGGGAGGGTATACAACGTCGTAAAGTAGACTCCGGCCACCTGGCAGGGAGTCAGGGTTGCCTTCGTTTGTTTACTTTTGGACCGATACTCTGGATTGAGGCTCACTCTTTCTAATCAAAAGTGGAGAGAGGCACGGAGAGCTTCGTGCCAGAAAGTCTCTCATGGGGTTTCTGTCGCGCACAAACAGACCCGAGACAATTCAGGTGCGGATGCTTGTCATGCCGCTGCGACTTTTTCGCTTCGCTCTCGGCCGGCGCTTCTAGTGTGTAGCTGAGAGTCGAAGGCCGAACTTCATGCCCTGTCATCTGGCCTCGGAAGCCTGTCAGGTGAGCGCTCGCTCGCTCGTCATGTCGCAGTCACTTGTTGCATTTCTCGGTTCGTAGGATCATGGACAGAATTAAGTCCCGGATCAGGAGGTCTTCGGAGTTTGTGTACGGTGTGGATGCGGTGGTTGTCGCACTGAGGCTCAGTAGATGGTGCCAAGCTGCCTCGCTATAATACGGAGGATTGCTCGGCAAGCCAAATGACCATCGATTGTCGATGCAAGCTTCGAGCTTGATTGGTAGGGTGGAAATGCACAGCTTGTCATGTCGGTAAAGCCCTAATAGCAGAGCTGGCGGTGGAAGCGAAAAGCCGAATGGGCCATGCAGTCCACTAGTATACTCGATGCCACGATGAATCTCACGCTGGATCATCTGATGCAGAATATGGACGAAGGAGATGAAGTGGGTGTTGACAAGGCGATGCGGAGCGGGCCGCGCGGCGCTTAAAGCTTGAAACTTACTTTCGACGTGCTTGTCACATGCATGTCTTGGCATCGACATAGCAGATGTTCGGCACCGCATATAGTATTGACTCACCTAAGCGAGGTATCAGCATTGGAACTGATCAAGCATGACTTATTTCCATAACTATCTCGAGTTCGCGTTGTAGA